TCACACTTGTACAAAACCACAAATGATATCCTCCCATTTTACGGACTCATTTTGATGCCTGCACAATTTTCGTCTTGAAGCTGTAATCACCCAGAATATCATGCAGCATCTTAAGCCAAATTCAAAAGGGGCAACCGCACAAAAATAACCGTGTGTTAAGAAACATTTGGTTGAATTAACTTATAACCTAAAAATAAGCTTACTTTCTAAAGCGATAAGTCAAGACAATCCGCAAACTAGCGTCTACTGGGTGTGGAAATGCGTCCTTGCTCCTTCGATGCCCGGAGGTTAATCATTTGCCCTTCTAGACTGCTTTTTCAAACTTTCGATCACCGTATTAACTGCGTTTTTAACACCCCGTCAACTTCACATCTGGATTTTTGTGGTACAAAAGCGTATTGTGGGCGCTCTCAACCACCCAGTTCTGTTTACTTTCAGTTCTATGGCTTTGGGTGAAAGCGGTGTGCTCTATACTCACTGGACATTCCGTTTCGTAATGGGTTTTTTCATTTGCATCTATTATTATGTCAAAAATCTTAATGTAATGTTTTGTTGAATTGCAGAGGAGAAATGAAAAACTTAACTCTAAAAAATACTAAATTTCACATATGAATTATGGGTGAAATAGCAATGCCATTACGCCGTAGTAGTGTGTTCTATTTTTGATTACTTCATCAAACCAATTCAGTTTTAAATATCCATAAGTATTTTAATGATTAATCGATTACAGTATTATAAATTACTTCCAATAATACGTATATACTTGTTATAGCAAATCATCTGGCTAAGATAAATATAAAAAAATAATAAAATACCAAAATCACTTTAAGTTTAATAAATCTGTATTATTCAACAGTAGGTAAAGTACGATTAAACGTGGCTCAATTCCTTAACCGTGACTTGTGGTCCTCAAAGCTTATGTTTCCAATAAAAGGTTACGATTAAAGCAAAGGTTAATTTTTTGCGAACAAAGGATTCACCTATAATAACATCATATATACTTCATTCTTTACTTTGTGGTGACCGCACCCCTACGATGAATAAGCCGTTATTACTTCTAAAGTCCTTTTGTAAATCTGGGGCCTCGTATGTCGGAACCAGCAATCACAGGTGCTTCTGCGATTTTGTGACATCCAATGGAACGTTCCACTTTGGTTGCACACCATTTTGGAACTATGAGTGTCACTGTGTCTTGCAAACTACAATGTCCTACTAATAGCCAATCGCTTAAAAAACACAGAAGTAGTATATTATTTTGCATTCCAGAACTACTTCTAGGCCTTGAAAGGCAAAACTTGTGAGACACCTCATTGCTTCAAGCGCCACTTTCGTAGTTTTGGCTGCATTTAATTCATGCTAGATAGTGAGTCACTGGCAGAACCCCACCTACAAGTGACTGAGCAGTCGCGAGAGGTAAGAAGGCGCGCACTACCAAATTACTGTTTTGTAAGTTGAAGTTAACTCCTATAAATTTTGAACCTGCAATGTGGGAGGCAATTTCAAATTCAGAAACATGAATTTAAGTGCTGCTTCCATAGTCATTCAAAATAACATGATTTCCTTACTAGACAAACATGTAAAACTCAGTAAAAATTCACATGTAAAATGGGATAACATTGTGAATATTTTTCATCAACTCAAGGACCCAGTCACTATTTGATGACAAATATTCCGTTTTGTCTCTTAGTAGTTGCTCATCTTAGTGCATGATGTATTCACAGCATATGTAAGTTAAGTTTCTCACGTTAGATTGATGATGTGTACGTGGTTTTTACAGGAGCTACTACACCGCACCAACCCTCTTAGGCTGTGACAAGTTAAATTCTAGACTAAAGGTAAAGCCTTCGTTTATAAAACGTCCGAAACGTATCAGGAAACGGCATCACAGACCACTATGGCTGGGATCTCTGTCACGAAACTAGGTTATTAGAATGTTCTGAGCTGTGGCTGAGACAGGCAGAGTCATTGCATTTTATCTTTGAATCAAGAATGTAGGTTTGTACATCTGTGAGATTGTAAAAAGCTTAACGACTGTGTGAATTTGTGTGTGAGGACGCACAGCTACCACTGGAAGAGGCTCAGATTTCGGTTCAGTTAACACATCCGCCTAGGTAAAATTCCACAACGGCAAATAACAATGCATGAATGAACTTATACAACGTTGATCACATGAGTAGGTGGGGATCGGACTTAAGCTTATTAGTTCGTCACCAACTCCAGAAACCGGTCATGTAGTCTAAGTTAATAATCAATGATCATTGACAAGGTAACTGCTATACAGACTCAATGGATAGGAAAATTACACTTGCCCGCTAACGTCGTCATTGCAAGCACTACGACCAGAAAAAAATATATTTGACCTTGTGTGACCATAGCTATGGTCCAAGATTAATAACTGTGACCAATGAACATCCTGGCAATAGGCACGATGTGACGACTAAAGCACCACCAGTGCCCCAACCATTTATTAAAACTCCTTACAGAAAGTCGGTCCAAATGCTTTAAAGAGAAATACCAGAAGCCTAAGCCTTGTACCATTTATTAGCTTGCTACACCATGCATACTACTAGCTTAACCTCAGTAAATGACACTCTTTACGGGTAAGCAGAGACGAGTGGATATGAAATGAAAAAATAAATGGACAAAACTCAAGCAGTCATGCATGTTACATAACAGACAAGCCACCAGCAACCTATAATTACTTCAATTTGGCTTGTGCTGGTAGTGCATAAATTACGACTGCCAACTGTTGAAGCAACCACGAAAACCGCCTATCGTCGGTGACTTCCAAAAGCGATACGAAATATGACTGGCTACTATTCAAAAAAGGTAGACACCGCTTTCGCGTGTTTAAGCTCGCAAAACGTAGAACAAATAAATGTTGCTGGCGCATCAGTTCATGAAACGTTAGTAATTTTGGGAAAACATTGTGCTATTTCAATATCCTGAAAGATTTAGCACAAACGACAGAGAAATTTACGCAAAATATGATGATTATTAAATCACTCTAACTCGTTGTCTGGTGTTCTGGAACTGTGCGCCCAATCCTGCTAAAACCAAAAACAACCGTGAAAATAATCAAATTTTAAACAGAATTTTCGGCTCGAAGAAAACATGTGTACAAATTAGGTCACCTGCCTAATATAATACAGTACTTTATGGTCAATTTGGTTAAAGGTAGCTTTTGTTAACGATTCTTTAAATGATTTTTTTCATGGATAAGTGTAATTGATGCTGGATTGAATAACCATATCGCTGCTGATCTCCTACGTTTACTTCCATATTTACTGTCCTGTGTGCTTCGAAATAACTTAAGAAATTGGTCTGAAATAATTTTTCGAGTTTCATCATCTAGCGGGTTACGAGAGACTAGGAATCGCCCCTACGAGCAGAGTCTATTTCTTGTGTAGCGCGACCATAAAATTCCAGAAAACACACTAGTTGGTTCAATCTCAAGCAAGGGCGCTCATAATTTTCGAGAATCCCACGTTGTCAAAATATTGTGTATGCTTGTTTACTGCTAAGGTATTTTGTTTTGTGAATGGAAACGCACAGTTAGTTCTGTGGACGCGCAAATAGCTAGCATTTAATCTCTTAATGATAATGAGCTTTACAGTGATTAACTGTTTTGCATTTCCTTCATGGGACACACCAAATAAATGCTACTTTTTTGTTGAATTTAGTTTTTAGGTCCTTAAACATGGGATTCATCGACGTTGTAAATAGTTCAAAGAAATTATTTGTGGAGGTCTAAATAGTTAGGCAAGTTCCAACCTGCCAAATGCGCGCTCTGCTACTCAATAAGTCATTTTGATGTCCGATTTCCGCTTGAACACTAATGTCCTTATGCGTAAATCTGATAAGCGTTGTCGTCAAACAAGGTGAATATACCTGGTACATGACCAGACTACTTAACAATAAATTAAATTTAAAAAAAAAATTATCTTCGTTTTTGTTATTTTATAGTAAGTGGTAACGGAGTGTAGCAGTAATTAATGCGTCTGAGCAACGGCTACTGCCCTATTACTCTTTCTGGGATCAGAATAATGTTTAATTACGCACAAGGCATTAATTAATTTGCATCTGTTAGCATGGGGTTAGAGTTTATCTAATTTATTTCAAGGAATTCTTCCTGTTGCCTTTCCTATAGTAACATGTTTCCTTAGTTTTAAATGAGCATTTGGCACGGCACTTTAATTGCTTTCTAAACAGTTCCTATCGTTACCATAAAGTCAGCCAAATTTTAACAGTATTATTGTTGACTAAAACAAGGCTACAAATTATATATCTTCAGTTCATCCTGGTATCAAATCAAGCCAATCTCACCTCGTCCTATTTTGCAACAGTGGCTGTGACAACTTAAAAGATGCCGATGGAAGCCATGGACTTCCAATAAATTTACGCCCAATCTCTGAATGCTATTCGTAGCACTTCATTACAACGTTTTTGGTATGAATGTTGGGGTATGGTGGAATGTGAGTGGGGAAACGGAGATAACCATTACAATGTTATAGTATTGAGTTTATACACGATTGTATATTACTTAAAATCACTATTTACGGCCTAAAATAATGAACTGCGGAACCTAAAAACTGGAAAGTGGCAGTCATATTTCCGCACATTTGAATTAAAGTATAACAAATTTTTTATATATTCTAAGAGGACACGGCTTTGGCTTAACTACTTCAGACGTCTTGTAAAGTGAAGTGGGTAGCAGATACTCCATTTATCACCCGTTAGTTATTTCAACTAAACCGGAAAGATTAAGTCACAGTGGACCCAAATGACTGTTTTAGCCCCCGAACGAGGGCATCCGTGACTGTGCTAAGGCAATCCCCACGGCCAAACTGAATGCGCGCGCAAGGAGGCAGCAACAGACGATCCTGCCTCGTGCGCACGCGCACCAGCCAATCATGCTCGCGAATCAAACTGCGACGACGATCAATGGTCACATCTTGCCTTAACGCCATGCATTTGCATTCCTCCCTGCTGATTAGGCGATGAATCCAGATGAGGAAACGGTTCGTTCAAGATTCAACATCGACCCCTGTCAACAACTCGAGGATTTCCACTTCCGCGAAACCCGATCGGACATTCAATCCTCCGTAATCTTGTTGAGTCAACGAGTCAAGCGTCAGTATATGAGCGAGTTCGTGCTGCCTGATGATACAAGGATTGCCGTGAGTCGAATTGAGTCGTCACTTCCGGTTGACCAAAAACAGGAGGTTCTCGTAAATTTGGCCGTCCGACATCCCTCCAATTCCTTTTTACCGAAATTCGTGACCACTCTACACAGAGAAGTTGATGATTCAAAGTCAGACATCGAGTCTAGTACCACCCTGGAGACCTCGGAGGATGCGACTACAGATAGCGAAATTGAAAAATTCCCTGACAAAGTAAGTGCTGCCACCAAACCTAAACTAGTTTGGTAGCAGCGTTTGGACTGCTCATTATAACATCGAACACCAAAATATTCGTCGGTATTTGAATGCGTCTCAAAAAACATAATTACTGCATATCTATTTGGCACACGATACTTATTCCTCCCACAATCCCCTTACAGAATTCCAAGTAGACCACAACTCTGTTTGTATGTCCATTGTCAGTAGCTAATGGTCAAATCCTGGTAATGCGAACTGTGCAGAATGGAAAAATCAAAATTTTCACTTTCCCTTTGTGGCTGAACGGTTTTGCAGAAGGCAGGAAGTATGCTACTGATAAGGCAAACAAGCATTCTACTTAACCCAAAATAGGCATTTTACAAAAATCTATCTACTTTATTTACAGACTAGTTCAGGCCTATTCGGTTTCCTCTTCTTCACGTTACTTTATGGTTCTATGATCGCAATCTTGGCCTAATTAAGCCACTCCGTACAATTTAGAGTAGTTATCCAAAGTGTTTGGCCAATTGTACACTCGGAGCGTTTTTCCCAAGTGTGCCCTCAGACGTCTGTAAAAATTTACCTTAGAAAAGTAAATTAACTAGCGCCGCAAGAAAAGGGCTGCAACTTCACACGGCCCTTCAAAATGCGGTACACAGATATAGCCAAGTCAAGCCAGTCGGTCGCTCTACAATCCCAAAACTCGATGATAAACAAGGATTGTCTTTTTACATTGTCCACCGGCTTTTAGTTAATATTTAAGAACTGCGATTGGCTAATCGCATCGTATGGACGATTTCTTTCTTAGTTTTCAGGAAGCATAAACCTCCGAATTTCGGACTACCTCGGTGACGACGCATGGGCCGCGAACATTCTGGAGTGGAATTCTGGTGCAAGTGGTGACTTGCTTCGACACCTAGAAGCCGATTGTCGCCTTGATCCCGATTCTTATAGAATGGAACGCTTGCAGCGTCGACGCAACTTGAAGACGGTCGTGGACATTCAGCAAGAGCCGCAAACCCGAAATCTCGACATAGGACGCAAAGAAAATAAAACAGATTCGACACCAGATTGACATGATGCACCTTTTAATTATTCATTTTATATGTAAATCTCTTTTTTATCACTAAATACGATCACGGAAAATTAGTGCACGTCAACTGGCAATTTTTATAGTGGAATTGTGCTATTGGGACCAGGTTGTTGAATAGCTACTAACTCGGCAGCAACTTTCGTAACAATGAAACTATGCTATACCTTTGCCCCAGATTGTGAAATGTAATTTTGAAGTGAAAAAACGCATAAGGAAACTATTGGAGAACTTTTCTCCAAAGAGAAAACTATGGTGTTTAATTAGAGGATATATTGGTACGAATGCAGTTTCGAAAACGCTAATGCTCTTTTCGCGTTCCAAACTGACATTCAAAGCTTCCAACGGAAATGCGTATATTTCTGTGTATCGAAAAAAAAATGAACATTTTTAAGGGCAAACATGTGGATAATTGTGAAGTTAAATGTGTGTGAGAAACACTTGACGACAATGGCGGATTGATTTAAAGTACTTTAGTTCTCTAAGTCGAAATAAGGCTAAATCTTCACACTTTTTTCTAAATTAATCCTTTTTTGTCGTAAACATTAATCATGGCAAACACAAAATGTTACTGATTATGTATTGGATTTTCTAGTGGGCTAAGTGCGCTAAATCGATAAATTCTTAGGTAGCTAAAGAACATGGTGCTAATCTTAATTGAATAAGCTTGTCCTGTGGTAAATTGCAACGATTTCAAGCTGTCTGTGGGACACATATCATTCGTAATCAAACGGTATGATGTAAAATACAGGTAAACAGGTATTGTGTGCTATTGTAAGATGCAAATTAGTTAATTTATCGCGCATTCATGGACAGTAGCAATTTTCAGTATGCAGGCAATAGTAGAAGGGCAAGAGGAAGTCCCATTCAAAAATACTTTATAATATACCAGTTCAAAATTTCTACCTATTGGGGCGTCATTATGCATTTGGTGTAGGCGTGATTTTAACATTGCTGAGTTTAGTGCTTCAATTTAAAAAAAGCTACCATCCTTCAATTATGTTTCACCTTTTGCAAACATAGGATTGATATGAATAAACTATTGGCCTCTAGCTAACTTAAAAGTCCTGGTCATTGAATTAATTTTAAGTAGGTATTTATTATAATTGAAATTTCACTATGGTTCATCGGGAGTTTTCAGTATGATAATACACTTATGAAATAACTATCAGAAAAGCAGCAGGCAGTCAAGTAAAGTGAAAATGACAAAAATTGCATAAATGAGGATATCTAAGAATGGCAACAAAATAAACCATGACAAGTCCGCTTTCTCCCAACTATTATGGAATAACATAAATTCTGAAATTCAAAAAACCCGTGAATAATACTGACACGGTGTCACCTGGGTATGGATAAGTAATTAGGTAAAATATCATATTCGTAATTGTTGGGTCAAGTAAAAGATTCATAAAGCCTTATATTTTGTCTACTATATAGGGTAATTCGTCAAAAAGAAAACTGGATTTTTGGGGTATTTTTTAAAGCAGTCCATATTTTAAGGACTTCCTCCATTACGAGTCCCTTAAATGAAACCTTAAACCCTATACTATACTTAATATGGGCATGTCCATTGAGCTGTGTAACGAGTCATTGTGCAACTAAATGGAGTTCTTAGGATTAGCATGGGTGTTAAATAAAAAATTTACAACGTCTAAATCGCGTTGGTGAATTAAAACAAGTCAGTCAGATTGACCAGATAGAAGCCGAAATCAAAGTAATATATAGCATATCAGTTTCATGCCTTCATATGGTTTGTAAATTCAATTGAGTTAAGACAATAGGCAGCCCCTTTGCATTAAATCAATCTAATGTGTTTGCAGGTAACAAATGACAGCTGATGCAAATCACACGCAATTTGCATCTAAAAGCTAGTAAGCAAGATTTTGAAAATCATTACCTTTTGCCATACAATACCGTTTTTGTGCAAACTTTGCTATTTTAATTTGACCCACATGCGTGTTTTAGTGTTCTAATTACATTTTTTGGCGTCAGATTTATTTAAATAATGGGCTTGTGACCATCTTGAAATCACCGTTGGATTTCAGAGTTGACAGTCACCTACTCCTGAGCCGATCACAAAGTCAGAACCGAGTTGTAAGTCTCACAACATTAAAAGACTATTTTCTAGAATTAGAACAATGGAAGTTGTGAAGACAAAAAAAGTTCGTGATTTTTAAGGCCTGATTTTTTTTAGTTTATACCTACAATTTTAGTCAACAAGTTGACATTTGTAATGTCAGTATCACTGTTGACATTCTTTGTGTTCTGTTGTGTGTACAGGCCATCGCTTTTATTTTTCACTTTTACAATAGTCTTTGTACTTCTTATGATCTTCCGTGCCATTTCATACACGTAAGTGTTATATTTTAATTTGATTACTGTTTAGGCGATCGAATAACATATTGTTCATGGCTGGTCCTTGTTACTTTGTCAACGTTTATGCCTTTATTTATATTTGGTAAGTGGAGTTTTTGTCGAATGCCGCATTATTCAGGGCGGTTCCGTATTGCCTTCCAGTATTTTACGTTCTCTTTGGACTGGCCAACTCTACTGTATACTGTGCAATTGTTCTTTTCCGAAATTCATTTGTTTTCCACAATTATGACAAGATGACTTCATGCTTCATCCATATCGTGCCGCCTTTAATTTCTTACTGGTAAGCAGCATCCTTAATATGTTCAGCCTGGTTTATATTACCAATCCATTAAGAGGGCAGGTATTTTTCTATAATTTTGGCGTTTAACAGGAACACTTAAAAATTGTTAGCTTAAATTTCTTGCTCATAATATATCTTACTCTATTTTTCATTCATGTTTTTTGCTGATATTTTGCTGTTCAAAAATGGTAATTCAATACAACAAGGACCAAACATTGTTTGTGGGATTTTTTGAGACACTTTTCATGCTTGCTTGAATGTTGAATCAAAATGATTCTTTAGTAAAATAACTTCTTGGCATTTTCCTCTTTGCTAAATTCAGCAGTGCGGTAATTTATTAGAAAGGACCATATATATTCAAGTCACGGGACTGAAATTTACAATTATACACTCGTATGCGGTGCCCAAAATTTTCTAGGAACTATTTTCAACTTTCTTCAAGTGTAACGGTTGCGTTATTGAAGTAAATTAAGAACCATTACATTTGGGCTACCAGACAGAAGTGATGTTGAGTTCCATCAATTTTAAAGTCCTGTATTTTACCCCTTCTAGCAAGATTTTAAGGTATCCTTGTCAATGTCCACGTTGTGTAGTAAATCAGTAGAAATTCACAACGTTATATTCTCGGCATTTGCTTTTTTGTTTCTGGTTTTTCTGATGGATATGCACCTATTTTCAGTTTTTCTATAATGTGCATATGTGGTAGTACATTGACATTAAAATTGTGGTTAGTTGGGGTTAAGGTCATGATTCTTTGATGAAATATAGACATCTGACTGTTCGTTAATGTTAGAACGTTCTTCCTTAAACATTGTATGTAGTTACCTTTAACCTTGCGTGGCTAAGTAACATTTGATAGGCGTTCATCAAATGTACCATCTCATGCTTTAGGTTGATTCGAAAATGCATTTTTTCGTTTTGGTGTTCAATGTACCTAGTTGGTCTTTTTCAAATTGTCCTATCTCAGTCTAGTAAGATATAAACTAAATGATTTCCACTATGAGGCCTGTGCAATTGGTTTCATTTTATAATTTTTAATCAATGAATTCAGCCTTTACATAAATTAAAGATACCCCAATTTTAGTATTCAAAGTAACCTGAAATTAATTGCCGCTAATATTTTGACAGTATTGCGGTCTTATTGTCGTTACTCCAGTCAAGACGCGGCCGTGGAAGTTGCTTGAACTGAGCCAAACCCTGCCAAGAGATCACTTAATTCACAATTACTGTTGTACTTTGGTGATTTCGGGAGACGAAGTTAGTGCACCACTACTGTTGCACTAATGTTGGTTTCTCCCTAAGTGCTTCCAAACCTTATTCTGTGTGCACATTTTTAAATCGATCACAAACATTCATCATTTTGACCTGTCTTCCCGGTAATGTGTCTTTACGTTTCCCTTTGTGTTACTGTCTGGAAACGAAGCTCTTTTTTTTAATTTTTAATTTCCCTACCTTACAATATCTTTTACGCATCAGAGGAGTTTAAAACTTGTTTTGTCTATTTTACCGTTTCTCACTCAGCACTACTGACCGTTTTCAAAAATATCTGACCTTCCCATTTAGGTTTTTTGAACAAATTAATTACTAATAAACCCTCGTTGAAAAAAAGTAATATAAAAGTGTGAATATTATGCGTTTTTTTTAGTATACGATGGTTCCCATCGCTGTCTTCCGTCATGTGGTGGACAAAGTTCGTAGACACTAAAGGCGATCGACGTGTTGCAACTTTCAATCACATGGGTGACTGGATCTACATGGTGGTTATTCCAAACGCATTTTTCATAGCACACACGGTAGGTCACCCTGCCTTCTCCTTTGTCCCAACAGCAAGCAAAAATCAAATGCACTTCGATTTCTATTAAATTAATAATGTGACATTTTTAGGTGCATTGTTTCCTTAAGCACCTCATCCGTTCGAGGCTAAGTTCGGTTATCAACAAACAGAGTCAGACTGGAATTTAATCATCGTCTGTTGACACACCCAAGTGCTTGTTCATTTGCCCTGTTCAGATGGGCTTGTGAAGTTTTCGTAGTGAAATGTCGAATCGTGTATTTCAGTTTAAAAAATAATCCCAGTCGTCTTTGCCTTTCGCTGTTTCACAAATACTTAGTTAAGCATATCACTAATTTGTCATGAAGTTAAAACAATGCCAGAGAAAAAAGCAGATAATAGATATACTCGCAGAAATGGCTGATTTGATTCCCCTATCTATTAATAGTTTGCCGCAGTAAAGTCATGTATCGTGATGATTAAACTAGTTATTTGGGTAGCGTTTGCCCTCTCTCACATCCCACACTTTCTGTTGTACATTATGAAGCTTTTGACAGATTTTGATATCTTGTATTACATTCTTGGAGGTTCATCTTACCACATTTCCTTTTCTCAAAATGGTTAAAATAGAATCTCTGTACCACTGTTATCTGGCTGAGAAGCAGCCAGGTCTTCTTATTATAAAGAGACGTCAGTAAATATCGCTTTGTCTTAGAGTATTTCTAACCTTTTTGCATCAACAAATGATCCATTGAAACTATCCAAAACGTGCATCCAAGAGCTGAGTAACATTCAACTAAAATTGCGGCATTCAATTAAATTCCCAATGTTTTCTAAGACCAACTTCATTCTCTCACGTCAAAAGTCAACCAAAGTTAATTATTCTGTCCATTCGTCGCTGTCAATGTTCATTGCTCTGTCTGGGCTTTGTACTACCTCAAAATGAAAAGCTTCATTCTAGTCCTCCACACTAGGTCAACCGCATGAGTTTGCACAGGTTATTTTGGAAGTGATTCTACAGGGCATGGTGAAAGTGCTTTTTTTTTAAATTCCACTCAAAAGTCAAAGAAGTCGGGCTACTTCTCCATGAACACCCCAAGCTGCTAGCCTTGGAGTAAAACTGGTCACACTGCAATATTCATACGTCTTCAACGTTCTTGTTTGACTAGCCTAAAATTCACCCACAATTAAAGTAAATCATGTAAGTGTGTTACAAAACATAACATCTTTTCAATTTGTGAGAAACGGCTTCTGCACTTTTTTTTATCTATGCGAGGGAATTTGTCAAACAAACTTTACTAAAATAGTCCGATTTTGCTTGTTTTTCGCATGAAGCCCGTTTTGATGGGATTACGTTTTGCAAACTTTGTTCTGCATTTTTACAATTTGTGTTTATTGTAGGTGCTCTACTTTGTAATCGTGCATATGATAATCAAGCCGGACGAAAAGTACAATGACAACTATCGGTACCTTCGTTCTAAATACTTCCTGAAGTGGAATGCTTATCAGCACCTCAAGCCCAGGTAGGTCATCCCAACGTCGCATTTGATGTAAGCGGTTCGCGAGTGAAATGCGCAGCACCATCGCCAGTTTTTGATCTGAACTGTCTTGTCTTTCAACACCTGCAGCTGCACAGCCCCTAATATGCTCACTTTTTACCTCACCTCCATCCGTAAAGTTATTTGGGATTAACCCTTTCCTACGTAAAAACGTGCTTTTCTTGTATTCACCAACCACTCATTTGATTTGTTTTTTTCTTTTACCGGCCTTGTTAGGTTAGTTTGAAGGGCCCTTAAACGTCCTCTTACGATTGTTACGGTTGATTGTTAAAACTTTGCTTAATCTATTTTAACCAGTTCTTTTACAGCAAGCGATCATTAGGTCGCTGTGTTAAATAATTTCTCTTTGGACTCAGCCTTACCGATAAAATTTCTCATTTGCTTAGAATTTTCCACTCTGCGGCTAAAAGATTACTCAACACATCGCACGATAACTCCAAGTGAAGATTTTTAAATCCTTAATAAGAAATAGGAATAAAAATATAAGTATTACACTGTTCTGTATCGCATCCTATATACTCATTGGGTTACAGATTAGCGTCTTAAAGATAACTTGTAATTTTTCATCACAAGTCCCATTAGTTTTCAAGGATCGTTAGTGCGCCTTCAAAGGTAATAGCAACTTCTGTTATTTTTCCAGAAACTTATGAGAGTTTGTTGCCATTAGAATTGATTGGTATAATTTTAAGCCATCCTTTCTACATTAACGTAAACAAATTTCTCAATTTTCGAAACTGAAAATTTAACCTGTTTACATATTTATTGCTTGCTTTGAGGACGAAGTAACCTAGCACCTTGTTTGGCAGCTGTAAAAGTGCGAGGTATAGCATTTCCTCCGCACGAAGTGGATTAATGTCCAAAGTATTTGCCTCAGTTGCCAATTTGCTAGCCTCGTGACTACATACTACTTACTTGCTACCCGGGCATTTAGATAAAAGTGGCTTGCTTAACAATCATGGCTTGTGTCCAGCCTACATACCTATGCTGCTGGTCCGATTACTACTTCTTTAATTAAATTCGATGGAAACGAAATGGACATATTAAAAATTGGAAGTTGTGCAAAAACTCTGTGCTCGTGTTCTTTTTCATGCTTCTCTGATTCTGTAGTAATTTCAGTTGAATCTGTGGGCTCTTTGGCACGGTTGTCAGTCTTTCTGGTGTAGTTACCGCGGGCTCTAATTTGCGTAAGCTGAAGCCTGATAATGAGGTCATCTGGAATGAACTAACTGTCACGCGTCAAGTTTTCCTTTTATGTGACTGCCGTAGTTCTTCACTTTGCCTCAAAAGTGGTTTATTCACCTTCCCAGCGTATAAGCGTTGTTTTCCTGTTTAGGGTTCAAATTATGCTCTGGATGATCCTCAACATTGTTTTCAACCTCCTGCTCACATTCGTTTCGTGCCTCGCCTGGTGCAGCTTCTTTTTCCATTCTCTGATGATGATAGCAATGGTGATTATCATGTCGTGGTACGGAGCCTGCTACTACCTTGACTACTTCGCCTACCTAGCCCTGAGGAAAGCCGTCCAAAAGCCTGAATCGCCCTCCATCAATGAGGTAAAGGAATCCGTCAAAGCCGATGATATTGAAGAGGGCATGGATTCGGACGTCGAAGCTGATGACGACATGAAACGCAATCTTGAACTTTCTCTACAGGACTCTGATTCAGATTTTGATGTGTAATGTAAATAAAACAGATTGATTACCAATTAGTTTGAGTTTCCAGTTAAGTTAGGACAGTCGTTAAAAAATTAATTTATCACATTACCGCCACAATCGATTCTCGTTTGCTAACCGACAGCATTACCCAAAAGTGGATTGTCATCTCCGGTAATAAAGACGCTTTACATGCGTTTTCCACCCCTGAACCACTTATATAAATAATTTCGGTCAGATTTAAACTAGAACAAGAACTCTTCCACACGCCGCCTATGCTTTCGTTAAAACATATTAGGCTTCATTTGCCATGCGTAGCCTTTGAAGCTGTTACTAACTCAGGCTTTTACATGATAAATAAGGTTCCGTTTCTTGCCAAAAATTTACTGCTGTGAAATCGAGTCTATTTTCGTTTTGCAGTGTCGAAATTCCAGCAAAGTTTTCTGAGTCAGGCATACGAGGTGCCCGAATTGCTTACTTTTACCTTTTCCCAGTTTACTCTGCAGGGTTCATAGATAATCATTGACAAAATCACCCAAAAAGGGACGTTGAAAAATAAATTAACGGACCTCTCTACCAGATAATTGGGAGTATTTTCCAGCCTGCAGGTGTATTTATGAATCTGATAGGAGTTATTGAGAATGATGTTTGGTTTTAAGATCGGAATGAAGCATCTTCGGAAGAAGTCGTGTGTTTAATCAGACGAGGACTCGGTTTCCCTATCAATGAACTATGGGTCGTAGGGTTAAAAGCGAGGTAGCTACAGTAATTCATCAAGTCAGTAGTAGATTTATCCTCGAAATATTAATCGTTTTACCCAGCAAAAAGACCCAGTTTCGTCTGAGTGGAAATGAAACAACCTATTGCTGTAAAACGTTTAAACATCTGCAGTCTGGGCGTTGCTACAATATCCTTGTAGAAAATTCACGATAATTCCTAAACCGCCTCCGCCTTACCAACGATTGCCTTTTGGAACTGCCCTTGGTGCGTCATGGAAACTCATTTTGCATTTACGTGATAACGAGATTTGCACACGGCTGGTGGAATCTTAAGTTTGGTATTTTAACTCCACCCATCTAACATGAGGCCATTTATATTTCATAGTGGTATAAAGCAAAATGGGTGTAAAGGATCTGTAGCATCCCTTTGACTTATACTAGGTAATGGCACAGCGTCACCAATCGCGAAATCAATTCCGTTGCCTTATCAGTCTTTTCAGTCAGCCTCATTTATAGGCAATTTAGCTTATTTGGATTGTTTTTTTTTGGAATGAACATAGTAGAAGGTATCGTGGACTTGCATTTAATGCAGGCATAAATAAAAACATCGGAATTAAAAGCCACAAAAGTTATTATATTTTGGTCCGTTAAAATGCAAAAAATAGTTACATTTTACTTGGTCAGGATTAACAAAACACTGAACGTAGACTCACTTTACTAACAGCAACTGCCTAGTTGATCGTCGGCACTATTTAAAATGCTGATTTGCAACCGCCGATTCGGCTTAAAGTTAAAGAATGAATGTTCTGAATCATTATCTAGATAGAATAATAAAACAATACGACTACATTCCGATATTTTATCGGACAAATGAGGGGACAGAAAAATTATCCTCTATCAACTCTAGAAAACCGTGTTAGTAGGATAAGGCATCACTGCGAAGCTTCATTGCTATCTTGATTATAATGTACCCTCAACGCCGTTGTTGAAACATTGTAGAAACGGAAACGCTAGTGAGAACTATCGCAGTGTGGTTGTGCACCACGATGACCAAAAGCAAATTAAAAATGAGATTTTTTGGTGAAATTAACATTTATGACATTTAGGAAACCTCGGATTCTGCACCAATTTTGACTTGATTATCAAACTGAAATTCCGTTATTCTTGATATGCTATATAAATTGCCTCTAAATCACATAAGATTTTTTCAATGAATCGGTATGTGGAGGTTTTAAATGCTTTTTGCAGGCAGTGCCAATCACTCACACCGTGCATGGCAAATTAAATTACACTTATGTTGTTAACGCGTTATGCTCACGCCACACTGCTCAAGAGGTTTTTGAGCTCATGTGATCCCACAAAAATTTTACGCGCATTGACTGGTTAATGCATACCCCTGTCTTTCAAATTCGCTTAAGATGACATTAATCCTAATTGAATTAAAATACCTCATTATCTTGTTTTATAATTTAACTGTGTCCCGCTTTGTTGAAACGCAAATTGGCCCTAATCTGAGCACACAACTCCTGAACCATGTTCATTAATAGCGTTAAAAGTGGACAATTTTTTTTTCAATCGTGAAATCTGTTTCAGTTTTACTAAAGACTTTACAAAGATGTGTAATTTATTATTTTAAATTTTAAACTGCCTTCAAGGAATAAATTATAACACCGAGAGTTCATTTTTACACCCACTTAACTAAGTGACGTATTCTTACGAAATTCCTTTATTTTGTAGGACCCCAAATGAATACACAAAGCTATAATCAATAAGCAGGCTTGAGCAGCAATTCACGTTATCAAATCAATACCTCAGAGAGCCCCTTACATTAACACATTGGCTGTGCGCTTATCTTTTAAATACCCATATGAGCATATTACTATGTTAACATGCCCTTGCTCCCTATGCTGCCATAAGCTAATATCATGTCCACGATTGTAGATTAACAAGCACTTTGGAACATGGACGTGAAAAAGGACTTTTGTTATGTTTGAATTACAACTTACTAAAGGAACTTATACCAGCATTTAGAAAATTGGATTCTTGCATATTGCGCGACCTACTGTACATCTGGGTGCTAAAAATTCCCTTTAATGGTTCATTGAGTCTTGCTGGTATACAGAAATCAATATTATGCTTCGCGATTAAATTAATTTAATTCGTCATCAAAGAATAAAATCAAAATTATAAAAGCTTCAGAGCATAAACACTGCATGTGACAAGCTAAATTGCGATCCAAGTGCAAAGTTTATTCGTTATGACACATATTTTCAGAGCAATCAAATCACTAATTATCTAAAAATTTTGTGTAACATTTTTATCAAGCAAGAGTGCAATTAAAAAATCTTATTTAAAAATGCATTTTTGCTTTAGAGAGGTAAGTCAAATATTTTAAGACCGTTTACTTAATAAAATGTAATTCCCTCAACTGAATCAATCAAATCTGTTCAAAAACCTTTTGGAAAATTTCGCAGATCACTCAAAAACATCATACAATTTTCTTGCTTTTAATAGATTGGGTTATTTAAAAAAGATGATAATGTGTATTAAAATTTAAAAAGACAAAAAAATTTTTGAAAACCCGTTTTCCATTAGAATCAGCCCTCTATAACAAAGCGCCAATTTTTACTAGGTATAATTTTTTTCGTTAAAAAGTTATTCTCAAGTGTGGTTATTTCTTGCAATAGATGTACCATCTATTTTTATTTTCTGATGTAAATTCTATTTTAGTTACCTATGGTAGTGAGTTCGTGGGTGGTCAATAGACGCAAATTTAATAAATATGAGTAACTATGCACCGCCTACATAAACTCAAGATCTGCAGCGGCATAACTTACAAAACGCGTCAACCAGATTCGAAAGAATACGCAGTCAGTCTCCTTGTCAAAAACTGCAACGTTGACTTACAGTAAAACATGAGATGTGTCTCGTTACAGGACTAATTTCAACATCAGGATTTCAAGCATCTAGCTATATCTTATATAAAATTCATGCAGTACACCTGTGTAAATTGGGTTTTTAATAACGCGAAATAAACATTGAATCCCAAAAGGATTGCAAATGTCATTGTCTGCTACGACTATAAACGCGGCAGCTTTTGAGAGCCAGCTGCTTGCATAACTCAACTTCTGTTATCTTGGCAATAGCTACCCTTCTTTTTTAGCATCTAAATTTTGACCGTTTAATGAAAAGTTATTGATATGATAGCTGGGATAAATTTTTAACATCATTTTAAAAAGGTTTTAAACTACATGTACTAATAATAATAATATTGTTGGTAGCGTGCATGGAAACACACAGATCATGTTTTTCAAAACATTCGACTGTCCTAATGCTTTGTTTTAATGGACAAAAATGATACTTCATGCTATTGTCATGACTATAATTTGTCCGTAATTTTGTATGCTTTCCCGTTTTGTATGAGCATGTGGGCACAAGTAAACTGGATAGGTAACTCACAAGCTCCAGATATACCTAGTTCTACAACGAACAAAGAATCTACGGATAAACATTATAAACCTATTAAGTTGTAAGTTGTCGTACACCAATTTCGCAATTACTTGCTTCACTGTTGAGGATACTTTGAGTTCGTTATTTCGTGAGTTCCTATCCATATGTTTTATTACAAACTGAATATGTTTTAAACAGTTTTTCGTTATACGGGGTTTTTACGGCCCTCTGTCACCCATTTTAAATGCTTGTCATTTCTTTCGGACAGGCAGAAGAAATCGAAATCCCACCTCCTGCACCATAAACAGGATGGCAGACCAAAATCTAAGGTGCTAGCTTCTGAATCGGAGCGAGTTATATTTAATGTCAGTGGTCTTATTTTTGAGACATATACCAGCACATTGAGCAGATTTCCCAACACATTGCTAGGCGATCCAGAAAAACGGGCACAATTCTACGATCCTGTGCGAAGACAGTACTTTTTTGATAGGCATCGAGAAAGTTTTGATAGCATTTTATTTTATTACCAAAGTGGTGGCTTTATTAAGCGGCCGTTAACTCTGCCCCTTAACTTGTTTCTCGACGAAGTCGGTTTTTTCCAGCTTGGTGATGATGTCATGCAGCTTTTGCAAAAGGATGAGGGTCTGAAGCCTACAGATAGCATCAGATGGCCCCATGGTACTTTACGGCGACGTCTTTGGCTGTTTATTGAATATCCTTTGAGTTCTAGATGCGCAAAATGGTTCTCACTATTTTCAGTTGCAATGATTGTGGTCTCCGTTATTTCTTTCTGTCTGGAAACGCTCCCCATGTTTATCACCTATCAAGTGGATATGAATCACTCAGTTCCAAAGATTGTAAGAGAAGCTGTTTTTTTTACTGAGCAATTCTTTTACGTTGAGGTCACTTGCATGCTTTGGTTTACCATCGAAATAGGCCTTCGCTTTTTCAGTTGCCCCAACAGATACCTGTTCTTCAAATCTGCCGGGAACATTTTTGACATTGTTTCGGTTTTACCTTTTTATATTGCACTTATAATGCTGTATTTTGAGGTTTCAATCACTTCATCTACTATGTACCTTCGAATTTTGCGATTCTTGCGCCTCCTTCGAGTCATTCGTGTTCTTAAACTTTCGCGTCACTCCACTGGCCTACAGGTACTGGCTAAAACTATAGTGACAAGTGGCCGTGAGCTTATCCTTTTGCTATTTTTCCTTGTTGTTTGCGTAGTGATTTTTTCCGCCATGGTTTATTATGCTGAGCTTGACTCTAATTTAAATAGCTTTACCAGTATTCCTGAATCTTTCTGGTGGGCTGTAGTGACAATGACAACTGTTGGCTACGGGGACATGCATCCTCAAACATCGTTGGGAAAATTTGTTGGATGCGTTTGCGCTATAGCCGGAGTTCTTGCAATTGCTCTACCAGTTCCTGTTATAGTTTCGAATTTTAACTACTTTTACGTAAAGGAAAAGGAGAATGAACTACTTATAAAAATGATTGTTTTAAAAGAACAAAACGACAGAATGCGAGAAGGCAATAAGTCGCCCAAGTCCAAGGCACTTAAGTTAATGCACAGACTGAATTACAGCACGCCCGAAGTTGAGGAAAAATTACAAGACAACAGTGAAGTCATAAACTAGGTAGAAGCTTTAGTGAATCTGCTTGAAGCTATCAAGAAGAAGTTTCTGCCATCCGAATAAAGCAAAGGTTTGTAACTGGACTTAATGTGTTATTATTTGCTTGATATGTAAAATTGCATTTAATGTACCAATTGGCTTTATGTAAAAATTTTATGTTGCTGATATCAAAGTGTCCTATCACAGATTAACAAACAGGGCTGATAATCCACGTGTGATTCGTTGTCATAGGGTAAATCGGAAGTTATTTTTGCGCTTATTTCTCTCATTGAGTTTGCAAGCATTGTGCCATCACATTTTGACATCTATGGAGTGATATTTACTGTCCTTGTGTTCTAGATGTTTTGCTACATAATAGTTCAAAATTTTGTGAATCTTAGGTTCCTTTGTGTAAACTTATTATATCCTTTTGTGACAGATTCAAATTGATGGCATTGACTAAGAGCATAGCCCAATGCAATTTTGGGTATATGTTATCACGCCTTTTGATGCGCATCTGTCAACAACTCGCACTTCCCCATGATATTTTAGCTGTTTGATTTTGGTTTATTAAATAGATCCGGTAAATTCTGAAGCTGTGCATCTAGTGGTCAAGTTGGATGTGCAAGTGGTTAATTTTAGCCGGTTATTATGACTATGCTTTAGTAGCCTCTATATCAAATTGTATTGTGGTGATTCTTAGGTACGAATTTTAATTATGTTCAAAAAATGAGCTTGGAATACAGACACAAAGTATGTCTAGTTGGTGTTTGAGGGGGAAAACCCTGTCATTTGTTTCAGTGAGAGTATTACCACTTACATTTTAGGGTGTCGTTATCAAAACGGTAATAAAATTGAGGTGACCATGTGCTAGTAAATATCTGGCAGAGAATTGTATCCTGCTAGGTCCAATTGTGCCAAATATTTTGTTTGCAATTTCCAAGGGAAGCTTATGTTAGCTGATGGATTTAAAATGACTCAAATTTATCAAAAGCGTTTGGAGTGTGCGAACCCGTAAAGCAGCCTACAACAAGCCTGATTAGTCCCTTTGCAGCCCCATACGTGGCATGTGGCCTATCTTCGTCCTAATGTGAACATTTTCCGTACACATTTTGCAATTCATATAAAGTGTAACCTTATCACCCAAACATCACTGTTCTCAAAGCCATCTTTAGCGTGTTTTTATTATTTATATAGCAGACAATTATGCGCTTTTGCTTGCTACCTAACTGTAAAGCCTGCCCCCAACTGAAGCTTGTCGCGAGTTATTAGCAGACATTTTCCAATGTCTAGTCAAACAGTCAACTTAGGTTTCCAAGTTTGCTATACCGCACAGATTTTCATGGACAAAGACGCTTCGCACACTTCTATTCCAGACTGCTGGCCATGCAGGCCCCTTTTTAACACAAATAGCTCTTCTTCTGAAACTTATCACTCCACATATCTGCATTCTTCTTCGTTGGCGCCTATTTATGAAACCTTAAAGTGCATGTGCGTTCCATTTTCACATCCGGTTGATTTTTGGCGTACTTCAATCCATTAAGCACTCTTTTTGTTGCAATGAGCATTATATCTTAAAATAAAGAACGCATCACACAAATGACTGGCTTTTTGAAAGTCGACAAGCAGGGTTTTTCCAACCTTTATCTTATTCTGTTAAGCATCTCACAATTCTTATTTTCGGTCAACTAGAAGGCTTTTAGAAGAAAAATAGACGGACATTGCCTCTGATAAGTCGAGATTCAGCATAAGCTTGACGGATTAGAACGTGCCCTTAAAGCTATTTCAATCAAGACGACAGCTCTTGAACGATCCTATTACAGGCCTGGTGTCGATGTCTTTTACAGCTACAAGGTACAGCGGTTGCTATATTTACTATTGTTTTGTGTCATAATTGTTGTAGGGTCGTTTAGATAAACTGGCAATTCTGGGAAGTAGGGCTAATCCCCACCTATCAGATTGAAACGGGTAAGCAGCACAAGTGGTTGGAGGCATGAAGTAACTTTAGAGCAACGTCAAGATGCTGGTCAAAATACTTCCTGGCGAATGGTTGTCTAATAATAATACTGGGCTACTTAGTTCTGTTGCCAGGTTAATTAGAAACTTATGTACAGGCGGTGCAAAATAGTTGATAGAAATGGGCAATTTGCTCTTCATGGGAATAATAGGAAGAGCGAATACACTGTTGTAAAACAACTGCTACGTTTGGTGCTTGTGTCTGCAGCCAATAACTCTTTCTTGACATCCCCAAGCAGCAGTCTCTTAGAGGAACGAAACGTGGAGCTTAGAACCAAAAGCCTGTGCGTATCAATAGACACTAGTACAGCCTCGCCCTAAGGCGACAATACTCTGTTATCCAATTGCTTGACGATTCGCACGTGTCAACTTGATCAGAGGTTAATGATCAAAGGAAGTGTGCTCGGCTAACTGGGTCTAGAATGCGCCTTCACTGGCATTAAACACTCATCGAGCCACAAATTATCTTTTGCAGCCGTCTTTGAGATAGCAATTGATTAAGGCTTCTTTTTCTAACATAAAATAATGAAGCAAAGTTCCACTTTCCCAACTGCTACAATACTTGCTTTGGCCTCCGAGGAGGTACCTATTGTTTGCTCATAGGCTTTCTATAGCTTTATCACGAGGCAGCCACTTCAACTCACATTACCATTTCGAATGACATACTTTATTTTAACGCTTGCAAGTAACGGCACATGGGTTTATTCTAGCGACTTATGTAAACGTAAAAAGGCTTTCCCAATGGTTTTGACCACAGAAGTAGTGTTCATAGCGTGTGGATGTATTTGAAAGTCACGCCCAAGGACGTTCTATTTGGGCTGATCAGGATGTAATTTTGGAGCCATTCTATGCTGAAAAACGCGCGGTGAGATTAACCCACATGATCCTTGGCTAAAAAATAAAAATATATGAACATGACAACAGGCAAGGAGTAAAATAGATTTTGTCTGGAAGATCATCAAATGGCTATTGATAACTGATGAATGTTGATCCGATTTCTAATCGATTCCATTATCACGAGGGCCGGTCAACGTAGAACGGCTGCCATGTGCAGATAATGGCTCCAGTTTAAAAATCTACATTTATCTGATTTCCTGGTTATTTCCAACTATGTAGACCCTAATGATGATTAATAGTGAGAGACCAAGTGCATTGCAAATTTAGTCGAGAGACGTTAGGCATCACTATTTGACAGATTAGAAAGTGCTACATACCGCATGTGCCATAGTTAAGGATTTAGGCTCATGTTCCGCGACCATTTAACTGGACTCTTTTTTCCTTACTTTGAGACAGACCAGTTTCTGATAATATTTGTAAAGCATTACTTCCAACCAAAGGCGTTAAATAATCTTTTGGTGATGTGTATGCATTGTCAAAACCAAAACTGACCTCCCTCTTTTAAAAAATCAGTCCACGGAGATTCATGGAGAAAAAAACTGCAAACAACTGAGATTCTAAATACACATGGCTGGACACAGTGTTCTGTTTAAAAGAGATATGCAGTCGATAAGCGAGGGCCTGATTATTTCACATGTTTATGGTTTTTAACCACATCTCAGCATTTCTCAAACCATTTCAAACATCTTGGCGTATGTTTACGTAAAGGCTTTTAACCTTACCAACCAAGTTATGGGAGCACGACTGAATAAACACTAATCGCAGACGACCATCAGCATGCTAGACTTTAGGCGTTATGCCTTTATCCCGAACTGTCACATAAAATTACGCATTTTCTTTACCAATATTTGTTTTTGATCTTGTCATAAGATCACACTGTCAAGTTGTAAAATGAAATATCCACATTTAGTGCTTAATTAACAGGCGACACTCCATCTATTAACGATCGCCGTTGCACCGATTCCATGCTTAACCTACAAACCCTGAGTTTGTAGAAAACAAAGAGCATACGCTCAGAATGCGCCTTGATGAGACAATTTTAAGGAGGAAACAAAGATTTAGGAATGTATGCGACCTTTAATTTCCCCCACATAGGTATACAACCGCTAATATTTACACAATGAGCATGACTACAAGCAATATCCGTTAAAAAAACAATGGTTATAATTAAAGTATTGAGGAGCCTCCGGTAATGGCAGATCCCCGAGAATGTGTGCGCATAAATGCTTCCATGTTAACTTACATGTTATATGCGTGGTGCTGAATGACATGTCTCACATGGCTTTTTGGAACGGATCCAATTTCAGCTGCGAGGAAATAGTACAGGCTGGTGAAAAGGCCGAATGGTATTGCCGGGTCACTACCCTCCGGATCCGTTGTAAACAAGGAACACAACAGTGCCAGCGTGTCTGATACTGTCTAAAAGTGATATCTTAAGTTATGGATGTTAATCAGCTATGTTTAAATAATTTGTGTATAGCTATAAAATTTAAAGGTTTCCGTTTATTTCAACTTTGCACTTGTTGTTGCTAAGATTCGCGTAATGTGTGAATCGGTCTTAATCGGTTACTCATTAATCTAAGTAGCCTTGTAATTTACTCATTATGAAAGCTGCAACAACCCTCTATTAAATGTTTTTGCAAACCTTAGCAGAGAGCTTGAACTAAACAATATTAGACAAATGTGCTGGAAAAGACTACCATAATCATTTTGGGAAAAGTCACTCTTACTGGAGATATTTGAGCCGCCGCTAAAGCAAGGAAATGAGTCCAGGGGGCATCGTATCCGAATTTTCCAGTTGTCCAGATTGCTTGAAGACGCAATAAAGGTAGACCCAATGCCAACCATTTCTCCTCAATTTTGCATAAAGGAATGCGGTGACACATCCCTAACTTAAAGGATAGTTTAAATTACATGAATAAAATAACTCACAGATATCACCCACTACACTAGGCAAAAATCTGTAGACACTTCAAACAAAGAATGCAATTTTACGTTCCTTAATAATATTCCTAAAGGCGAACACGTCAAGTTTGTCTCTAGTGTGATAATGTGTCAATATTAACAGATTATACCATTAGGGGTTTCCACCGGTTGCAATACATTGAAAAATTGGATTGTGGATGCTTTAGTGGTTTGACAATTGCAAATATCCTACCAAAAAGGAGCTGGTAAGTGTATTAAGTGCAAATCCAATATACTGACGCATCATTGAAATGACAAACAATGAGTAGCAATGATTCAACTTCAAATTTCAATGAATTGGTTAATATATCGTCATTGTTTGTTGCAGCATGAGGGAAATAAAACACTAAAGTTACCACATTTTAGTAATGCCACAAGGCTCCATGTTTGTACTTAATCAATGCAAATATTTCATAATGGTTATGAAACGGTCGAAACCCTGTTTACTTGAGCTTGGTCTTAATGTGCTTATTTTGTATAATGGATCTTAATGTTCGAGCAAGGTTAACTACGAATGATGTTCAATTTTTGGTTTTTCTCTCCATCTTTGTAGTAAAACCCTATGTAACGACAAAGCAAATGCTTTAAATTTCAGTTTTTAAGATCACTAATAAGCCCATTTTTGTAAGGCGGTATGTTAACGTTTGGAACCCATCTAGGGTTTCAATGAAGATTGACAGTTAAGGCAATCCGCACATGTCACCAAGTCCGCTTAATCTAGTTTTATATTATGGCAAAGCGAGCAAAAACAAAACGTAACCCATTTTGTCACCAAACTGGACCTAAAAAATAATCAGTAAAAGCAACAACATGATTTGGATTTAATGACAATATAGTCTAAGTCACTAACATACGCAATTATCATTTAACAAAATTGTTGATTTTTAAGAGAAAAAAAAACAGATACCGGGATAAAAATTATTAGGCATGAAATCAATCAATTAAAACCATGTAATGTCCTTATTTGGTCCCTTAACAGTACGTAAATCTAAAAAAATGGTTTTCGACGGGCAGTAAATGGTCGGGGAGAATATTACAGCCATAGCCCTGATAATTAATCAAGAAAGAACAGTTTCTAATCATTTTAATATTCAGTTTTTAAATGCCAGATAACAAGTCTTCAACAGTCCTACATTTAATTTTGGCAAAAACGATGAAAAATAAAGACTGCTGAAAATCAATAACAACTTTAGGGCGAAGTAAGAAAAAAATTACCTGATTATGTAAAGTTTTCAAAATACCTTCGGTCAGGCCAGTGTCTGTCTTCTGTGAACAATATGCCATTTCTAAGCGCTCTTTTACGGGAGGAATTTCGTTATGAGCAAGAGCTTTAAAATACCTAACACAATTAATAAACAAACTGAGATCAACTCATATGACCAGGCTAGAGGATCTTTTGGTTGAGTCCTAATAGCAGCCTTTGTGAATTGTTTTAAAATATCGGGAAGTATGGGTGGGATTTCGATTTGCTCGTGACAGTAATATGGTTCCTCAATTATTGGCATTATGGTAACCGTATACCGCGGAATTACAGATCTCCATAACGCATTACGATGCAGTAGGTTTAAACAAAAATCCTGTTATCAGACCTGTTTTAAAAGGAATGCTAAACAAGACAGCTAAAAACTAATGATACAATGCAGCAGCAAGGTAAAAATAGATACGCTAATGTTATAAGGAAATTACCTGCGACGTTTATCTGTGCAGTTTGTTTTTAAACAAATATATCACTTTTGTTCATTCAAACTGATGCTTACATGAAAAAATTGATAGTTTTTCTAGTAGACACTAGTCTATGACAATAAGCCCTGTCTTGTTAAGCACTTAAGTACTTCAGATTATTTTTTTGATTTTAGCGTCTATTAGGAATACCAATACTATCACTATCAGATTGCCTAGTCTTTGTCTTAACAATGTAGCCGAAAATTAAAACATTACTTTATGGATTCAATACATAGTTTTTTAAAATATTTTTAGGCCTTCTTGGTAAAGGGTTGATAAAACACCAAGACAGTATTAGATAATAATTTTTCTTAGTTACCTTTTATTAGTATTAGTCTTAAATGGGAGCTAATTTTAAAAGATGCTTAGGTTTTCAAAATTACCAGAAAATAAGCAAAACCAATGTGCCCATAATTTTGGCGATAATTAGGACGTTACTTAGCTATAATTTGCGTTGAAATTTTGTGTCGTTTTTTAACTTTTTCAAAAGGAATGCAACTTGAAGCATTTTGAACTCATATGTGGTATATTCTCTTCGTTGATATAGGTAAATGCATATTGTGTAGAATAAAAGGGCATATCAGCTGCATAATTAGCGAAATGACTAATTTTTCCAGCAACAATTGCTCGATAATAAAATTTTTTAATTTAATCAAGTTTTTAGAACCAGGTTTTTTTAAAATTTAAAGCACAGTAACAAAAGAAGGTTACAAGATTAGCTGCCAAGGTTATCGCTGTTATTGAAAAGTGGTGAGACTTACTTAGCATGAATTACTTTACATCCAATTTGTAGGCCGAAGTCGGTTATTATATCAAATAATTAATCCTCTTATTATTTATTATAGGGCTAGTTCATGCTAAGCTCAAATTGCGTTTAGTTTAGTCAATTACACATGCTCTCGTATGATCTTACGGGAGATAACACCTAAATGCTATTGGACGTTTTGTATTGTCATGATTTTTTTCGAATTCGACTTGCCTGGGCCAGAAGATATCATCTTAATAAACAAGTATTATTTGCAAAGTTTTGCAGGTACACTGACAAATTTTTTGAATGAAGTCCAAACTTATCCCGTAAAGATTTACTCGGTTACTGACTGTCGTATTTTCCAGCATGGTACATTAAAGAGATGTTTGGGAGAAAATAAAAGACCTGCATGCATTTAACGATATTAAACGAAAGGCTTAGGATGAAAACATGCAAATGGATCTTAGTTGAAGTCCAACAATAAAAAATTGAGATAAAGACAAAACAGAATGGTCGATTATTCAAATATCACGCGTTTTTAGAGAGTTTAATGGTGATGCCAAGTGTGGAACAAAAAAGTTCTTAAGTGCCATGAAATACAGTACAATCCCAGTTGAAAAACACGTTTTAAATGTGCGAAACGAGTCCTGACCAAAGCTTTACGACATCAGCGATGATTCTGTCCGATTTACCTGATGTACCACTTCTAAGAGCTAGTGACATCTGCAAATAGTTGAAGCTCTAACAATAACGGGTAAACTTGCTGTTGCAGAAAAATGCCAAATATGGTGCAAAACGTTTGACAACGTGCACGAATTATCCCAAACAACAAATTTTAAGACAATATATGAAGTAAACGGTATGTACTAAACTGTAAAAGTATATAGCATATGGGAACGCTTGCAACAATAGTTTTTTTTGCAACAGTGTTCTGTGTGAGCACCGTTCGTGGTTACGTTTGCCCGTAACTAAGAAGAATCCACTCTGGTAAAACGGTAACAGATGCCTTGTCTGACACTAAAACCGGCCTTCTCAAGTTAATGCAAGACAAGACCAAAACTCGTGCAGAGAGCTTAAATCGTCTTAGCCAATGGACAAATGATTTGTCAGAAATTGATGGATAAAAGCGGATTAACACAGATATCACAGACATCGTCCAGCGTCACGGAGGGATTTTCGTCTGTCATATGTGGTAAGCGCGTTCGCAGATCCGTGTACGTAGGGACCTGAACTCTTAAAATAAGGTGAGTTTTGAGCTTGTCATCAGTCAGTAATTTGAATTGACGTTTCTCGCACTCACGATTGATCAATGATAGATGGTCTAGGAAGTCGACATACTATTCTATTGAAAGCTTGAGACATCGGGTCTGGGTACTATATATGGGGGCATGTTTTCCAAGCATCCGTTTGAGATATTGAACGATTTATCCAAAAGTTTGGCTAAGCGAGGACTTATGAAGGATCGTGTTTGTTTATATATTCAGTTATGCTAGACTCAGTTAGCGGGTAAGGTATCTGACCTTCCACGCGTTGTCACCGGACGGGAGGTTGACCCGGATCAGGTCTTCGTTGGGCCATTCTCTCGATCATAGGAAAAATTTAAGGTATTGTTGAGAGGCTGACAATTGTCGGCGTACAGGCAAGAGCAGTCTGGGACGACTAGCAATCCACCAGCATCAACGTCAGGGTGACCTTGTCCTGATGGATGAAAGCGGCTTACCACAGATGTCCGGATATTAGTTAAAACAAAGACGAAATCGGCGACAAGTCAAAGCACTCGTCTTGACATAAAAATTTGAGCAGCGTTCAAAAGAAATGCAAATAAAAAATAGGTTTTGATTCAAGGATGGCAGCAAACGCTGTCTTAGGCTAGGTTAATTTAATCCAGCAGACGCTTAGTCGCCCCCATTTTGAATACAACCCAAATAGGCCAAGTTAACCTATAAACCCATAGCCCAAAATAAGGACATTATTCTAATAACTTATGTGGATTGGTTTATAAACGTAATGAAATCACCAGATTTAGGTTTGGCGAAAATGCAACAGGTTCCATTTTCGAACAGGCAACACGCCAACGAAAATGTGCGCATTTAACACTAGTATCATGCATCAAGTTAAAATACAATTATTAAATCGATATCTCAGGAATCGAAATAGGCTCAGAATCTTTCTTTTGCAAAGAAAAAGACTAGGAAATGATCAAACTGCATCCCAACATCAACAACAGATCGTCAAATGTTTTAAAATAGAAAAGAAAGTCTGGAATCGGTGCGTTTCGGAACTGTCCATATCTGCATTAGAGATATAGACAATTGGTCAAATAAGCAGAAACTAAGGGCATCAAGCAAACTGTGTATTATTTTTAACGCGCTACTAATACAAGAAAAAATTAAGGGTGCATTGCAAGTGAAGATCTTTAAGCCATGTACCCTAAAATTGCTGTGAAAAGTCAGTTAGTATACAAAAATATTGACAGAAGGATGGAATTAAAAGAAACTAAAGTGTATGATGTCAGTAATTGCTTCTGAATATCTCAAGTGTGCGAAAATTTGTTAGACACTAATTTGTAAAGGTAACTAAATCGATATGTTAGAAGAAAACTTTTAGCCTTTTCGGAAAGCTTTTGTAAGTACTGGCCAGACTAAAAAATGAGGCTGGAAAAAATTAGAGTATATGTCAAAAAACTTTCGGATTGTTCTCCATCTCCATGTTGCACAGAAAAATGTCCAGATGTTTTATTGGCTTAGAACCGAAAATAGTGAGCTCTAAAAGGGGATGGAAATTTAAAGTAATCAGAACTTGATTTTCTCACTCCGTTCAAACTAGGGCATTCATCTTCATGCGATATAACTAGAGTTTATGCAATCCTGAGGAGAATGTTTAACTACTTTAAGTAAGTAACTAGCATCATATAAACAATGTTCTTCTTAATGCATTTGTTGTACAATTTCTAATTGTCTATATGTGCGCTTTAAATTTGGTAACAAAATACACAGTAAGGATAAATACCTCTAATCGTGAACAATATAGTTTAGTTGTTAGTTTATCCAAGTAATCTTGTATCAAATGTTAAAATGGCGTGTCCACGCCATGAAAAAGTACCATAGAAAACAACACTTCTGTACTAAACTAGCATCCAAGCAGAGCCGAACAAGAAAAACTGCGATTCGGTAATCATTACCCACTGTGTGTTTTTCGAGAAAATAAATTCACCTAGAAAATTTTTTAGTAAAATTAATCATAACGGTTTTAGAGTTATTGAGAAATTTAATATTATATTCAGTAATCATGAAAACACTTTTGTTATAGTATTACTTATGTCTTATTAGGACAAGCATTAACTCGTCCAATAAGTGCAAAATTTCGATCAAACTTCATCCCTTTTAAAATTTCATTTCCTGCTTCTCATTTGTGCAAATTTCAACAGTAGGGACCATTCATTTTTGCCTCTATTAAGGCAGTTATTAGCCTACAAACAAAAATGATAATGAGAACAAATGACAGATTACATTTTAATGGCTAAGGTATGCAAAAAGTAAATAACTCCGAACATTCGTCCATCTTTATTAAAAACAAAAGAAAATTTTTTGCACATTGGTAAGCCAATATACAATATTTCGCTCCTAATTCATATATAGTACAACGCTGCATTGTTTGCAAATGCTTTTGTTTAAACATTTTAATTCTACTCTTTAGCCATTGTTGTTTAAATTTGTTGGGCACAAACACGGTTGTACTTTTGATACAAAAGGATGACGCAGTTTCTTCCGCCGAATTTGCTCGCTCTCTTCGCACCGCGTGATCCAATCCCGTACCTTCCTCCTATCGAGAAGCATAAAAATCATCGGAAACTTCCTTATACTGGCATAGCTCAGTTCCTTGGAGAGTTTGAGGCGAGTTTTGTATTGTTGGCTTCTGTGTCGTTTTGCTATATGACTTGCTGAAAAGGACTTGGTTGATTAGCGTTTTTCTGCTTTCTAATTAGTTTCTTGATGAACTTGCCTTTTTAGGATCCATCCGAAACACCTGCACCTACTCGAATTGAAACTAGAGAAGAGAGAAAAGCACGAAAACGAAAAGAAAAACAGGAACAAGCCAATTACAAACTCGAAAGAGACCTTGCCCTCTGTAATTTTTGTCTGTTTGCGACTTATTTTGATAGGGAACCCCAAAAAACTCGCTAGTGGTACAACCAACGCGTATAACACCTTATTTGTTGCAAGGCTTGTAAGCGTTTTTTTTAAATATATTTTTTTAGAACTATGACACCTCAGAGCACAAGTTGCGTCGTGAGTTTGATGTCTATGGTCCGATCAAGAAGGTGATATTGTGTTAATTCCTAACGTTGTTTAGATATGTATGGTCAAAGACGCGGCTACTGGGAAGCCTCGGGGTTACGCGTTCGTTGAATTCGAGCATGAACGAGACATGCATGGTACGTCAATACTTTAGGCTCGTGAAGCGATGGTTGATATGCCTAATGTAGTGCTTGAATCGGCGTTGCAAAAGCCGGAGTATTATTCGTACTGACATTCCAACCCATGTTCGCAATTATTTGGTTAAGACAAAGAGCACCGAGCTGTCATTAGTCCATTTGCCCCAGTTATCGCATAATCTACCGTGTAAAACTCAGTTCATTCTCAGTTCCTGTGCGAACTGGGCGGTTCGCGCCTCGACGAATGCGTTCTTAGGCGATCTAGTAGTTCATGGGAGATGAGGCGTATTCATGCCGTTTCTTGTCTTTTTTTATTCAGACCAAGTTACGATTGCCGGCTTGGGATCCTCTAGCCGCGTATGAATGTCATTAGGCAGATTGCACCCTTAATCTTGTTTGATGGTAAGCCGGGTAAGATTTACCAGGGATGAGGTTGCTCTGGTAATACTAATAATAATACCGCAGTCGGCTCATTAGAATAGTCCCCAAGATCACGTCAAATCACGCAAAAAACGGTAATGTGTTTCGCTAGACAGAGGCAGTCTCGGTAAGCTCGGAACATATAGCGATTTCCTTGTCTTTATTTGCGGTTTTTGTTCCCGTTCTGCTCCTCACTAAACTCGGTTGTCCTTCGACTGCTGCTTGCCCTCTAAAGCTGCAAATAAGGATGCCAACGGACGCAAAATTGATGGTCATCGAATTCTCACCGACATTGAACGCGGTAGAACTCGGCCAGACTGGCGACCCAGGCGATTAGGTGGGTTGTAATTGCTACTTGTTTGTGAACTTGAGCTGTTTTCTATGTTTGTATTCGTTCTCCGTTTCTAGTCGTTAAATTACATTGAGTATTTAATACACGAATTGTTCACATACCTTGTACCTAAGCAACTAATTTGCTTAAGTTTGCGTGTTATTGGTTTTAGTATGTTAATTGCCTTTGTTAGGTAAGGGCCTTGGTAAATCTCGAAGTGGTCCTAGCGACTCGCGTCGTGACGACAAAAAGCGCGACGAGGACAGGGACCGGGATAGACGAAAACGCAGTAGATCCCGCGATTACCGCGACCGCCGACGAAGAAGTCGTAAGTTTAACCTATGTAGCCTTTACTGTGATGGCTGTAAAGTATGGTAGATATGCTAGTGTTGCCGGTGGGTGATTTTCCCCAACAATGTGGTGTAGCGCTCTAACTTTTCCGAGTTTATTTTTAATCAAGGAAGCCGCGAAAGAAGACGCAGTGGTGATCGCTCCCGCGAGCATGGTCGCAGGGACAAGTATCGCCGCGACGACATGCTTCAATACGGCGAATATGGCGCGGAAATCAAGGCGGAATACAATGGAGACTACTAACTTGCTGTCAATCTTCGACTTACAGCACCCATGTATACATTTCCTTCCCCACAATATAAGTGTTTTACCACTCCTTCCTTCACAAAATGTTAGAATCATCCAAATGCGTTGTTAGGGCATTCCATTATTTTCCCCAAATGTAGAAAGCAGGCTTTAAGGTTGGGAGGGTTTGCTTGTTAGTTATAGGCGTATTTGGGAGCCTTCCAGTAGCAGCATGCGAGGACCACACCGACAAGCTAAAAAGTGAGGAAAGTCACATTTCAGTAAGTGAAGGTTTTTCATCTAAATCAGCAGGAAAGCGATTGCGTAGTTTTTTTAGGATTCAGATGAAGGCTACTAATTAGGTCTAATCACATGATTGGCGGTGTAATAATAGCTTATGTAGCAATACCTAGTGTCCTTTACACGGGTTCAAACATCAAAGAAGTAATTGACATGATTCACGATGTGTTGGGATAGTTCACGGGAAATGGTATCAAGATTTTTGGTCATATTCGAACATTGTAAGTTTAAACTATCGTGAGGGATATAAGAAATGGCAGTATCTCTTCTACTAGACGCATACTCCATGAAAGGCTTGAAGAATTATTTGAATCAAGCCATCTGTATTGGCAATAATTCTTACGGTAAAACAAAGAAATTCCTATTTAGAAAGTATTTAATAAGGGATTGTGGCGAGCAGCCAGCAAGCACAGCTAGCAGTCGTGAGCGAATGCAGTGTGCAAGCACAAGCGAACACAGGTCATTCGACTAATCGTGAATGAACTCCACGCATCTAGCTGCGTTCAGCGATCAATGCTTCGCAAAGCTATATAAACGCATCTGCTATCCTGTACACACCTACACCGCTGCATCAATAAATTAGTTGAGCTACGCGCCATCAGCATTTTCTGCTCTTCTTTCGGTCGGGTCGTGTCAGTGTAGATTGTCGGCCCTGGTGTGGTTTTGGAAACCACACCGGGGCCCACCACAGGATAAACGAGATGGAAAAGTTTTAAACATAAAAATTCGTTATTTTCATTTTACTGCTCGTGCCAGAACCAACTTCCTGGAATCTTGACCAAGACGGCAGAAGGAAGAAGAACTGGTACCTAGTGTAATGAGAAGGTTGTAAAAAAATCTGGATTTTAGTTAATGTAAGACAGTGACCATTTGTAAGTCGTTATTTAGATTGGTATTATGTACTACTGACATGTGCCTGCGCATCAGACCATCTGAGGTGAATTATGCCAGGACTGCAAATCTTTACTGAATTTGCACAATTGTGTTCTGAAATGGTCACTACCAGCATGGCGCGTCTGTGAGGGAACAGTTTGACCGGAAATCTCACATTTCAAAATCACACGTAGGTTTGCGTGAGTACTAGATGCAGTAGCATAACTATGGCTAGGTGGATAACATAAAATTACCTACACGTATTTTCGAAATTATTTAACAAGCCTAGATGTCAGAGTCAGACATAACAACTCGTTTTAACCTATTTAACGCCTGCAAAAACGAAGGCTAAGAAAACTAATTTAGCAGAACCTTGATAAAGTCTAATGAAAATAATTTTCCAATTGCAGTCATTAAGTCAGTTGTGATCCGTTTACATTTTGTGGGATTATTTAGGTCAAATTACCTTAACTATAGCAGGATGTTATGACTTTTAGCCCATAGAAAACCAGTTTAACTGAACCACTTTGCGCAAAAAATTGCAATAATGATCAGTCATGATCGACAAATTAACATCTGCTTGGCATCAATAATGCAAACTCAATAAGCCTCCAACTTTAGATAGCACCAAGCGCAACTGCTTCAAATGTTTTCATAGAAAATCCAATATCTAACATTTATTTACTTCCTACTAGGTTCTTGTACAACCAAGTTAACTGATATCCAATACGATGAGCCTATAACCCCTGCGTCAGACTTGGATAAAAAGGAGAGATCTCGGTTACCACCCTCACCTAACTACTCAGCCAAACACCCCCTGTACGATAGACAATCTGAAAAAGCCTAAAGATTGGAAGGTGTAAAGATGCAGCACACTCACCTCCACGACGGCGAGAGCAAATAGGACAACGCAAATGACGAACAGTGTGGAGTTTAACTCGTCTGTAATCGTTGACATGCAGCCCTATTAAGTAAATAAACAGGCATTGAGTGTGATAACAGCAAGACCAGATAAAAGGTTATCTAAATCGCCCTTAAACTATGCTTTTTCTAAGGGACGGCAGATCAACGTCTAAAATTGGAAGAGGGTAGAGTTGAACACGCAGACAGTAGGGACAATTTCAATCCTATGGAATATCATTTTGAGATACACGATACTTGTCTAGAGGCACTAACGAATTTTTGCATTTAGCAAGAAGATGGTGCTTCGTTTTGAGTAAACGAAATACTGGGTGAGTATTTAAATTTGGCTTGGAGGCATAAAGTGCTAGATTAAGTAGAAAAAGCAGCATATTTCTCGATGACAGACACGAGCGATATGGAAATCAACAGGAGCTTGCCTATTTGCAAAAAATATTCAGATTTATAAAATATTAGCCACACAATATCTGATTTGATGAACGGTGATTGTAACACCTAATGAGAAATAAGATTAAAGAAGTTAATAATCATTTCAATGAAAAATACCACAGCAAAGTGCGTGCCATGAGCTAAACTAAAGGTATCTAAAAGAGGTTCTATCAGAATACCTCATTATTTTGAGAGATTGACACAATCTGTGAATCGATCTCGACCCACATTTGGAAAGAATAAAATGATATTAACAAATGTGAGGATATATTAGTTTACCCGGAGTTTCTGATCCCTAGCAGTAACTGGATATAATAAAACACAAAATTAATTTCTGACTTATGGAACCAGAAACTTGGTAACCTGTGGCCAGTTCTGTTTAACTATAGGACAAATTGTTCAGAATGTAACTTCAGATATGCTAGTGGAGCCCTCAAAGAATCTCTGGAGGCTTTACGAGGGATAGGCACAAGTCAGCCGACAGCCCAATTTTTTAAGGAGTAAAATATGGGTTTCATTATATGGACGACAGGTTTTCATGTAACTTGTACTAATGGGTTTGATCAATGCCAGAGATAGGGAAAAATACCAAAAATGGCTTTAATATATGCAGGAGTAGTAGTAAAATAAAGGTGTTCTGACATAAAATTGTTATGGCAGGCCGCGTTATTATTAAATCACAGGCGAAACGACTGTAAAACATACGTGCCTTGGCCGTGATATGCATTTTGCTGGGCTTAATGCTTCAGGAAATAAGTCAGTTTTTTGAACATTAAATGTGACGAAAGGAAATAAGATGGTCACTTAAGGACCGAATCTTATGAAGTATTTGGAAATAAAGAGTGAAGTAAGCGCTTTTTCTCCATTAGGTCTTTAAGAAATAATGTTCGACCGCCGCGTTTATCGTCCGGCATTATGCAAACTAACGAAAGCAAAATCAAACTCTTCTTCGCATAAAACCTGTATATAAATCTAGTATGAGAGAGGGAAAACCTCCCTTACTGCTTTTAAAAGATTGTCGAATTCCCAAAGCGACCCAATGACATAAAATGAGGTCAAAGTGGTCTTGTGGCTTTAAACTTTAACAAACTATAAAGTGCAAACTTCATAAAGGTTCTAGATGAAATGGTAGAAAATTAATGGAGATTCCTTTTCCCTTATTTGAATGCTAACAAATAAACATGCATAAAATGTCTTCATGAAATTTTGTTAGGTATCTTTCTTTCAAACACACAAAAAGTTGCAAAGCGTGAGTAGGCTGTTTGATGTAGAACTAAAAGAATCGATTTAAATTCACCACGAATACACGAGTATTTACGTTAATTTGCCCTCAATTAACGCAATAGGCAAGTCCAAATAACCACGAACATCGACACCTCCGCTTACATAGGCTAAGATCTGAGATTTTTTACAATTTTACTTCCTGCATTTAAATATTTAAACCATAGGTGAATATATGCTCAGAGGAAAATCTACGACATGCTAGTTTTCAACAGTGATGCATCAAAGATTCCTATATGCAAAAAACAACGGAGGGTTGAATGATTACCTTGTAATAAATATTTGAGGGATGTATTATCTTGCCACAGTCTGCATGAGGACCAATGCAACAAGAATTAGGAACGATAGTTGGTTGCGTAGAATTGTCCACTCCCTGTATCTTAGAGGCAATTTCAAACTCAGTTCCATGCCAATCACGGTAATTTCTGGCCCCACAACAACGATATTGCTTTTGGAGATCGTCAATAGCACGCATCACAAAAGAATCTCCGAGATGGTACTTGTTCTTCATTTTCCAGACGAGCGCATCAGCGTTCCAATCATAGGCAAATCTATAGTACGACAAAGCAGCAGCTGCAGCAGCAAATTGTAAAACGAGGGCAACAGCTAGAATGATGGCGTACTGTTACTGGCTTAACACGGCCAATGTGCAAAATTACCACTTTTAGGACAGCTGGGTCATTGTTTGAAATTGCCACAAGACCAAAGATGCATACAACAGACAATAAAATTCCAATTCCGATGAGCAAATAGTTGTTTATGTAAGCCAATTCACCCAGGAGCATTGGCAAATACGAATTTCGAGTAACCGTAAAATATGCACCCAAGCCTATAAAAGCTAAAGCAATAGCCTGAACCATAAAAGAATCCAAAAACATTACCATTATAATGAGCGTAAAGAATATCAGGAAAGTTTTAATCCAGCTTGGTGTAAATGCACAACAAGATGTTTTCTTCTTTGACTGATTGCTTTTTTCATCATGGGATAGAAGGGGATCATGCGGAATGCGTTGATGTGGACGCCTCATTCTTCCCGGCCTTACAAAACGAATTCCTTGGTCCGAGTTTGGAAGGGCCGCTATTTGATTGACCTTAATAATCACATTAACTAAGCGAATAAAAATTCCCAAAATATATATTTTTTTATTTTTTACATTTAAAAAGGCATCTAACAAATTTTGGATCTTCTGCATGTATTATAAATATGCTGAGCTCAAATTAAGACAGCATTAACACCAACCAGTCAGAAGGGCCAGAAATGCATTTTCGCATCCGTTAATGTGTTCCTTTTTGATATTTTAAATACAATCACAGTGTTACGTAGCTTCTACACTAGAACATTTATCGTTTCAGCAAACTTGTGCAACACTTCCAGTTGATAAATTTGTGAGCTTATTTTTGATATGCAATTGTACTATGTCGACATATATCAGTAAAACCTCTTGTTAAGGGCAATAGAAATGTTTAAAATAGTAGTTACAAAAGGTATTTAAAAATGCGTGCTTAATTTGTTTTGGTCATTAAATATGGACCGCTGAATGTAAATTCGTGACCTTTTTGTTGATTTCTTAAAGGTGATTGGTTCGCTTTATCAGTATTTTGGTGATAACGTTGTTCTCCTGTGTGCATGGCAGAGGCCGTGGAACTTTTTCAAACGGACACCTTTTTCATTCTCGTCAGGAAACCTTGCGCGATATTCATTGATCGCAGTACCGCTTCTATTTTTGTGAAGTCCTGTACGTCCCCACAAAACATTGCATAGTTCCTAGTACTGTTTTTTATCACTAGCCTAGCTGGAATTACTTACTGCACCACAGAACTTATGAGTGATTCGTATCAAATTTCTTTAGATGTATTAATGTCGCCTTAAACGTATTCCTTGTTTTGTGTGTATGTATTCCATGTTTAGTGAGTTATTAACGTTAAGCGTAATCATAAAACTTTTTTAGTGCTATTCCACTTTCATGTGTTGTTTTAGCTATGACCAAGAATGCCTACCAAATATGTTTTAAATTTAAGGATGCAAGATATAGTAAAATATTACTATATTTATAGCCTATTTCCAAATTCGACAAGTCTTAGTCAAACCAAATTCACTTTGCACCATAAATGTGCACACATATAATTTAGGCTTGCGGAAGAGTATTAGTACTCCACACTTGAGAAAAACTTGTTAAGTCTCTTACAACTGTTGATATGACGCAAATCTGGCCATGGAATTAGTTCCATCTGGTATTTAGCTGAACTGCGTTGAGAAATAGTCATTTGAGAATTGTAGCAATCCGATTTTTGTATTAATGGTTCTGTTTGCTGTTATGCAACCTCATTGCCTAGTTCCTTTTTCCTGACTGCGACTTACTTTCTGCTATTTCGTAAGCGATATTTTCTATATGGCTTAGCTGACATTTATGTTTTTCGAATCGAATCAGCCTTGTCTTACCTAACGATAGCAATCTGTGTTGATTGTAGTAGGCTCTGAAAGCATATGCGAAATTTCATGAATCGAACGCCTTGACTAACTCTGGTGTAAGGCTGTTTTATTCATTTTTAATTGGCTGTTTCACTTGCCTATGTCACACTTGTTTGCTTTCGTAACTATAAAGCATACTTTAGTGCTATCTTTTAGCTATTTTGGACTCAAATAACCGTATAGTGGGACCCATTTATGTCCCTAAACGCCTCTTTGAAATGTAGTCTGATCATCTAAAACCGTTTTCGCGTTTCAATCTCTCTGATTTTTGTAATTTTGAGAAGCGATTTTTTTCGGTAGCTCAAACCCCAATTTGCTCATTAAATCTTCCATTATTTCCGTCTTTACTGGTGTAGAACTTGACGGTTGACATATTAAACCGACTTGACATGATATTTTGACTTTCGTTCAAGTAGTGCCTTATTAATGCTCCGTAAATTTCTTTGTTCGTCATTTATATTACTTTCTTAGGGGAGTTCAATAACGTGTAACCGAAATTGTAGCCCAAGAGATTTAAAAAAATATGTTTTATCATTACCTTCACTTACCCCTATATGCATTTTTGTGCACTAGATCTCTTTTCACCAAATTAAAGTGGTGGTATTTTATTCCAGTTTATGAGCGTTTTTTGGCTCTTCTAGTTAATTTGATTTTTTAGAAGCTTAAGCTTTGCGCCGGTAAATGTGCACATTGTCTTCCTACGTTACCTCAATTTTCTGCTTCGGTAAAAGTATTAATACGTTGATAAGTGACGGAGACGTAGCTTTCATTCCCTTATTATTTATAGCTATTGTCTGTGTTTTTGATTTTTTTTGTTCTGATCAAATGGCATTACATTGCTCCTCAGGCTTACTTTGAATGGTACCGTGTAGATTGTCACAATAAAAACTCTTTTATTAGCAAAGTACATTAACCATACCCCTCAGTTAGGGTGTCACTTTGTTGTAACCTGTTTGTAGCTGTCGTGCCAATATTCCAATGTTGCTACATGTTGCGTCAACTTTAGGTTCATTCGTATGTGCTACCTTTTACCGCTAATTTGTAGTCAACTATCCGCATTCTGTCGCCAACTTTGCTGGTCGAGGCGTGGGGTTTCGTACATTCTGACATTTTGCAAATATTGATCTTCTGTGGTCTTGGTTCAAACTTATTGCATTTTGTGTGTCCAAAAGAAGAGCCGATTTCCTCCTTCAGTTCCTCCCGGCGCCAGTTATAATTGGTCCTGTGCCCTGGCTATTGTGATCTTTCAAAGATTCTCTTATATTCATAAGTAACACTTGCCGAAGTTTGGGCAAGTTGTATCATTTACTGCTGATCTTGTGAGATATTCACTTCGGGCAGATCAGTTTGCCACGTTCTCTATCATAGTAGTGGAAAGTGGCATAAAGATACTTTTGCACACCTGTTTATTAAGTATTAAACGTGAGTACCAATTTTGAATGGACAGGGTGACTGTTGCTAACGTTACTTTTCAAATACTCAATAAACCGATTTAATTTGAGTACGGAAGTGTTGGCGGTATTGTGCTGTTGTGCTTGTCTCATGAGTGGTGGCGATTAAACTCCACACACGAACATCCAATCATGAGGACTGAACGCATACGTAGGCAGAAATGCAAGCAAGTTCAAATTCACTGCAGTAAGTGTACACAAAACACAACGCTAATGCATTCTCAACGATCTGACATCTTTAGCTTTGCGCTTTATGGAGCTTCCTAAAGAGTCTGAAAGGGCCAAATGGACTGTTAAGACAGGACGTTGTGTAGCATTACTTAACGCGTGCCCACAGCCTCATGCCAAGTGTTCTTCAGTAAAACAGCTCAAGTAAAAGTCTGACAATTCAACGTCAGAATGGTGACATATCGGTCATTTTGATTCACGCAGTCACCTGCAACTGCTGTCCTTCGATATGTCGTGTCACCGTAAGGACGAACACTTTTTATGGGATTTCAGCTAATTTACAAGTAGCGCTTTTTACTCAGACCATCTTCGCTTGCAGTCGTTTGATTTTATTCCTTTTAGATATCAAGTTAAAGGAACTAACAGATGCCGTCTGCCTGGGCGTTGTTGAGGGAATTATCGGAACATTTCAGTGTGCTCCCAGTAAGCTAATTAGTCCACGTTGTGTAGTATTCGCACACACACACACACACACACACACTGTTTCGTTGCCTCTTTCACATAAGTGCTCGCCGTTCCTTTTTTCATGTCATTATTCTGCTGGTTTGTAGCCTAACTTTGCTTATTTTTAACCGTTTTCTTGGAATTGTCTTTAAAGTTCTATTTACGCCAAATTCAGCTTTAGGTGACAACCAACGTCATAGCATATGTCTCTTGCGCATTCTCCACATGCTGAAGGGCTATCACGTAATCAAGAAAGCTTTTCAGTAAAAAGTAAACAAAGCTACTGTATGCGTAAAGATCTGATTGAATTTTTTGTCTTATCGATCTGATTGGTAGTAAGTGCTTTACCACTAGGTGTGCCTACATTGAATAAGGCAAGCACATTAAAGGTTTACTAAGGCATAATCTAATCTAGCAGAACTCCTACGTCGATTTGTCCGCGTCGACGTTCATATTTTTCCCATTCGACACCATTACTCTAGCAATTTTGCTTCAAACCTAAGTGCATTTAACTTAGCCCTTCTACAGGCCTGTTCAATTCTGTTGTGGACTTGAATATTTCTTACGTAGATTTTGTTTAAGCTCCTTTTCTCCCTCTTTAGACGATAACTGGCAACTGGTGCTCCTAAATGAAAGTGAATTTGTGTGCTCGTTCCACGATGGAATTGAAGTTAGACGCATCACCAAGATCTCAATTCTCCCCATCTCATCCTCTCCTGTACCTAAAACATTCCAAATCAATGTAGGTCGCGTGTGTGGTTTGTGTACGTGTGTACTCTGTTCCAGTTATATGCCACCATTTTATGATTTTCATATTAAATTTGAGCTCTGTGATGCTAACGGCTAGTGGTATGCCAAATTGACCAATGTTGCAACAAGAGTGAACCTCGCTTGCTTACTTTTCTCCGCTGCCATTCTAACGGTCATGATCTTCTTTTTGAGACCGTGATAGCCGGATCTGTGCCATACTTACATGGAATCTGAGTGTTGCTCGTAGTTAACTGCATTTGCTTTGTTAGAATGTTTGTGAAATTCACAGAATTTGCAAATCTACGTAGTGCTGTATGTCTATTAACCTCTTTACTGAGGATACATCGGTATATCTAAGGTATGTGGGGCGATTCCACTAACTTTAATACTAAGTAAACAATTAACAAAGACAAACTCAAACTGCTTGATAGCTCGTATGGAAACTTTGTCCTAAAAGCACCAACTTTAACATTGTAAACTCCATTATTAAATCAATTCGGCATCAGATTTGGGGCGATTTTTCCACCCACTTATAGTGTCACTTTACGGTCTTTTAATCGTGTACTTAGATCTCGTGTTGTTTGCTAATGTTATTATTTGCCTTCCAATAACTTTTATTTTTGAAGTCCTAAACTCTGCAAACAGAAGCCCGGTCCACGTGGCTGTACTTGCTAAATTTCCAATTACTGTCTCTGCTCACGTCATCTTTTCGTTGCTCTAACTAGAAATGCTCTCAGCATAACAAAGGACTGGCACCATCTCAGGAAACGCCATCACTCCAGAAACAACCGACGATTGTGCAGGCTGTCCAAAATACCTTCAAGGCGGCCTCTGATATCATGGGTTTTAAACAGGTCGGCTGCTAGGCTGCCTTTGATCTCTTCATAGGATTGTATATTTTGATTTTTATCACTTGCTGAGAAAATTCTGTTAAGTAATATTCTCGAACCTTTTTAGGCCTTTAAGGCCTCACAAATTCTGTTTACTATTACTCCCCGAATCCATGTTTGCCGAAATTCATGCGTGGTCAGGCACTCGTGTTCTTGCAACAATAATCGGCATCTCATGTCATAAATACCGGCGTAAATTTAACAACTGCCATGCTACCAAATCACCTGTTGAATGAGTGTTTAATGATTTACCGCGAAGGCCATTGGACACTTTTCATCAAAGCATGTAAAAATGCCCTCTGCTTTACTGTATTCGGTCATACTGACTGATCCTTTCAATCGCAATTAACTGATCCAATGCGAACCACAACCTCTCAAATAGTTGTTCGCATTGGCATCTGCAACTCTAGGGTAGAAATTTGTTCAAACCCTTTTTAAGTAGTCTTGAGCGTGTGGGCTATTTCTGTCCCAAAGTAATTTTCGAAACGGAATTACTTTTAAACTGTTGAAAAGCATTGAAGTGCACTATGTTATTATCTTACGCTTGCCTTTATTTTAGAAATCGAAAGGAGGTAAACGTTTTGAAATGCGCATTAAAGAGGCAAGTATGCTTTTCATTTGCACCTCTGTGTTGGTGGTTAGTTACCGGCTACACGGAGCACCAGTTGATTGCTACCCTTATCTTTTGGTAGCTCGTTTGTCTGCTCAAATTTAGTGTTTCATTACGTTGTGTTGTACAGGAATTGGAAAAACTGCTTGTAGGTGAGGCGGACCAGTTCTACTTTGCCACTTGCGGAGGCGACCTGACGCACTGGACGCAGCAGAGGGAGGACTTCCGTCATCTGGGCGAAATCTGCTCCTGGGACGATCTTATCAACACCCCGCGTGTCTACTGGAGGCCTATCTGGTACCGATACGATCCCACTTTTGTGTGGAATCACCGTATTCTCCAAGATCTTGTGGCCAGTGCAATAATCTTCCTCCAGGTAGACGAGGGTCTGCCGCAATCGGTCATCTCAGAGTCGTTCCGCGCTTCGACATCCGCCTTGGACGGTGGGGAGGGAAAAGAGGAGGTCGTGCGGCGCGAACCTGAGGGACTGGGGCAGCCCACGCTGTTAACGGAGTATTTGCGCGCTCTTGAGTCAATGATTTTGCCGATCATGAACGGTTTCATTAAGCAACAGAAATTGCTGCTGCCTACGTGGAATGCAAACGGTCGTGTCAGCCCGACTGAGTCAAATCCGGTTACGCTCACCATCATCTCACGAAGGAGTCATTTCAGAGCAGGTACTGCAATCTCTTGTAAGGTAGGTGTGTGCGTCCTCGACCGGAAGTAGATTTTTGGCTAGAATACTGCCAGTTTTATACTTGGCGGTTGGATTTGTCTGTTTTTTTTTCTCGTAAATTTTGTTAACTCAAGTGTAAGTTGAAGGTTCGTCTGGCGCCTTTGCACTTGCTCGCTTATTTTAGGCTGCAGGTATAGACGGAGAGGCATTGATGACATGGGGCACGTCGCTAATTATGTGGAAACAGAGCAGGTTAGTCCTGGCTTAGTGGCCACTTTTTTGTCAGGTAAATAAAATGCAAATTTCGTTTAGAACGATGGACTTTCTGCATAATCGCACACACACCTTGCAGAAACTCGCCCTTTTTGTATTAATTTGGTGTGGTTCATTGATTCGAGCATTTTTTTTGGTAAAAACAACAGATTTGGAACTGCGTAACTGTGCTTTATTTAAAACGGCTATTGTAAATATGCGGATCTGCGGAAATTCCACATACATGGGTTATTTGAAGGTGACTCAACACTTTAATGCCTCAAGATATTAGTTTCAGTCGATTTTTTGTAATTACTTATTTCGGCTTCCGTAGGTGCTAGAAGTTCCCGGTGATGTGAGCGTGCACGTTCTCTCCTTCCTGCAAATTCGCGGTTCTGTGCCGGTCTTTTGGACTCAGTCTGGAATCAAATACAAGCCCCCAATCCAATTTCACAAAAGTAAGCACGTTCGTTATTGTATGTCAGCGAAATGTCCCAGCCGTCGCGTTGCCTAAGTCAAGCTTTTGTCCTTAGCACCATTTCGTCCACCTAAATTTTATAAAACGAGGATCTATCATGGATAATTTGCTTGTGCACAGCTCAGAATGAGAATCGGGAAGCATTTCGCCTTCACATTGAACGCCCTCTCAGAGATTTCAGCAGATTAATCGTGGTCAACTTGGTTGAAACGGCACCAGGTCGCCAGGAGAGCAAAATCGCCGACGCCTACATCCGACAACTCCTACTTTTGAACAGTCCTCAGCTCACCTATGTTGGATTTGACTTCCATGAGTATTGGTGAGCTGTCTTTAGTGTAAACCTCGCTTTCACAGTCACCAGCCTCCTAAATCACTTCCTCCTTCTCATTTTTATCAATACTTGGTGCTCTTGTGCTATTGCTTCCCCTCATTTACGCCCTTATCGCCATGGATCTTGTGAGAGAGCATTACCCACAGTTTGCAACCTCTGAGGCCTCACACAACAAGAGTTTGAAATTGTACTTCTAACATCGCAGCGAGCAATCTAACCGAATACCTTGCACCTCATCTGACCCACTACGAACCTCTTACTGTCACCTTCAAAGAGTCATGATCGTGCTCACTTTAAAATTTCACACCTTGGCTGTCTGGACTCCAGTTAACCTTCTGGGTCGTATCCTTCCTGTATGCGCAAATAGCATGTCAGTTCAGTGTGCTCTAGGTAAACCTCAATGTCACGGTGCACAAACGCAAAGTGCACTCACACTTAAGCTGGATTCAGCAGCACGTACCCCAAATCTTCTATTAGTTATTGTTTAAAGTTAGATCATTAACAAAAATTTTATCATTCCAGGTATTTGACTTTGTTAGACCTGAAAATCCCTTCAGAGAGTCATTTCCACACTGCCATGAGTGGGTTGTGACCAATTGCTTCGATTCCTACCGGTACACTTCATGTTATCTGGGGTATTGTCGTGATCAAGTGCCCAAATATGACTTACTAGCCTGTTGTCTTCTGAAATGAATGTCTTTTCACAGGACACTTTTTGTATTTCCTTCCAACACACAAAAGCCATATTTTTGTCAGATTTCAAGAACATTCGGTTAACTAAGACTCCTACGTTGTGTCATCAACCTCTTTTAGCAAAGGTCTTCGCTTTGGAAATGTCTCTGTTCTCTTGGAGGGTGTCAAGGATATTATTCGTGACATGAAGTATTGCTGGTAAGTTTTTTTGTGTGCGGTTACTCAAAAAAGGCTAATTTTTTTATTTGACATTGCTCTCATTAAAATTTCTTTTCTCCAGAGGTGAGGGGCCTTCACGCTGCGTTTTTGTTTCCTCTACTAGGCTTCATCGGAGTGATTTTATGTGCAAACAGGAGAGTGTTTTCCGGGTAAACTGCATTGACTGTCTGGACCGAACGAACCTCGTGCAGAGCGTCTTTGCCACCGCTGTCATAGAAACGCAGGTAATAACCTCCCTACCGCATTATCGTGAATTAATTTTTAAAACAAACCTAGGCTTCGTGGCGTCTTCTGTCTATTCGAGGCTATCAAGACGCCACTTTCGTTCTGTCTCGGAGCAGCCCTGGTGTTTTTGGGTGGTAGAGATCTTTTTTTCCGCCCTTTACTTAGACCCACCTCACAATCATTTCAACTGCCTCAATTCCACCCTTTTCTTTCTCTTTGCCCTAGTTCACTATGAAGATGACTTTGGCATAACCTATTTCAACCACTCGTAACAATTTTACAAATTTTGGCATTTTGTCACGATGAGACCACTTTCTTCCAAGTAGATGCTCGAATTCGGTTACCTAATTTCACGTGGTCTGCTGAAACGCTAACAGTGTCGGTGAGTGATGTAAAAACTCAGTACCTCACTGACTTTGGTCGCTACACCAGAATGTATTAGGCAATCAATTCACCTGACTTTGAACGTGGACATTTTAAGACTGTTTGTGCATCGTGTGCTCAAACTACTGTCTAGAGCACGCCCATCGAATTTCAAAATGGTTGAAATAGGTGGAGCTTATCAGTGCTACCCATGCTTCCCCATACTTGATTTTGCTGATTGAAATCCAAAGATCATCAATGTCATCTTTTTTAAACTAATTCTGAGTCAGAAATTGTATCACAAATTCTCGCCAGTGTAGAGTTCCACTTGAATGATCGCAGTACTCTGATAAAACCATGATTACTGAGCATTTCTAGATGGATGTGATTTATTTTTATGTGCAATACGTGTTTGTAATCCAATCCATTAAAACGTCCTTGTTAACCGACGTGTAATTTGCCAATTACATTTCCTTTGTACTTAAACATGGAACACATTGTGTTACAATTACAGCTATTTTCAATTCATTGGTTTAGTACAAGCCTGTCTTTGCTTTCGATTACGCCCTGATTTATTTGTTCCATTTTGAAACTGCTCTAGCTATTTTCCACCTCGTGGCTTCATGGAATGGAATTTTCAATGGAACTACGTGGTTTAAGAAAGCCATAAAGCACAGCCTGTGACTGTTGAAGTCCCAAATCTATTACCTGTTAAATTGACTGACTGGGAAAAGGAATTCTTCTGTGTCAACATTTTTCGCATTTGCACATTGACCGGTGTTCATAACCAACTGCCCCCTTATTGGTTTTGTGGATCTGCCTTCAACGTTTGCTTCAGTATTGCCCTTTCAGAAGTGTTAGGAGTAAAATGCCTCACATCAATAATACTTTGTTTTCTCAGTTGCGTAAACTCGGTCGTTTACCGCCGGAGGTGGATTTGCCGACGGATTTCTCACGCGCGGTGCAGGCAGTCTGGGCGGATAACGGCGATGCTCTTTCCCGCCACTACACCGGTACTGTCGCAATGAAGGCGAGTCTTGATTTACCTTTAGCTTCTGTCTCACCTGTACTTTAATCCACTTGTACGGTTTAGGTACAACCACGGTCCGGTTGTAACCAAACTCTAGACAAATGCTCATAATACCGATCCAGCATCGTTCAATAGTGGCCTCGGTGACTTTTTACTTATCTCCTGCCTGATTTTTTGCCATGCCTTCATTATGCTCTGTTCCGGATTGTCGATTTCGCCACGATGAGTAATAAAACATAACGGCATGAAAATTGTATTCCGACTTTAACTCGTGTCATGTGTGAACCGTATATCAAATATCAGGGGTAATAATTAGTTCAACGTTGACTGAAATTGAGATAGTATATCTTGCATTGAAAGTGGTGTACACATGTTCTACGAAACATTCATTCATCTGGTTTTCATTTTGAGCCTTTGTTACATGGTAATGCAATAAAGTCATGTTCTTAGATCTGCACCATCCCGTATGTGGTAGACTTTCTCGACAGTGAGGTTTTTCCTGCTTTTCAGTGCTTTTATTCCCTTTTGTTTTTAACAATCCACGACCTTCCGGCTGCAGGCAGTTGATTAGGACTAGTCTTAGCAATCCACTTAGTAGGCCCCAAGAGAATGCTAATCATCTTAAAAGATGGCGCTTTCATGGAGACGCTGTTAGTGCCTGATGATTCATCCCCGAACGTGATGTTTCACAGAACGATATTGCAGAATCACTTTGGTCGAAAGGTGTTTTTTTGTGTAAACTCTAAACTCCGCTTCAAATTCAACTTTTCACACAATGTGGTTTTCGATTTCAGGGAGATTTCACTCGCACTGGCTTCCGAACAGTAAACGGTTTGATGAAAGATGGCGTCTCTTCAATGAACAGGTACTGCTTTATGCTGTTGTACTCCTCGAGCGCATCGTTGAATTAATTCATCTTGTGCTTTATATATTGTGATTATTAAAGTATTTCAGGTTTTAATAAAAAGGAAATGAGAAATAGAATATTAGTCTCCAGCTTCAGCAGTATCTGTGTTGACGTAAACAACAGTTTCACGTTAAGCGTTATCCAATCTGAGCCCAAATCCCGGGAGTCCTTGCTCCTGAAATAAATTGATTGGCAATGGAGTACGCGTTGCGTCTCTTAACGCCCTGGCCAGTAATCGTGATGAAAATCGTGTGTTTACGTAAATGATTGGTGGAGCATTTGTGTCTGCTGCCGCGTAATCGTGGATGCGATGTGCTTACGAGATCTCTGCATTACAACGACGTCTAGCCAAGTGCTCTTGTTGTACTCGTACCTGACTTCTCACTCTCGGTTTCATGTGTATCGATCCTGTGGCACTTGTTCTACCCACTGATTGACAAAACTATCTTGGAGAACGTGTGTGCACATTTTTATAACTAGTTTTTGCTTGAAATTCGCGCTCGTAGCTTGTTTGGCTGGCTCTCGTTAGTATGCCCTACCTAGATCTGAAACACGGTATGTGTAGAAAGGTTTAACTAGGAAGTACTTTTGTTACCAGTATCGTTCTCACTTTTTTTGTCCAAAAAAATCAGAATTTTGGATCCGAATGCAATCTCGACCATGTGCACTATTGTTACTGCGTGCATTCCCGATATATTTTACGATCCATAATAAGCCTTTGCTAGATTTTGTTAAAAACCTCAAGTTGTATCAAGACTTTCCCTCGTAAGTTTTTTTAGCAAGGCGGGAAAGTGCCCTTCTAAAGCCTAAATGTAGGTGGTCCCCTTTGGTGTCAGAGGACAAAGTGAGTATATATCGAGAAGCTCAAATCTCGATACAAGCGTCATGTGCAAGCAGCAGCCTCATAATGCGGTAAATGTGTTTTTTTGCTGGTGACGCGCCCAAGCACGAAGTTTCGGAGGAACCGTTGGGGGTGAGCACCTACTTAATGTCTGAAGTGGATATTAAATCTGAGTAACCAGAACTTGCTCTTACAAAATCCTCGGTAGCGCCGGTTTGAAGTGATGCCAGCGTCGTCTTGTGGCAGGGTTTCCTTTAATCGATAAAGGTGCCTTTCGGTAAAATAACATTTTAGACCTCTGTTGTGTTATCTAAAAGTTATCTCTTGGTGTTTGTTCATCGTTCAGCCAACCGTTTATGTGACCGTATTTTGGAGTGGCTTGCTGCCTCGAATTACCTCTCCATGTGCTAGTTTTTCTGTCGTATGAGTCTTTTGTCCCATTCATTGATCGAACCTTGTTATTCCTTCAACAACCTCGAAGTTTCTGCCCTTACTAGTCATTGTGAAGCGAACCTCGTTCGTTTACCTATTTAATCATGTAATTGTTTTCTTTTTTTGCGAAACTGTAATGCATAACAGAAACGATGACCGGTTATCGTTTCATAGTTGTGCTCTGGTAAATTTTCTTTAACCAAGTAGTATTAAAATATCCCCGAAAACCACTTTAATTGAGGTTTTTTCAATGTAGATATTACCAGCGATTTGGTGAGATTAAACGGCAGGCCGCTATTGACTTCCTTCTTGGACACACAAACAGTCCTGAGTTGCGGTTTCTCAAGAACTGTAGCACTCAAGACACTCCGGTGGAGCAGGTAGGCCCCTTTCCCAATTACCTAGTTCTATTTTGTTTCAAGAAAAAAATTCACCAAGATTTAGTCTATTTCGTCCGAAAAAATCCCGATTATTTCCATACACGGTCCTGCACTGAAATCGCGCACATCATGCTAATTCCCTGTTGATTTGAAAACCAAGGTCGCAAGACCACTCCTCCTTATTTCTTCCACAATTTAAGTATGTTGTGAATTTGTTTCTCACGGGCGATGTGGGTGACTGTTACGTTTGCCCTTAACAAAGAAAAATTCACTCAGATAAAACGTTACCAGATCCCATCTTGGAGAATCCTAGATCCTTACATCTCTTCGTTGGCCGTTTGGGTCAAAATAAGTTTTCTCTAAGTTGGCCTAAATCTTTTACTTGCCGAAAACCTTCAAGCGTTACGTTTCAGTCATACTTTAGCATTATTTTGAATGAACAGACTAGTAAGCGTATGATTTGGTGGATTTTCATTACAAGATGTGTGCGTTTCGCATCCCAAAATCATAGAACATTTAAGTAAATTCTCTTGCAACATCACGCTGTTCATGTGTTTCATAACAAACCAATGCCTCTGCCGTTCCCAAATCTAACTTATAAAATACTGAATTAACGTGTACACTAATTTGCATGGGTGGGCGATGTTGCTCTCATTTCTTCCTCAGTTTTTATCTTCAGAACTCAAATTCGCCGTCTTCTAATTAGTCTTCTCACGCCCACTAAAGCGAGTTCTGATGTAAAGAGCTTGTGCACTGTGTACATTTTTCAGTTTGGCAAAATCGTCTCTCGCGTGAAAGGGTAGCAAGGTTGTGCGCGACCACTTTGCCAGTTTTCTTCTTCAACTTAGTAAGGAGTTTGGGTAACTTAGGTGACTATTTATACCGCCTCTAACTGCCCCCAAAGTTGTTGCTGTCTGTGGTTTTAAATTTCATCAAGGCCTCGCTGCCGTCGTCCCTTTTTGTGGTCGAAATTTTCTCTGGTGAAACCCTTTTCTCATTGCGTTCTGCTGTGCATGCTTCACTCATAATCTTCCCACGTGTCTAACTTTCCTATGTAATTCTATAGGTACGTTTGTGTACTTTCCAGCTAGTTGAGCCTTTGAAGTCAATCTGCGACTGAATTGAGCTAGCGGTGATTACGTAAACCCTTGACTGGTAGCCAAGCCGGCATGGTCTTGACCGTAGAAAACACGTCAGTATTGCTGCCGAATTTCCAGGATATTACTGATTGTTTTTCTTTTGCAGTTGTCGAGCATCGAAGTATCTTCCCTCCTGGCCGCAATTCGTTCTTCCTGCCTTCAGAGTGATGAAGACTCATTCTTTGAATTTGTTGTAACCAGTTCCGTCATGTAAGTTCTACCCTCACACCGCTTACCCCTCTACTCCACTGTTAATAGTCTAGATTGTTGCAAAAGCAAGTTCATCCTCTTCACGTCATCTGTTCGATTTATTTGAAATTCAAATGATCTTTGGACCTACTTTTGTCTATGTGGCCTTTCTCTTCAACCGTGCTTCGGGGATGTGTCATGTCATTGTGTAGGCCAATGCTATCGAATGATCGCCCTGGATGTGATTGTCACTAGTTTTGTCGCGTGGGTGTACCACTAATCCGAACATTAATCCTGCCAAATTTTAGCTGACGCCGTGTCAGATTCGCATATTCTCGTTTTCCAAACACTTCCTATTTTGTCTTCTGGACAATTTTTACGCTTTTGTCCCAATTAAACTAATATTTTTATCTAAAAGTACCAAACGGAGACGTCTCCGGAAAAACAGGTGAGGTGCCACTAACTTCTTGCAATTTAACACCATACAGCAGCCTAGTGCTTGTCGTCTTACATCTGCTTCTGAAATTTTTATCTGTTCTGGATATTGTTTTGTGTCCTTTAGTTTAGGAACGAATGCTATCTTGTCGTCACTAGTGTAATTTCAAAGTCATTTCGCGGCTAAATACTCATTTTAATAAATCTTTCATTTCCTAATTTGCGACCTCGTAGCTAAGCATCCCAAAATCAAGAATATTTAACGGCTACTAGCCGCAGAAATGTCGATTTCTAAAGTCTAAAATCTAACCAGTTTGTCAAATTGTCGCCTTGTCAACACTAGCCCATTGAAATCTAACCTGGTGTATAATTAATTCCAACTCATGCCTTTAACGAGTGCACTAATGTCCACTATACTGTGGGGTCCCTGCGACCCAGGATTTACATTTACGCTCTGGTGGGGATTCATTTTTTTCCAAAAAGATTGACCCTCAGTTTGTCTTTGTCATCAGAAACTTTCGCACTTTCCCATCCAAACATTACGCCCGGACACTGGAATCCGCGGTCTGGTATTTCAGATAATTTAAGCAAATCATTTGCTTTCATGGACTGCATACTCGTCCACAGTTGACGCCAGTCTGCTTGCTTGTCTAATAGGCTATCAGAAAATCGAATTAGGGGACCCTGATGTCAACACTACTCGCTGGCCACTGAGTTCTTGATGCATCTGCTTTTTAGGCAACCGAGACGCTCAGATGTCAGAGCCTTTGGAATGCTAACAACCAAGAATTTGCACATAATCAGGTAACTGCTTGACGTCCACACTTTACTCCTTGTGAGCACACTGCAAGGTTTTTTGTTTAACTTTTGAGAATAATGTTCCAATTTGTGAAGTTTATGCCTTCAGATATCACTAACGAGTCTAGAATTAGATACATTCAGCAAATTTAATAAGTCAATTTTTAAAAATCAACTCACCATTTGTTTGTTAGCTGAGTTATACCTTTTTAAAAAAGGCAAAATTTCATGATCCTAAATCGACGGATTTAAAAAGAACCTTCTGCTTAATTAGCCAGGAAGGCCGGTCCTTTTCTCATTGTACTGTTCCCGCCCGTTTTGAATTTACTGAATGGGGTGTGTTCGGACATGGGCCCTTGTTAATAGACTTGTGTGAGTAAATAGTTTTTTATTCCTTGTTGTGAGCACCTTAAGACCTTGTTTAACCAATTCGGGGTGATGCGTGGCAACTTCCAAAACATCGAGTTTAGAGCAGACTGCCTGTGACGATGAAGACACGTCACCCCATTCACTCATTAAATACAACTATGTCGTGTTGTTGTTACGCGGTGGATAGAGGTCAGGGTGCGAGCGTTAGTGTATATATTACCCCATGTTGAGGCCAGGTAATCAAATTTCAGTCCAATTCACTTGTTAATCGTGAATATTTAACCTGACACAAGCACGGGCATTGCACGCGACGGCAGCAATCCCTCACACCTTCAGAGGATCAACAATGACAACCATAGCCCCTGTTGTCGAACGTGTGGAGTAACGGCCCACCTTGAACCTGTGTAGAATCCTTTTATTTTTTGACCCTATTTACCTTCCTTTATCAGTGTCTCCCTACTCTAATATCCTAATACTTCGACTACGTTTGGAAGCAGGGACTATGGAAATGCTAGAGGCCTTCGACGTATGTCGGCTCGATGCTAATTCTGGTCGAATTGTGTTCTTGTTTCGACGAGCATTGATGTGGAGCGACTAAGCACAAATTGTTGGAGTTGGTGCGACCCTTTCACACAATCACTAACATTGGCGATAACGGGTTAGGCTCATCTTGTGTAGGATTCTAAACTCGATCTTGCGTATTGTTCAGCACATTTTCCTATACTCCAACCACAAATAAATGTTCCCTTTTTTACATTATTCTGTGGTTCTACGTTACCGCGCTCCCCAGATATTTTAAATGTTCCCTTCTGATGCATCAATTTTGCCTGTGTAGATTTAGTCGAGTGTCACAATCATCAAGCGTCATTATAATTCCCAAGCATTCATTTATCCCTTTTCACTTCCTGTGGAATAAGCGTACCGTACTCTAGATTCATGGGTTTTTGTAAAAAATGCTGTCCCTTGACGTGCCTCAGCACTGTTTATCAAGTTTATCTCCACACCCTCATTGCAGGTTTGTCGACGACCCGCTCACCAATCAGCAGGCACAGGTGCGCCTGCCCATTCGCGCGATCACTCGAATTGCATTTGGTGAGTGCATGTCCCTCCCTACATTGGAAACACCTTGATTTAAGTGTTCCGCTATGACTCGTTTGAATGCTTTGCTGTAAAATGTGTGTTTCCGAAAACAAGCTGTGTTCTGGCGCTATGGCACCTTTCTGGGCCACGATGACCACATAGAGGCTCTCTGAGTTTGCCTCGATTGTCAACTTTTTTCTCTGTTCATAGTTGTTCATGGAACTACCAATAGTTGTTTTGTGCCAGTCACTAGTCAGCCAATTGTGGTCTAGCGAACATGCATGTGTGCCAACTTACGGTTTTTTGTATCAAAATTGCCTTTTTAGGAAAGCCAGGCCTCCTACAACCTTGTTTTATTGGTATTAGTGGCTTTTTCTTGCTCTTTGCGTTTCGCGTTACTTTCGCTTACAGTCGCTAAGTTCTCGCAGATACTCGTAAGCTCCTAGACTCAACCTAGGACTTCATCATTCTCTATTCTACAAACACTCAGCTCCGATGTGAGCTTGGCAAAGCAGCCTCCACCTGATCGTGATTATCAATTATGTTTTAATTCGATACTGGGAAGATGTGTCTGTATGGCATTGTTTTGCTCTGCGCTGTCGCACCCCATTCGCGCGCAGTTTGTGTTTCGATTTTCACTTTCTTGAGCGACGGTTGACTGTGGTTCCGTGTTGCGCCCTTGTGATTGGTCAGCCCTTATTTGCTGTTGATTCGTTGGACCAAGGTTTTAAACTTTTCCAAAACCTATAGTAAGCCTCAGCAAACGCGTTAATACTTAAGGCCGATGAGCACTTTCAATTCATTGTCTCTCACCTGACAGTTGTAATTTTTGCAGGTTCTGAATCGGCTCTTTTCAGACAGTCCATCCCCGTCCTCCGCATCTACTTTTCCCCACCCCCTGAGAACCCCCATCCCTCACCCGTGACCGCGCACAGCGTTTCCTCAACCGAGGTGTGTTACCTTTTCCAACCTTATGAACCGTGTCGTGTTGATGCAAGCACCGGGTACTAGAAGACTGTCTGTGGGATTTCACTTTGCCTCCAGTTCTCGCGGGGTCGTAATGGGGTCAGGAAATCCCTCTAACGCTGCTCTATTGCAGTGAAGGATTTTCCATAAGCTCAATCACAAGCACCCCATCTGTGTTCGTGTTTATAAAAAGCCTAAAACATTTACATTGTTAATTGAACTTGCTTATAGCCTAGTTAGATGCTACTGGGGACGTTAGGGATAATTTGATGAGCCCATTACCGGCTTCATTGTTCAATGGCCTGCAGTTTCCCATTCCAGGCTTTAGTGTGTGTTTGTACTTTAGGAAATCTCACGGGGATTAGTTTTTACTGCAAATCTGGCGTCGGTGATTTTGATGATCCCATTTTTACATAGTTCAGGTCGGAACCTGCCAAATCAAGTCAGTTGTAACAGATCTTGCTAATTGAACTACTGCATTACCAACATTCTGCTCTCAAAATTCACCTACCTTTCTCTGTTTTCGGAATTTTTAGGCTAGGCAACAGCTATTCACGATAATTCTCTTTACTGAAAATGTTTGACCTCGAGATGTGGCAACAGAGCTTTTACTTTGGGGAAAGTCGTCCATTTAGCTTACGTTTACAAAAGTACCGTGATTTTGTGCTCCAGGAGCCCATGTGTACAGCTGCACTCGTATTCTCACGACCAGAATTGTGTCCCAGCCAACTCATTGCACTGGTGTTTTTGCTTTCGTGTACTAGATGGCTCACAATACAATGACTAACATTCGAGGTAAGGCCTCGCCCATTCCCCTTTGGTACCATAAGCCCTTCGGATTATGAGGCAACGTGTGAGTATATTCAAAGGTTTCTACGTGTTTCATTCATGTAGGCGCTGGACGTGCGTTTGGATGACAAAGCCACTTCTGAACGCCCCCAAAAGACAGGTGGCGAGTGCTACCTGGACCTGCGCCAGCCCCCCTTTCGACTGTTCAACAACTACTTGGTTCCGGTTTCTAGTCCGGACGAGGCCATCGATGCACTCAGAGTCGTTGCCGAATCCATCACTCTGCTACTCCAATCAAACGGTAAACACGCCATTTGTAAATGATGCCTCAAGCGTACCATTTTCCTCATGCAACTAATGTCATTAACTGTAGCTAAACCTCTTGAATCGTTGCATTGTTGGGGGTTTTTGAGCCGTGACTTTCTGAATGTCTCAAATACTGGAAATTTTCTCCTTGTGAAAATAACATCCACTCCCATCATAGTATACATTTGCTGGGTATAAAATGTTTGTGATTCGTTTCTTGGCGATTTAGGAAAGATCGTATTGTGGACAAATATACCACAGTGTACCCAAGGGAGAATTGAGACGGGACTCGAGAGTTTATTTGATGTTCCATCGAGTTGTGTTGTTGTTTGTGTGTATTCGAAGGTATGTATGACTAATGAAGTTGCTGACCAATACAGTTTGGGTGAACTAGTACGGGTCAAATGACTGAATGGCTAGACGAGTCAAATTTGCTCCGAGGGATGTGTGTGATTAGTGTGGACACTGTGAGAGGGGAAGGCGATGTGTAAATCTGCGGCGACCAAGGTGATGGACGTATGCCACCACAACTCAACATAATCGTGCATCGTGACCGCGGCTTTCCATGGTGTTGTAGTTTCCCCTTAAGTTCATTTTACGATTGCGCCTTTTCTCCGCACCTCCAGTTCAACTACTGTTGATGTCATTTCGAATTATTTTCTAGTCCTCGATCGTAACCAACCATTGCTTTGGCTCTCCTGTTGCCAATTGATCGATGACCAAATTTTCCTCTTCTAAATGTCACTCTGCGGTCCCAATCTACTGTTAGGTGGTTATGGGTTAACTGACTAATTTTTTGACCCTTCACACGTTATCAGGACTCCTAAAATGCCTCCCTTTACTGTTTCAATGTAGATATTAACATCAATATAGACACCACATCGTCAATAGACACTGGGAGCCATAGCATTTCAGTGATGCAACGGAAACCCGTGCCACCACTACCAGCAGAGTACATCCTTTCTCTGTCTCCGGAGGTCAGCGAAGTCCTTCAACAGACCCGCGAGCGATTGCGACCCTTCCTACTGCCTCGGTCGCGTCCAAATCCGCGGTCCCGTCGGCGCTCCAGCGCCAAAACCCCCAAGCCAGACGTCCGCTTGCTCGAGCCGAAGCAGCGCTTCTGGGCTTTCAAGCAGGCCCAGGCCAGGCCTCGTGCTGCTGCTGCCGCCTCTGCTTCGGATTCCGCCGTTCGTCCAGGCAATCCACCGCCGGAAAAGGTCAGTGAAGGATTTCATTCCTTCGGCCCACTACTCACCGTTGTAGGTTCAATTTAGTGACTTTAAGGTTTCTACTATTCGACGGACGCTAGTCAGTAAAATTCACCGTATCTGAGCCATGGGCCTTCACTGCCTTTAGAGTGTTGAGCATTTACCCGCAACAGAAGCATGTTAATTCATAATTGTCCATTAAGGGTTGCGATTGACCATCACTAATTCTCGAAACTTTGATTGGAGCTGTCGAGCTTATTTGATCATGTCCGTACGATAAGTGGATTTGTTGTTTTGTGCTTACAGGGCCTAAGGGTGGCCTTGGGTTCGATGTTGAAACAGTCGCTTCCATTGATGGAAAAAGTCTTCGCTACCAGCTCCAGCGCCCCTGCACAGCGCCACAAAGTGCTGGCTCCCATGAATGGCTCCTCTGTTGTAAGTTTTTCCTTCATAATTTTTGGTGATGACGAATTCACCTGTGTCAAGTCAGCCACTACTGAATGTGCGTTTTCTAATTCATCTGACTGGTATCAGAGTAGGCAGAGGTTGGGTAAATTATTGCCGATTCGGCCTGTTTTGAGGGATTCTCCAAGTAAATACTCCGTTAGTTTATTTACTACTACGCCTTGATACATGTCGAAAAAATGACACTGCCTGTCGTCGTTCAAGTGCCCCTTTCTTCTGCTCACATTTGAAACACATCAAGGCCGTATGACCCGTCTGACGTTCAGGAAGAGCAGCGGCAGCCTGAATCTTAGAAATATGCGCGTTTCTCACGAGTTTTCCGGATTGTATTTCACTTCCCACGGATAAAGGCAGTTGTGTCTTTAGTGGTACCTTCTAACCGATATCGAAAAGACAAAGATCTGTAGGTGGGGCTGTTGAAGGTTTTTTGAAAAAAAGACATCGTTTCCACTCGGATGTATAGTTTTCAATTCCGTCTTTTCGACGGTATTTCTCATGGCATTTTTGGTACTTCCGGCCATCGATTACTTGGGGCTTGGATAGCGGTGTTCTAATATTAGCTTAAATTTTTTTGGTTCGCATCTAAAAAATTTGAAGCATTTCTAACAGGAAGTTATTTGTTTAACATTTCGTCGCTCCTTTGAAACTCAGGGACGGTTTTGTAAGGTTGATCACACCAATGAAAGTGGCCTTGGCAACCAATAACAGTGACCTTGTTTTGGTTTTTACCTCTGAACGGCCCATGTCCATGCAGTTACGGCTTCAGCCATGCGAATTTCTTTACTTTGAGGGTCAGCCTCTGGAAGGCGAAGACACTCGGTCCGCGACAGGTGAAGATGACGATGAGGCCTTGGAAGAGGAGGTCGAACAGGGTGAAGACGCTTTGCTTTCCTCCGACATCGATGATTTGCCGGTGCGCATTATCACACCCACAAATTTCGTCTCAAGTGCGTTTCGTTCGTGCATTCTATGGGTGAAATCCCCTGTCATTTTACATAACTTTTTGAACTTTGGCTCTGAGTATGTCGTCTTCTACTCGTGAGCTGTGGTCGTGTAGATTTGCCATTGGGATATCTGGATGTGATGTATTTTGCGTGTCTTGGAATCCTCTTTATTTAATTTCGTTGAAAAGCGCAGAGCCACATCGTCTCTCCGATAACGCACGTTTACCGTCTCGAATGAAACTTGCAAGCCTCGAGGCAATAAATTCATTGGCGAATTCGTTCACATCGTCCAGCGTTTTGATCTGGCTATCCACTGCATTGATAGGAACAAATGGTAGTCGAATGGGGCCAAGTCTGGTGGATATGTCCCGTGTGGGAGGACTTCCCATCCCAAGTTAAAGAGGGTTTTCTGAGTCGAGCGAACAACGTGACGTAATCGAGCGTTATCATGCCTGCTTTGCCCAGTAAATAGCCTTTTCTCGTCAAATTCTTCGCTCGTTTTGTCCAATTGTCGGCTGTAGCGTTTCACAGTCACCGTCTGACCGGTTTCCAAGGGTTAGTAATAAATTACACCCTTCATGTATCACTAGATACGCAGGAAAGCCCTCTTTAAGTGGATGTCCTGTTTCGGCGTTGATGTACTAGGTTGCCCGGGGTCTACCGACGACTTTTTACGTTTTGAATTTTCGTGCAAAAAGCTTCCTTTTGCCACCCATCACAATTTTCCACAGTACGTCCTTTTTTGTTGTAGCCTGGCAAGCAGTAAAAGATACGTTTACTTAGGTTCTGTTTGGTAAACATATGTGGGACTTGTTGTCCGGTGTTCTGCAACCTTTGGACGGATCCTTTCTAAACCACGAATAACCGCGAAAATATTTTTATTTTAATTATCATTTTAAGGTTGAAGAAAAAACGTGCAAAAATTAGTTATGCCCCTACTATTTACGTCGTTTATTTGTGAACACATGACCTACGTGGAAACCATGATTCCACAATTGTTTTGTTTGATTCTTCGTCGAGGAAGATGCACGTTAGTAGTTCATACTTTTTAGTTTCCGACCTTATTTACGAGTTGGAAGCTGGAACGGACGCCGACGACGACGGGGAGGAAGAAGAAGAAGCGGTTGATTTGGGTGTTGGTTTGAATCATGTGCATTCTGCTCCTGCCGGCCTGGCGCAGGCCAGTGAATGCGATCTCCCAGAGAAGACAAACTCCACCCTCCTTCGCCCGTCCTCCTCCCCGCTGTTTCCACCGCTCAGAAGCGAGGTATGCAATTTAGTTGACGATGTCCTTTACCCTCTAATTTGGCCGAAAGTTGACTATTACTTCAATGTTTTGTGGCGTTTCTAACACATTGATTCACACTCGTTAATCCGATCAGTCCAGCCTCCGAAACACATTCCCTTCTTTTGCAGCATGTCGCCAGCCGTGCGGATCCTCAACCCCTTCCGCATTCTAGATTATCCTCACACCTAAGTCCCAATGCTAGCACATCTATGACTCACACATCTGAGGTACAAATACACACTCGCTAACGCCACACTCGACACGTCGACACCAACCTGTTTGATTACCCCAGTGGCCCCGGCGTAGTTCAAGACCACATGCTGGGGCCTACAGCACATTTTTACTACGACTACAATGTAGACAAATTCTTATTTCCTAATCTTATAGGTGCTGTATTAAACTGTTTAGCACAAACCAAGGTTTGCCTCGCCATCAGCCACTCCCGTATTACTTTCTGTAAACTTAAGAGTTTGTATTATCGCGTTTGTGTTTTTCCTTATTGGCAGTATGTTCCGTCTCAAGCATTAAAATCGGGCAATGTACCACCACTCCTGGTTCGAAGTCTTTCTTGCGGTGACCTCAAGGAAAGCCGACTTCCTCCTGCGCGTCTCCGAAGGGCCATCTCTGAGACTCTGATGTCAAGCTACCGCGCACTGATCCGGCCGATCTCTGCATTGAATGCCTCCCCAAAATCGGCCGATACACCAGAGCCGGTGTCCACGACGAGTTTGCGGGAGCGGTTAAGTTTGCACTTCGCCGCCCTCGAACTTGTTCCCATAACTAAGCTTGAGGAAGCTGCGAACCCGCGTTTTGTGTCTCGGCTTCGCCAACGACAAGAGGCCAATGCCTCAGCTGTCGAACGCCAGCGGCATCTTACTTGCCCTTCCGATGCTTTCATACAAACTCAGTTCGTACTATTTTAAGTTTGTCTTTCTACTTCTCGTATATGCGTTCGTGTGCAGCATTTATTCCAGGCGATGTGATTCTCTTTACTTTTTCTTTTCTGTATACTCGTGTTCCTCCAGAGATTTTGTTGCTCTGCCTTGATTGTCACCCGTTATTTTGATCACTGGTTGAGTATTTATGCAAATGGTGCCTCCCAAATCCGTCATGTTACTTCTGCTATTTCAAAAACTGCGGCATAACTCTGAAGCCGAATCCACGGCTGTGGTTGTCTGTGTAATTCCATCAGATGTTGAACTGTCAAAGTAGTAACTGTCTTCTTCTGCTTCGTATTGCGCATCTTCTTGATAAACAGTACTTTCGTGTCTGCTTTTTTTCTTGCACATTGGCGGGCTGTCTAATGAAGTCGGCGATTTAGAAGCCTTCGCGATCACACCAAAGTCAGTGTATGTGCAGTAGTGCTTAAAATGCACTTTTTTACTCAGACGAAGGAAAGTTAAGGGTGTGCTACCTCATGAAACCTGAATCAGTGGCTTGTCCGAAGAGGTGGCGTGATAAGTCTTAAATGCCAGGCGCCGAGCTGTTTTGGAAGTAGCCTTTCACCATTAAAGCATTCGAACATCCCAAATGCTACCGATTGATGCTATGGAGGATGCTTATAACATCTTGCCAGATAAGAATTTGTCGTCTTTTGAAAATTTGTCCTTACCTTAATTGCATGGGGTAGTGGTCAGTCTATTCACTTAAGCCCACCACTTTCACTAAAATCTTGTCTTTTAGTTATTTAGCTAATCTGTTTGGCAACCACGCAGGTCCCTAAGCCATGCAAATTGGAAAACTGCCTACGGAATGTATTTTTGCGATGCAAAGCCTTTCAAAGTTTGCTTGATCGTGATTGCTTTTTCGCTATAATTAGGAGTAAAGTAGTAGTGATTCTCTTGGCGTTGCTTCCCCATTCATGAAGGATTCCGCCGCACGCTCAGTGATATTTTTGTTCAAATTATGTACGAACAAACGCTCTGATCACGTTGTTACCAAAAAGTGTACTTCTTGGGGATGGACCAACCCTCTAACCATACTTATTGCATGCACTCTAGACATCAGTAATTAAATCATTATCTGATCGGTTTTCTGCATACATCCTGGAGCCAAAAATGTGCTAAATGATTGTATTTAGTGACACTTGGCCAAATTATGGGGTCTGTGGCAGCCAAATTTAATCACGAGCTAGTTGACGTAAGTCCTCGTTTAATGTAAGAATTAGATGATATGCACAACCACCACACTGTAGAAGTATGCAGAGTAGGTTAGATTGTAAGGCCTAGGTCCAAAATGCCGTCAAATGTTGTGTACGTGGTCTTACTGTATAAAAAATCTTGCTTCCTGGGCGATGCGTTTGGAATTGTGTCAGATAATGGCAGCTTAGTTGTTTCGCGTAATCGTTAATTGAAAAATATATCGTAATACCTGGATTTGACTTTTAAATGTCCTAAATTTGGATTGGATATTTATGAGGAAACTTCCTGTTGGGAACACAGGTTTTTTGCGGTTTTAGAGGATCACAAAAGTCTACACTTTTTCATGAGCTATCTGTTTTTTTAAACAACGTTTTTAAATAGAAATTCAGCGTCGTACGTTCGGGTAGATTGACCTAAAGATTTCAGGTTAAAGCGAACACTGTTTTCTCATTTCTCTTAATTCATTGTGCACCTATGTATGTGTCTACTGGGTCAAAATCTGCTCAATTATTTTGTGTCAATTTTTATGGCACCTTTCATTGATAAAGAAGAGTGTGAGTAGTAAATTTTCCCCGGATGTTTTGGATATGACTAATGGGTAGTCTTTTACCTTATTTGTGGTCTTTAAATGCAGAACGGATTTAGTATCTTTACGTGGAAATTACTTAGATATATCTGTCTGGAATGCTTTTGTGATATGTTGGTAGTTGTCACTCTAAGTAAACCCTTAATAAATGTTTTAAACATTAACCTTGCCAGGACTTAAACTCTCAAGGAATACCTTATTCGCTAAACTAATACATGCCTTTGCAGTTACAGAAATGACGTTAATGTGGCTGTAGTGTTCCATGCGCGGTCGAAAGCACATGCCATGGTTTTTAGCACGGGCTGACACAGGCTATTTAATCTGAATGTCAGAAAAAATGTGTTTATAACAACCTGTAAAAAGACTTTAAGGTTTACTCTTTGTTAAGCAAACAGTTATTTTTAAGATGATATCAAGATTCTTGCGCAACTTCTAGCAGGAAATTCTGATGGGAATGATTAAACACAGCAAACTGACGTGGTTATTGCTAAGTGTATTTTCAAGACCTGATGTCGACTACGCGGTGCATGGCATTAATAAAGTACATGCTGGAAGGGCAGTGTAAAGAATTAGACGTGAATACATATTGACAGATTCAAATGTTCAGGATTCAAAGTTATAATTTAGACTAAATGGCAAAAGAAATTACAAAGCAACTTTGTGGCAATACTAGTAAAATACAATCATCTTTATGAACCTAGAGAACAAGAATTCGCTGATGCTTCTTATCTAGATTTACTTTTTCCATTGACACCCCTTAAAATGCAGTAACTACGTTAGACCAGTTCCACGGCCATGGTGCGTAGTGGTAGATTCGGCGTCGAATAGATATACGTTAAAATCCCTGGAAAATAATGTGGTATAAATTCGTTGTCCATTTGACTAGATGTGTTAGGGTAAATTATATCTACATTAGCATTTTCTCAGACTTATGCTACATCTCTAAGTGATAACTACATGTTTGAAAGAAAACGTAACCTACCACATTTGGATAACGATAATCATCTTTAAAAAAAACAATTTCTGTGCAAAAAAATTTGATCTAAATGCATCAACATGCGGGTTGATTTTCCCTTCTATAAGTCATTTGCGCAAACACCCAAAATTGATAACAGAATATGGGAAGCTACATTAAGTAACCTTTTGTTCACATACACCATATATAATGGATAGCGATTTTTAGGAGTGATACTTAGCAAATTAACATTTTAGTGAAATTCAAATAAGATGACAGAGATAAATCCTTTGAGTACAAGCCATACTATTTATACCATGCATATATTTTTGATGGAAAATGCTCTGTCCGTATCAATAATAGATTTTTTGTGTTCTAGTCGGATTTTCTTGGGTTAGTGTAGAGCCCCGACAGTTTACAGCTTATAACAACCCAACAAACGGGGACCGGAAAAACAAAGGCATGTGCGACTGTTTTTTGAGCTATTGGCATGAGGCATCAATAATAAGCAATCTTTCCTTGATTTTAGTGCTGAAATATTCACAATTTACAATTTTTGAATTCATGCGCAACTTTAAAAGTGTAATAGGCTTACTTATATGTACGAAAAATAAAATTATGATATTAATGCCTTTTTTCTGTATTAATATTAACCATAAGTGAGCAGGCCAAGTAATATAATCAACGGTTATTAATTCTATCACTGTGCCACTAGTCAATGTCACTCACTTCTTGTCTTTATCCTGATTGGTTTAGATTCCGCAAATTGTCTTTCTCGTGTGCCAAATGCATTTGGCTGGCTTAAATTTACGTTAAAATGGAAAGCGTTAAAAATTTGATAACAATAAATAATGTGGTAAGTTACTTTGTTGCTAACTTCTGTTCTGTGCTGTATAGACGTATGACCTTAGAAACGTGTCCAAAGAGGAAGCCACAAGGCTGAAGCATTTAAAAATTCAAGAGGAACATAAGGGACATGAAGCCATGCATTTGGAGATGTTTTTAATTCTTGTTTTCTTCACATTTGGGGCCCAATTCGCTCTGATGGCTTGGAAGAAATACTATCCCAAGTCTTACCACTTGCTTACTCTTCTGGGCATGTGGATTGTCCCGATTTGCTACAGTATTTACATGCTTTATGTACGATTCATCATAACGTGGTTTTTATTTTCCTTGATCACTGGCGTCATGGTTTACCTTAGTTCATGCCATCGGATTTCAACGTCTACTCCGAGGTGAGACTACTTCAATCACTTTATATAAGCTTATTCCCAGCCTATGGTTCATATTTTTTTCTACTAAACGTTTTCTTTTATATGTTGCAACTTTGATGTGAGATATTAAAATGCAGATTTTTTTAATTTGTAGACGAGTCTATTGGTGGTTTCTTTTTGTCCACAAAATATCCTATGCTGCTTCAATTGGTGGATATTTTCTTGTTGTTTTTTCAATGTTTATCCCACACATTATAAACCCTAATTTCGCCTTTCCTGTCGGTGGGTTAGTGCTATTTTACGGCGTTTACTATGGCCTAATTGCAAGGGACTTTGCTGAAGTATGCACCGATAAGATGGCTGCTCACATTGGCGTACGTTTTTTGGTTCACTACTTCAATTCCTCGTGCTTTTGTCTAGCTGATATTTAACATTTTGTACGTAACTAAATGTGAAATCAAACTAGTTTATCCATATTGCCTTTAGTACTTTACGGGTTCAGGTATTCCGTTGAGACGGATCGACCCCGGCGTATGCGCTCTGTGCACCAACGTAATGCTCAACGGCCAGGGTGAAAAAAAGTATCGCCTTAACTGCACACATGTGTGAGTCTGTTTCCTAGTTTCGTAAGTTTATGTGTTGTGCCAAGTTACATTCCTAGTTTGTGTTTAGCCTTAGTGGTTTCCCCATTTACAAGAACTGTAAACTTTATGGTGTTTGAGAAACGTCCACTAACATGGAATGTCCTGGATGTCCCATTTAGTTCGTTACAACTAATGCCTCCCGAGTAGCTGCGTTTGTTATTCTAAATAACCCCTCTTTGTGCTACTGATTTTCTTCATTCCTTTTTCAGCTTTCATGAGTTCTGTCTGCGTGGTTGGTGCATTGTTGGGAAGAAAGACACATGTCCATATTGCAAAGAGAAAGTCAATTTGCACAAGCTCGTCAAAAACCCGTATCCTTTATTATTTTTTTGAAAAATGCTAAGCAACATACTCCAACTACACGAGTAGGGCTTTCTATGTTTCTAAAAAATACTCGGACCTCTGCAAGTTCTGTAGATCAGTAATGAGAGCCAATTCTAATCTCAAAGTTGTATTTAAAGGATATTGGTCTAAAATGCAGACTGTGGCACTTCATGTGCCTTTTGCTTTACGCATCTTTTAGACACATATGATTGGTGTTGTTTTCGAATCTGGAACAAATTTTTCAAAATTATAACTTGGTCACAAACGTATTTCTAGAAAAATTTCGATTTTTGTCATGATATTATTGGTTCTGCTGGATTACGCGTGTATTCTAATTGCTCAATTAATTATAACACGTCGTAATGAATATAATTGTGACGTGAATTTATAGTCTGTCATTAAGTTTTACATTCGAAGTACAGCCCTCACCAGCCACCTCCAATAAGCTGATTTTCCGTGCAATTTGGACAGACAAATTTAAAAATGCGTTTGTTTTTAATTTTAATCCATATCTTGTTTACAGTAGACAATAACTATGGACAACAGTTTCCTTGACTTTTGCTTAAATATAAAAGATGGGAGAAGCCACACCTCCTATTTGGCAACTTTTTGGATGCAATTCGTTACCTTGTCGCCTGGCAACCTCTGATACTTATGGCGGTACATCTCGTAATCTGGATATTGGATCTGAAGTAAAGGCATTTCCAGTGCTTCGGATTGTGAAGTAGAGCTTTGCAGCTGTGATTCTTACATTGGCAATAAAAACCTGAAGAGATTGACAATCTTCTTCCCTTTTGTATCTGATTTCAAGGAAGGGTTGTAAGTGACTTATGTTAACTTTGGGATACAATTTGTTGAGTCCGTTGTAATCTAAAATATCCACGACTGGCTTTTTGGAACACGTGTAAAACGGCTGTTTATTCTTGATCGACTAGTACCAATTAAATGAAGGTAAAGTTTGATGGAGTTAAATTCTATGCGATTATTTCTCTTCCGAAAAAATATACAAAAATTCAACTTCCATCCTCAACAGGACTGCTGGGTGCTGCGGCTGGACTTTCTGAGTCGAAGTAGCTTTCTTCTGCATCACGATACATTTCATCCATGTCATCATCTAGCGTCGCGTCATTGTCTACAGCGCTGAAAAGAAGACCAAATGACGATAGGGCATTTTATACACTTTATTACATGGGAGTGTGCTGCATCAGCAGTCCATTATTAGTCAAGAGATTTTAGTAAAAGACAGTGAACATGCAATGCAGAAATGGTTATAAACAAAATCAGCTAAACAAAAGGTGCATAGAAATTTCGCGACCTACTCATAGTCGAAATCTTCATCAAGCCCCTTAAGAAATCGGGACTGCATAATTTCCGTGAATTCTTGCCGGGAACGCTCCTGTTCTGCCGCTTCTATTAGGTCAAATTTGAAAAGCTGTGTTATCAAAACAAACTTTTGTGTTTCTGGGATCGTCCTTGTTGCGTGCTTGTATCAGAGTCGTCATCGTCAGAATCGTCCTAAATTGAGAATGGCGCGATGAGCTGATGCAAAAGTACGGCTTCAAATCTTAAATATCCTTAATCGCTAGAGAAAACAGATTTAAACGGCTTAACTAGCAATGTCGACCTAAAGCCTTTATCAGGTTGGTTTCTAGATTCCAGTGCACCAGCAAATTGGTGGGCCAAATCGTGTGCGCTTGCGATCACGCGACAGAAGCTGTGGAGATTTTAAGATGAAACGGAGGTCGCACTGCAAAGTTAACTGTATGAGATAATCAATACCAAAAAAGACTGCGATAAGTGAAATATGAAAAAAAATAACCGAATTTACGGCACGAGAAGATTTGCGACTAGCGCAAAAGTAGAAACTCGTGTTTTAGGTTGCCGACAGTGCAACCTGGTAGTAGCCACCATAACAAAATTGACACTGTCGAAGACATTGAGCCTGGGCAGAATATTTGGCGATCCAGCACAAGAAAACCGCGATAATTATGCCTAAAATGATGTGCAGCTGACGAGACTTCGTTACCCCGAAACGATGGGCTTGAACTTGTGAAAATGAAGTTGTGCTGAATGTCGAATTCAGATTATAAGCAAAAATAGTGTAGGTGGTGAAGGTGATGGGATGCGTAAAAAGTAGAGCATAAGTACATAAGAAAACCAGAGAACTGAGAGCAGGACATAAATTTATGCGTAAATGTACGTCTTGATCAGATAAGGGCCTCCAATCAGTCCATAATCTTCTTGATTACGACGTCTCAGAAAAATTCAACTATTTGCACGAACACTAGGTCAATGACACATTAATAACGATCGACAATGGTTGAAAGCACCGTAATTTACGAATTCAAGGCATAAGCAACAATTTAGCACCCTTTTGAATGAGTTTAAATAGATTCCGTAGATTGACAAGCTGTCAATTCTAAAACGCATTAAAGAGCTACTCTTAAAAAAATCAGTACACACAAACCGTCCAGAAGGCATTGTGAATTTGGAAGAGATTTTGCAGATTAAATATGGTACACGAATAAACCTCCCAGATAAAAGGATCCACCAAAAATACAAGGGAAATAAGCACAAATCATGCGGTGACTACTACTAGGTTCACGTACCTCTCCAGATGTACCCCCCACCCTATCAGGAAGCTGTTCTGTGTCGAGAAGTTGGGAAAGCAGCATGCCACTGAAGGAGTTGTACTGGTGACCCAGGAGGGCTCGTCGGTCCGCGTCGCTGAGGTAGCGACCGACCATTCGCTCCCACAACTCCGGCGCACGCTCGCGCATCTGCTCGTGCGAAAAGAACCCCTCCGTGGGGTCCTCCGCTGCCTGAGCCTGCATTCGGCGCATCGCCTGAAATGAGCCGAGGATGATTCCAACTCACTTCGAAAGCCTTTATGTGGTTTGCAATTCTGTCAAAAGGCGGGTCATGTTATTTCTGAAGTGGGAACACTAGTGTTCTCAGAGTAATGAGCATCTTAGTGAAATGGAATAGTTAACGTCCAGAGGAAACATGAAACTTGTGACCCACAAGGAAATACAAAAGAGTGGAGAAAGAAAATTGACTCGATTTACACAACGTACGCATGGATTGCTAGTGAAAAGCCTTGCTACACCAGTGACTTTTCACCTGCGACAATTCAGGGCTGGTTGTCTATTGTCACAATGTGCGCACAGCTGGAGGAATGCAAGGAGTACGTTATGTTGCATTTTCACTGCATCTGAAACGCCTCTTCGTTTAGAAACACTTCAGGCACAGACTCTCTTACAAGAGATCGTGGCGATAAGACATCGACATAAAACCATAGCTTCGAAGTTTTCTACGTGTGTGCTTCACCAAAATTTCGAACAACCGTGCAAATAGCTATGGGAAAGCATTGGTGGCGATGGCATCTGTGATTTGTTAACAGACCAAACGCTTGTACCTAATGCCTCTGAACGTCGTAACCCGACCTACAGATTTGGAGAGGCCGTTATCGAAAATCTGAAGACTGACCTACCATCAGGCGCCTATTCTTTATGCGAAGTTCAGAGGTTCGTTGCCACATTTTCGATCTTTTGAGTACAGGGGTTTCGCTGTCTGATGCTGACAATATCACTCCAGCTTTCTCCAGGTAGAAACGGACGGTGTAGTCATTCCACTGAGAACGAAAACACTCTGCATCATCCGGCCAACATAGAAAGTTGCTGTAACGAGCAAGGAATTCACCCGGATTGCGCCGAAGTAGTTTGGCCGCTAGCTCGAACTTTTCTTCCGGTGAGAGTGGAGGCTCGTTGCGAGTCTGGTGTCGGAAGTGCGGCCCAACCTGGCCAGCAAGCCGTGTCAACATTGCGTGCTCAAGTTCCGTCAACTGGGTCATTCCTACCTCATCACTGTAACATTCAAGCAGGCATACATTAACGTCTGTACAAAGCGCACTCCTGAAATTAGCGTGTCGCACAAATAAGCATATAACAGTAAAATCGACATCCCGTTTGATTGAAATGACCTCAATGCTTTCATTTGGTTTCTTGATTTGTCTCAAAATAGGTACTTTAAACAACAGGATTGGTTCCATGACCATTTAATTAGTCAATTTGCACTGGGAGTGAATGCAACGCACCCGCTGCGCTTTTAACTAAGTTCAAGTTCGTAAACATCAACACTTCTTGGCAAGACATTGTTCATTGCGAACCCCATTACAGTTGTAAACATAAGCCGGGTAGCAAATGATACGCGGTGTAGTTACACTTCTAGGCATTGGAAGGGCTTTCCATCGAACGTGCGACCTGCCCTTGTGGATCAGGAAATCCGTGCCTTATTGTTACAGCTTTCGGAGAAAAAAGGGGTTAAGCAGACACACGCAACACAAAGGCCGTGCGGAATAATTTATGTACAAAAGAGGGACATAGTAATACAAAAAATTGGGTTGTTTCTGGGGTATTTAAGACGGCTTCGTCGGGACCGAGACTGCACAATTCTTTTGAAAAGTTTCATCTAGAAATGCAAAACAGAACCAAGGGAGGGTTTAGGAGGAGGAACTGGAGTACCAAGGGCAGTGATGTCGAGTTCTGGTAATCAACGCAACATTGCTGCTATTTGATCGGAAGGATATATTTGACCACGTGCAGGAAAAATTAGTCAACCTAATTAAGCCTCATGTTAATATATAAAAAAATTTGAATTTGACATTTGCTCTCATGTACTGGATACAAGATCAAAAGAGTGATGAATACTCGGGAGTTTGTTGGATTCTTTCATTGATGTATATGAATAAACAGCGAGAAAAGATCCGTTAAAGAAGCGAATATCTAACTACTAGGTGCAAGGCAAAGTGGAATCGCGAAAAGAGTGTAAACGAACCGTCAATTTGCAGATCGCTATCTGGCTTTTCCTCGATTCCATCCAAGTGGACAAGCGGATCAGATTCTGCATTGTCGTCCTGGCCCACCAAGTCAACAAGCATTGGCTTCGCGCATCTCGTTGGAGAGTCTTCGTCATCCTCATCATCATCGCTGTCCACCTCTTCATTCCAACGGTCGTTCACTCCGTCTAAAATTGTGGGAGGTGAACATGGTTAGGTGACAATACTGCCAGGTCACTTAAACGATCTGGTGTCTTACTGCATTACGGTTAAGTTTGCCTAACATCTTCGGTTATTTGAAGGACTGTAAATGTAAGACGACCCACCACTTGATTCGCCGCCGCAAAAAGTATGCCAAACCGAAACGACTTTCTTGAGATGCACGTAAACAAGCGATATTTGATGCTTCATATCGCAGCGACAAATTTCAAAACGGATTTATTAAATGACACAAAGTTAACCATAAATTTCAATTACTTATTTCAGGATAAAAACCGTGACCGTACTTAAGCGAACTACCATCCGTCGAAGTGAATTTAAACATAAACACAATGCTATTTCAAAAGCTAGGAATCAAAATGCAGAAATACACCCGAAAATTATTGGCCAGTGGGCTGAATGCCAGTGTTGCAAGGGTCGACGCATTTATGGCCATGAGGTGCAATATCGAACTTAATTGACCTCTAAACCAAACCTCACCAGCAAACTCGACACACTCAAGGCGGACTCATCCAAAGAGTCGCAAATCTTGGCGGTCGAAAAAGCCGAGTTAACCATCCGTAGGAACCCCGTCTTGCCATGCACTAATCGACTAAAACCACATTGTCTAGGTGGGTGAAAGGATGCCGGCCTAATCGACTGAGGATCGAATTCCGATAAGTGTGCATTTTTAGTAGCCCGAAGGACGCAAATATAATTTGAAAAGAATAACAGTAAACGCACCTGAATGACGATTGAGGAGGGATTTTTGGGACTTGCATGTCGCCTTTTTGGCCCGCAGTGTCGGCAGATACTCCTGTAGATGACAAAGGGAACAAGAACTAACACAATTTCAAGAACTTGCGAAATCATCTAGGCTTACATGGGCTATTCTAGCTGCAATAAAAACGGGGTGTTGGTGATTTTCATGAATAAAAAACATTAACCTAGTTGGTGGCTATGTTTAAGAAGGAAAAAGAAGCACACCGACGATTCATAAAATGGAGAAGCAGTGAGAACTTCGGAACTTGATATCATGAACAGGCCACTCTTTGCATTCACAAACAATATAAAGATAGGACAAATATTGTTGTTAAAGCATGACAATTCAGGTGCTACTCAAAATTGAAGCATGGACAGTAACGATAAAAAGTTAGGCATATACGTGATTGTGTCAAAAAATCAAAACCTACATTGAAATACTCATTCGTTGCGTTTTTGACCAGTTCCATAAAGTGAGGGAGGCCCTCGCCGGTCACAGAGGAGACACCACAGCTTCTCAGATCGTTGTAAAATTCGTCTAAGACCAGAGCTAAGGAACTCGTGAGGCTAGTCATGTATTGAGAGACGTCGCTGTCCACACAGGGCCCATCGGCTGCGTCCATTCCGTCTCCTGATGCCGCCCGCTGAGCATCCAAGGCTGTTTGGAAGGCCTCAAAGTCACGCATCCATTCCACGGCGAAATCGCAGTCGATTATATCCGTCTGGGCGAGCCGAGATAGGCGAGAAGAACGTACGCAACATGTAAATTTAGTGGTAAATACATTTAGGTTGTGCTTTTCATGATAAATGGCTTTAGCGAGTTCACACTCGCAGTCAGCTGAAGGCGGAAAATGTTTCATATGGAGTTACGAGTATGCGCCAAACAATAATTAAAACTGAAATTACGTCAAACGAAAATTTAACCATGGATCCACTGAAGCACATTAGATAAATCTAAACTGGACGGATACCGCAAACGTACAGGCGTGAGTTACATTAAGAGAAGTTCCTTATCTAACTAAAAAACCTGATGCTATAGTGGACCGACTTATAAACTTCCAGTGAGAATAGTTGGGATTTTAAATGTTTATTTCTTGAGAAAAAAACCATAGCTTTGCAAAAGGAGAAAAACTGAACACAGCTTGATCTTATGGGCGATATGTGCCAATCCAGCCACCTGTTACTACTCTGATCGCTAACTTCTTATGCGACATTTCATGGTAATTGTGCACTACTTGAAGAACACTAACAGACTCAAAATAACATGACGACGTTAAGCGATTCAATATAGCAGAATATGACAATGCAAGGAATCGGCAATGACATACGTGCTAAGTCATAAAAGACGGAGGACGACAATATCGGATTTGCTTACCTTGTTGAGAACACAAATAAAGGGTAACTTCATCCGGTACAAGACGCTGCAGGCATAGAGCATATTTGACATGAAAGTGACAGGGTTGTGGCACCGTGGAGTATCCATTACATAAACAACCATAGTGGGATATGATGAGGCCTATGTGACATAAGGAGAACTAAAGACACAGCTTACCAATGCCTCCGTTATGATCATTCCTGAAGCAGACCAAGTGAAAACCTCGATCTGACCGGGCGTATCGATTACCACGTACCGTACGTGAGCAGCATTTTTGTTAATAAGTTTTAGTACTTGATCAAAACGTGCGGCAAAGAAATTCAACGAAGTCATAATTGCTCCATTCGGACCAAAGCCATATTGTTTCATTACTTCCTTGAATTTTACAGTGTCGCGGATATCTATAACCAATATCAGACAATAACTGTTAGCACTACAAATTTATGATTTCAATTTCTACGTTGACACAATTCTCACCTATATTAGTATGATAGGGGACGTGGTAAACTGCCGGATCTAAGTTTATGGCGTAAGGCTTAGAGTCTCCAGCAGTGTTAAGATGCTCAACAAGTTTCCTGACGAAAGTTGTCTTCCCAGATCCAGCCATTCCAAGAACAATGATACACACTGGTAGTTGTGAGTCATTAGATGATGAAGCCGATGTTTCCATTGTCTAAAGGAAAATCTGCAGCAAAATAACAGTTTCAATAATACGGCGGTAATTGTATGAAATAAAAAAATATCAGGCACATATTTTGATACCGCAAACATTAAATTAAAGCATATTTGTCCTGTGAATTTGAAAAAAAGGGGATGAACACCAGAATCTACTTCACTAATATTAGCAATACAATAGATATAGAACACTAAATATGCTAACTTTTGGTGGCATTAGTATCAAGACACTAATGAAGATTCAATGTAATGTCCCAAAAGAAAATCTCGATGAACGAAAATACAGATTTAAAATGTCTGTCCTGTATTTCGATAGCAAATACATTTAAAATACCTAACACGAACCCAACAAACCTGATCACTCATTAAAGTTAGTAGCAAAAAGTTCAGAGTTTAAAACAATGTATGACGAAAACATTGCAAGACCATATTTAGTACTAATTATAGCATCCAAAAACTTGTGCTTTCTAAGTTATAACATATTCGGGGTACTAAAATCGACAATAAAGCTAATAAATATATGAGGTATAAGTTAGCTAACCATCTAGGTCTGATTCAGAATATTCCTTTTTGGGTTATGATACAACTAAAGTTGCCTTATGTTAAAATTTATAAAATTGTTTAAAAAATTAAACATTTACGAAATCTGTTCGTACACTTTTTGACCAACCTAAGTTTAAGTAACGAGCGCCAAGTCAGCAAATTAGATTTCCTGAATTAGTTGGATATTAGCCTTCAAAAAAATTGAAAGCAAAAAAATTTTAGGTAAGAGAATAGTTCAAATATATGACGAAGTAACCGTATTCGATATTGGCCTAGTATATTTAACGTTGCCCATATGGAACTATCTGGATCGGCAAGTTGGACAAGGAAACACTCGACACGTAGCTGGAAATACGTTTTTTAACTGTGCGTTTTTGTCCGGAATTTAAAATAATACAGACTAAAGCACATTTGGAGCAGTCTTCAATTTATAAATTGTATCAGAAATATCCGCCTTTAAAACGTTTCATTTGACATTAGGTATTGGCATGCTGGAAACTGTTTTTTTAATATATAGGCACTTAATTTGGCATTATGTTTAAAAAAATTGGCCATTATTGCTATCTCATTATTTAAGCTGCGATTTTGCAGTTATCTCCATTGAAATCGCAAATTTACTATTAGAACAACCACTTATGTTATCACAATCCGTTAAATTAGGAAAAATGCTTTAAATGCGGAACGTGGTAATATGTATTAAAAGATTTATATCATATAAACATGAATAATTTTAGTAAACTGATCACGTAGTCAATAGATGCTAATCAGGACAACTTAGACACAAGTGGATTACCAAAATATCATAAAGTTTCGTGGTGTTGTAGATTTATGTAGTCTTTTAAATTTTTAGATGCTGTAATATATTACTGACATATACTCAATGAGGTTAAACATAGTTGGACGTTAGCAATCTCTTTTTCCCATTTTCAGCAACTCCAACCTTTAAGTTTTAGAAATGTATCCATATTGGATTAGAAACCGATGTCATCCGATCTCCGTCCAACATATCATGATTACTTTCAAATGAAATCAAAAATTAAATTAATGAAAACCACACCATTGGTTGTTCGGTTTGAACATTTGATAGAAAATGAAGTGAATTTGGATAATTTCCATCTGTTACATAAAAACCGTTACTTTTCAAATGTCTTATTCTTCTTTTAGTGATTTACATAACGAGCATTTATACATTGAAAATATTTTTTTCGTGTCTTTAAAGTGCAAATTGTCTTAAAAAATCCTGCACCCTACGTTGACTTTCATGTAACTATAAAGTAGGTTATTTTGCCTAATAAATTCAAAATGTCCAAGACATTCAAAGGTGCAGAAAAAAAATATTGTTTATAATTATCATTTAGATAGTTTATTATTCAAACTTCGTGGACTTGACTAATTTTTATCGTATGTTTTGTGGATTGACATAGTGCCCGCAGTAGTGCGAATGCGTATTTACGTCTCTTATAGTACAATTTTTAGTGGTGATTCCATTTTTGTCTTCCCCCCATTTTACTTATGTAAATTAATTGGCATTTCTGTTTTCCTTAACTGACGCTGCAAATGCGTTTTGCGCTGTTTTAACCTTTTGTCTTAATTTTGGACTTGTGAACCTCAAATATATTCACAAGATTGTGGCGACTTCTAGGAATTATAACCTGTCGCAACATGGCAATAGTGGTTGTCAAGTCCTAATAACTACTTAAATTCTAAAAATTAAATATTTCTTAACGTCAATCCTAAAATATTAGCAATAGTTTGATGACGGGAAATTTCCTAGTGTGCTCCTTCATTTTTTCGGATGTCACGGCTTTTTAGTAAAATAACTGTTGCTACTGAATTTTATAGTATCGGGAATGATTGTGGTTTACCTCTTTTTCATGCCTTAACTTTTGCAATATTCTGGATCAAGTGCTTAACGGTCAGATTTGCTATCAAGTACATTATGTAAACCTTGTACATTGAAACCTAATCCACCATATCTAACTTCTACGGTATGTGTTTTGTCTTATAATTCTCGAAGGATGCTCTAAGTATTTACTGTTATTGTGTCGTTCGTTAGAATTCTCCTAAATATGTTGATTTCCTTTTTTAATTCTAAAAGAATGGCTCATCGCCCGTCAATGACAGCAGAAGAATTGGTTGCCAGATATGCTAACTGCAGATGTCTGACGGGGGATGGATCCACCGGCGTTATTGAGGTACACTATAATTTACCTTAGTTATCCATGCGGTTTAGTTAACCAACTTCCGCCTCTCCTTTATCTCTGCCGGAGGAACACGATCAGTCTCGCACTCTGTGCCATTAAGTACAATCCAGTCTATTGAATTGAAACGATGCTACAGAACCGAACAGGTGACCCAACAAATCGGCATCTTTCTGGTTTGCAAAGATTTACGGCAGCTTCGTTTCGTAATACCCGTAGGTGGTGCATCACCTTTTTTTATGGACTTTATCTTAGGATGTTAAAATTGGTGAAGAATTGGGAAGACAAATCAAAGAGCTCTTTCGACCGACTTATCGGACTCGACCACTTTTTGCGTATTTGTTTGCCAATGACTGTATCTCGAAAAATCTTTATCTTGAATCTGGGTGGAATATCTACAGTCCTGAAGAGGAATACCACAGGCAGAATGTTATTAATAACGGCTGGAGAATAAGCAAGGTAGGTTTTTTATTATTCTTTCACACGCAAATTTGTTTGCCTGACTGTTAAGTCGGATATCGGTATGATGTTCCACCTGCTTTATTTGTAAAGTGCTTTCTAATTCCACCCGATTGCTTAAAATCACGTACTTCATTTAATTACATGTGTTTATATTAGGCACCCCTACTGGGTTTATTCCTTCCTCGAGTCGTTAAGCCATAATGTTGCTTGTTTTGACATTTAAGACGTCGTTTTAAGTTTCACAGCGTTTCAAGCATATTTTCCATATTGTCCACGTTTTCCCATTCCCCATCACACCTGTCAAATGATTTCCACGGTGAGGTGTGGTAATTAGCTTATATTTCGGAGCCAGTTTTCATAATTTTCTTCAATAATAAAGCGGTGAAGTTCTCTTCGTTATGATCCAAGTGGCTGTCTATCCGACGCACTTTCATTTGTGGGTATCAATTAACATGTCGGCCCTAGGGTGTAGGCCTCGCATTAACAGCTGGCGATGTGCGCTCCAAGGATATCTTATCGAATCCCCTTTTTATTTAGAAAATGTTAAAGGCTGCTTATAAAAAGTGTGCCAGCTTGCCTCAATTAGTAATGCCAAATTTATTTGTGTGCTAGTTGTTTGTGGGTTCTATTCAAGAATAGCATGGGGTTAGCCAAATTTGGGTAATTTGTCAACGGTTTGGGTCAAGCTATTCTATCTACCCATACATTTAAGTTCCACTGCAACGTAAAATTTTGCTAGCAAAAATCATTGGTTAAATCAATCCTAATTGGTACCCTTTCGCATTGCTTAGGCCAACGAGGGATACAAGCTGTGCCGCACCTACCCCGAGGTGCTAGTGGTGCCAGCTAAAGTGACAGACGACCTGCTGTTTGGGTGCGCGCCCCACCGTGCCCGTCGCCGCCTTCCCGTGCTCTCCTGGCTGCACCCCGAGAGCAGAGCCAGCCTCACTCGCTCCGCTCAGCCCATGGCCGGCGTCCAGGGGCGGCGCAATGAGGCCGACGAAGAACTAATACGGTGCATACGCGAGGCCAACGCCAACACCGTCAACCTTCTGATCTTCGATGCTCGGCCACAGGTCGGTTTGCGTAAAGAGTTAGTTTCTTGTGAAACGGCTGCAATTGCAAGTGATAGGCTTTTGGCTCTTTCTGCCTTAAATTATTGATTTTGTTTGCATGGATGTAGCCCCAATCGTCCAACGACTTTAGACTTTGCACTTGCAACAGTGCATAGCTTTGTTTTTTGCATTAAATGTTCATGTTCATTCGTAAATTAAACATCATAAACTCAACAAATCACCTATGCTCATTCCGTAACTCGACCCTCAAGTTCCAAAACACTCGAAAACGTATTTGAATTTGTGCATGCCTCAGGCTGTAAAATTTAGGGCAAATGATTTTGACGTGGTCAAGTTACCCGAAGGACCTCTGTGATTTTCAGCTAATTTAACGTGCTTCAGCTTTCATAGAATTGATAACATAGGGAAAGAAACTTTACTTCCTCTAACCAGTCGTGTTGAGTAAATATTGTAGTCCTCGACTCGTGTGATGTGTTTGGTTCTAATATAGTGTAAATTGAAAATCTTGAAGACACCTCTTTTCGGAACTGTTTGGTTTAAGCCCACTATCACATTATCGGAGATTTCCGCACTTCAGCTCCTTATTTTAACCTCCTCCATAGCTTTATATGAACACAAAGGGCCTTTAAAAGAGAGTCTTGAGAACCTGAGAATCACTTTAGTTGTTTGATCCAAATCAATGCTAAGCGGATCAAAAACCAAGGCCATTTTAAGGTTATTATTTCTTGCTTCAATTTCTGCTAATCCACGAAGGCTTGTTAACGCTGTAGTCAAGCGTACTGATTTCCAGAAATATAATTATTACCTGTCGGTACTACCTTGTCAACTCAGTATGCACCTCTAATTGGTCACATCTTTCACCAATTTCACACACGCAACTGCTCTACTGCTTAGCTTACAAATTTCCGCGAAGCCATCTGGGATTATTGTTGTGGATGCCGGTTGTGCTGGGTTTCTAACCCGTTTCCTCCCTTACCTAACGAAATGATATCATCAAATCACGTCACATGGCGGATTGCAAAAAAGCACAGCCGAATACAATGACTTTCTGTTTACGAATTTTCAATTTCGATATTGCGGCAAGTGCAACGGTCTCAAAATAACCACAAAAGGTGATTGACTTGGCAAGGGGTGATGCAACGCGAAGTGTCGTTTGTGGGGGTATTTTTAGATTCCACTTATTGTCGTGCGTAAGTGATCAACTTCTTTATCACCGAGACTAGCCTAAAACAGCGCACCTCCTCTTGTCTTTCTGTTCACATTTTTCATCTCGTCCTGTATTTTGACACATGTTGCCCCTTTTTCCCGTCAGCTCGATTCAACGATTTTACGTCGGAACCCTTTGGTACCGCCACACACCAAAACTGCCGCGTTCCGTAGCAGTTTTTTTATCACATTGTCTTATACGCCTTCAGGCGTTAATTGGAAAATGTATTTGCTGATTGTAGTACCCTCTTTAAGCACTACACCAACGCTACTGCCCTCATTCCTTTGAATTTGCAACTACTTTTAAATGCCTTATGCATTTTTTTTAAATTGGTCCCAACTTTGCCATAATTTAGTCAATACCTCAAATCAAATCGGCTTGCATTCAGGGTTGTTAAGCGCCAATTTCGGTATTCATAAGATCCGCGTCGCTACTCCTAACCGACTTAATGATGTACAATCTTCTATTGTGGCTGCGACTAGCCCTTCTTAGAAGACTTGATTGGATCGCTAGTTCCTTATTTTCCTTATACGATGCGCTCCACGGAAAGTACTAAAGCCATCAGTCTTAGCCTCTGGCTGTTTTGCTATCCCAATGAGATTCCTTTATAGCCGACAGTAGTTCCCATATTCTTTTCCCATGTTCGGTACTCTGGCCAATAAGGTACAAGATTAATTGCACAACTCATGATATTGATCGCAATATCAAGACATCTTCGTTGTTATGTGCAAACTGCACTGGGTCAGTATTGGGTTTAGTCTGCACAATGTATAGTCACCCGTGGATCAATACATTAAAACGGTCTTTGCTGATTTGCGGTTTAAAAATTAGAGCGTTGTTAACCGTACCACTGCGGTCTTGATGTCCTACAGATCACTCTGCCAGGCTGCCTTATCGCGTGAAGCACAGTGCACATGATCCACTATATTCATCAACTTTTTGTGTGTGTACGCTTACCAAATAGATTCCAGTCGTTTTGTTCATGTCAAACTCGGCACTTCGACCGCCCCTCTACCGCGTTTCTGAGTCGAGCGAAGGCACAAATCCCTGCGACCATACCAACCATAAGTTTTTCATCACGTTGCTGCGTTTCGTACCCGGCGGTTTTGCTGTTTGCGTCTACTCCTGGGCTTTTTTTGTCTATGCATTTCAATGGATGGCTTTTTAGACCGGTTCAATCTTCTTGTGGTTTTAGTTCACCGCGGTCGTCAATCGCGGACGAGGTGGTGGAGTGGAGAATCCAACCTTCTATACAAACACACAGTACTCCTTTATGAGCATTCCCAATCTCCACGCAATAAGGTCCTCCTTCACGAAGTTGGTAGCCGCTACTAGCTCTGTGGCTCTCTCGCAGCAGGAGAACTTGAACTGGCTCAAAAGCATCCACGAGACCAAGTGGCTCTACAACAACCAGCAAATTCTCTCCGCTGCTGCCGATGCCGCTGACCAGGTATCCACGCCTACAAGCCTTGTTTAGGTAGCATCAGAAGGCTCATAGGGACAAGATCCCCCAGCGAGGCATGCTGCGTAATCTCTAGCAATCGTCATCAGCAGTTCCGCACTGGCACCCCAATTGATTGTATGCCAAGTCTAGCAGTGTTTGTAGGACCAAGGAATTTGTCACATCCACTCTACCTGGACTCTCACGTGAATCTGCGCAAGACCTTATGCACGTGCAGATGCCTTAACAAAGACAACGTTACCACCCTGATCAGGTGTTGCGAATAGTGCAGTAGATTTTAAAACGTGTGGAAGTTGCACCGGACGAATTCAACATCACAGTTTTTTTTAAATTTAAAAGTTGCTTTTCACTCTTAACCCTACAAGCTTCCTTTGGTTTTGGTCGTTTATGTATTAGCGATATCCACACCACGTAATAACCTGGTGGCCACACATGCGTGATTATTTCATCAAATCAATTACTCTTGAGCAATTAATGCCAGGTGCTGCGCATTATCACTAGGCCTTCTACCCCCCCCCCCACAACCTAAGTTCATTCCGTTCTGCAGATTGAGAATCACAAGTCGTCCATCCTGGTCCACTGCTCAGACGGCTGGGACCGCACACCACAAATAACAAGCCTCGCAATGCTGATGCTGGATCCCTATTACCGAACCCTTCGCGGTTTCCAGGTGCTAATTGAAAAGGAGTGGATTTCGTTTGGCCACAAGTTCTGCCAACGCACTGGTGGTCCCGCAGACGGTGGCAATCTCGTGTTCCCCTGGGCATCTCCTGTAGTCCCTAGTTCCCCCGTAAAATTAGAAGCCTCCAGCTCCGAGGAACGCTCCCCAATTTTCCTCCAGTTCATCGACTGCGTCTGGCAGATGATGATTCAGTTCCCGGCTTCGTTCGAGTTCAATGAGACATTTTTAATAACTATCCTAGATGAATTATACGCTTGCAGATTCGGGACGTTTCTCTTCGACTCCGAATGCGACGCTCGAGATAACTATGCTCGTTTGCACACCATCTCCCTCTGGGCTTACATAAACGCAAACACAAAGATCTTCCTAAATCCAACTTACACGCCGGCTGAGGTGTCAGGCCATCGTTTGATTATTCCCTGCTCAATGGCTTACCGACTAGATCTGTGGAACGGCTATTATCTTCGATGGACGCCGTCCATGCGGTGCCAAGAACCGGTGGTATCACGAAGCGCCCGAGTATTTGATCGGATGCAAAAATTCAAAACTCTGTCCCGCAGTAGGCGTTGGCGGCGGAAGGAGGACGGGGGGAAAGAACAGAGCACCTCGCCGGCTGCCGGATCGGTCACCTCATTACCGTTGGCTGAAAAGCAGGCGGCGCTGGGTCCCTCTGGCACCTTGGCGTCGGTCCAGTCGAATGTGTCCCCTCCTCGCATTTACCCTCGATTTCCCATCTCGAACGGCACTGCAGCGGTCGATCTAGCATCAGCGATCACACAGCCATAAATAGCCTCATGGTCCGTTATTGAAGGGCGCCGTTGCATTTACCCGATCGTGTTTAGCAGTGCCGCTCAATTTACCTAAATCCGGTCTATCATCCTCCATCTCTGACTTGTTCCTTGATTATGGTCCTATTCGACCCTATTTCTACTAATTTTTTTGCAAATATTCCTCTGTTCTGGTGTTAAGATAATACTTTGACAATGGAGGCAGGGATATACGCCAACGTTTGACTGTGATTTTTAACCATGTTTGTGCTCTCTTAACTCGGCCCTCGCACTCAACACACCATTCTCTCTGTCTCACACTTGACACGCGGTACTCAAGCTTCCCTCAAGTAGAAACGATATTTTCTGACGCCTGCAAAGACTGCTACCGGTAGTCTCTTTTGCTGCTACTTAGGTCGCATGGGTAGCCGCTGCAACAGTTTACGAAGTTGGGGATGTGATTCAATGTCGCAGGTATTTTTCTCAAAGAGAACGCTCAAATCTGTCAGGTTATACAACTCGATCAAAGCGTCGTTGAGGTGCCGCCTGCAGTCAACGCTTCTGTCTGCTGCTTGATTGGGTGATGACTTCGGCACGCCTCGGTGAATCCAGCAGACGCAGGACATCATCTTTCAACGCCTTTGACACTGGTTCTCTCCACTTGTGCGATAGAAATGTCCAGACATTGTTGGAAAGCACTCCTCACCGCCATTTAATTCACATATCGAGGCACTGCAGTGTTTAAACCATGTGAAGGGTAAAGCTATTCCCCGTCAACCTATCCGACATCCTAACGCTTCAGTGACTCACGTAATCGTGGTTTCAAATTGCCATAAGTAATGCTCTTGCCAACATTTACATCATGTAGAGTAATACTAATTCTTCCCTTAATGTAACGATTTTCTGTGCTACTAAAACACTGCTTCTGATTGCATATCCTTCGGATTTCACTGAGCATGTGACACTGTAAGTCGATGCATTGGGATGAAAAGGCGTCGCTTCTCCGTAGCTTGAAGGCAGCAACTTTAAGCGCCACCAAGCCTGTGTCGTCCGTGTGGATATTCGGCTACACGAAGATCTTCGCATGCGTATGTGGTATAGTGCAATAGTCGCAAACAGTGTATTTGCAGTTGGCGATTTGCTCAGGGAAGCTCAATGAAGCCAGAACTAGGAGAGTCCAGCAATAACACGTAGTTCTGCTGACACTTACTCATCATCCTTGGACGTTTCGTGAACAATTGATAAAGAATTGTAGCGTTTATCTAAGTATTCTCAACTGACGAGCTCTAGCTTCGAAAATTAGCAGAGCGAAGGCAGACGTGCGTGTATTCAAGGATTTTAAGTGTTTGTGTGTACAAAATCAATAAAATTGTTAGAAAAATAGAGAATTCTCAGAGTGAAGGCGTTGGTTACTTCCAGATGAAAGTGTTGCACCGAGCAAGCGGGTTTGTGGGCGCGCCTATGGGTCGGGCGCAGGCCCAGAACTCGCGCCCTCTGTGCTTGGAATCGGGTCGTTTGACCTGGCGACTGACGCAGGGCTCTCTGTGGCCCACACAAAGAGGCACAGTGGCTTTTGGCGCCTTTTTCCCGCAATCCAAGAGGCTGCGCCACTGTTGTGCTGCCGCGTTCTGGCGCTCCCGATTCGCGAGTTCAAATTCGGGACAACGTTGGCAGGCGTCGCCGTCTCTTTCCGGCCTCATCGGAGCCTGATCATTAATTCCTGCGGATTTCGAGGAAATTTCTATCGTATTGGAGCCTATGAAAAAAGACTACCAAATTAGTCGATATCCAGCAGACCACCCTTGTAAAAGAATGCACCACAGATACTTTGACGTGGTTACTTCCAAACATCAGTAGTTTGTCCTACCTGAGGTTACAATCTAGGCGTTGCGATGAAACCAAGCGTTGCTTAAGTGCGTGGGGGGTTATTATCGAGAGAAAAACTTCACTGGTAAATTGATGATATTAATAAAGATTTTGATATTAATGTCTGCAAAGTATTTCAGTCCTCTAGCCTGAGAAAATTTGAATTTCAAAGGAATAGGTGCCCGTCGAGGTCATAGACAAGTTACTAGACACTATTTGCTAGTTGAACTCTATCAGACAATACGATTAATTTCAGAAAGATAGAAAAACACAACGTCCCGTTTCTAACACATTTTACTACATTGTGATTGGTTTTTGCCCATGGTTAATGTAATAAAACAACCATTAGCTGGGGTCAATGCCGCTAAGTAATATGAGAGCTTACATTCCGGTTAGTGGTGAATCCAATTCACATTTAAGGCAAGGTTCAATCAAAAGTTATTGAAAAATTACGTTTCTAGCGTTGTTCAGAAACTGAAGCAACTACCAATTACAATGCCAACTCACAAAAATTTAGCAGACTTTGTTTACACCGTTTTTTACTATCCGTGTTGGTAAGTACTTTGGTCCGCTTGCTGACGACATTCCCGATTGGCGTCTGTGTCTTCTTCTCAAGTGCGACACTTTTTAAAAAGGACGACAACTGTAACTGACGCTTTTGGCATTGTGGCCAAAAGTGAGTACAAAGCGGAGGCAAGGAGGTACGTCCCGTGGGTACAGTGACAGGGAGCAGGGCCCACACTGGACAATGATCGGAACCCTCTACTTCGGGCATAATATCAGCCACGACGTCTCCCTTACGAAAGGTGCCGACAAGATCCTTATCACACAGAATGTAATCGATGCGGGTACCGTAGTTTGTTTTTCGCGCGCCTGTTTGAACACTCCAGCAAGTAAAGGCCTCCGACCGCTCTGGATATGCAAGACTATAGAAAGGTGTGCTTTAGGAAGGAGAATCAACCAATTACCGGAACAGATCAACCATCGAAACGCTTGGTCTAGGTCCTTCTAATTGCTGGGACTCGATTAGCATGCTGTCCAGCCATTCAATGGGGCCTCTTGGCAAATTCTTAACAGAGGATAGTGCAAGACGCTTTTATACCTTGTAGTCACTTAAACAGCAGTGGTCGATGGGTTTGTGACAAATGTTAAAATCACCAGCTATGACAACATGGCTGAACAGGTTTATTACTCAGAAATTCAAATCATACCTTCCACCGGATATTAGTTTAATCACGGTAAATTTGAGGCGTTCCAGAAATTTATCTCTATAAATAACGCGGTCGGCTTTTTCTGGATCGACACGTGGACAATATACGCTAATGATACTAAGCAATCTTCCATTTTCACTAGTTTCCAACTGCACAATCACCAACCGACCTTCGAAATCAATGTCCCTTAAACCGTTGATATTCTCAGCGGAACCCGGCACAACTGCACAGAGATCATCGAATGCGCTAATCGGCCTTACAGGTTCCCTACAGAAAATGCATACACCTGCATTTGTGGGATAAGAGGTTTCGTTAACACAAGTAACCTGAGTATCCAGACTTGGTTTTGCAGTGAGCAAAATAGGCGTTATAACCGTCTACACGACAGTATTCAGCCGGTAAATCACCTAAAATGTCGTTGAGTTTCTGTAATTCGCAACATACATGTAGCTTTGGTCTCCTGAAAACAAATTACATCGGCATTAAGGGCATCGAGATGACGTTTTAAAGGTTTAGACAAGGAACGGATACCATTTATGTTCCAAGAACAGATCTTCAGCATTCTACCTAAAACACCTTATACAACGGATAAAAAAGAAAGCGCATATAAAATCGAACATATTCCTTCAATAAATAAAAATGACGAAAACACAGTTAATTATTGTTGGCTAAAACTGGTAGAAAAAGAAATTGGTAGGGGCCGTGAAACAGCGAGCGTCTTACTTCGGTTTCACAATATTTCAGTATGATCAGCAACGTTTCAACATTTTTCATGAGCACATAAATAACTTTCCCACTTTTCAACCGATCGCGAGAGGGGCCGTAACTTACGAATACCCAAAAATTTAGATCTCTATAATGAACAAGTCGGCTTCTCACCAACAAATTTGGCAAAAAAATCTTTCAACAGAAATCTTACCGGTTTCAGTGAAATCATGTCAAAAACGTAAGAAGCGACTTTGAACGGCAAAAACGCGACAACTGCTATGCGCAGCGCCTCCACTACTTTGGGTAGAAAACTCATCTGTTTTCGCCTTTAAAAATTAAACCATTTAACTAACCAATTGACGCTCGCTAACGTAAAAGGTCGAACTGCATTACAATCATCATTCAAGACAACTGCCTCAAAAGAAAAATTCATGCTACTTTAAAGATAGTGAGTTCTGCAAATCTTTTTACCGATTTAATTACTAACGCTTGCTTTAGGTATGAAAAGTAGTCCTTTTCCTGCTAGGGTAATTGCATTCTCCTTGTGTCCATTTCGACTTCCTCTTTAATCCTATTTGCATGCTTCAAATAGCGTGCTTTTGCGGCGATGCCCGAGGTGAAACCTGAAAGAGTCTTGACCTTTAGTAGCGAAGACAGGGTAAATAGGCTTTCGATATCTATCAGATTTTTGTGTATTGTTATGTAATCTGATCTGTTTTATGAACCCTGTTGTATTCACCTTATTTAGTTGTTGCTTCTTTTTGACTTAATATTTACCAAATGATTGTCTGCAAATCGGAGTTTATTATCCATGCCATCCTGTTTACTGCACTAAATTGGTATAGAGCTAGGCAAGTTTTGCACTAATTTATGAAATTGTCTTGAAAACAGGTACTAGTTGTGTCCCTGATTCTTCAAAATCGATTCTGGCTAGTTTAAAAAAATAGAAGCCGACAAACATGCAGGTATTTCGTACTCTTCACTTTTATATCCCCCACAACCATTTCAGTTTGAATTTAATGTGAAAAATGTGGTTTTCGCCACTGGTTATATTACTGAGCCTTTTTATAATTTTAAATAAAATTCTCTTTAACTATCTTTTAACACAACTTGCCTGTTCTTTTTAGGCTTTTCCTGCAGACAACTTACTTAAGTGTAATGCCTTTTCTAAATGGAAATGTCAACAACCTGCTTCCAAGCAGGCTTCCGTTACATTTAAATTTGAGCGTCCTATCCAGTTCAGTCGCTTAGACATAGGGAACGAAGCCTCTGCCTTTGTTGAAATCGAAGTTTCGCGTGCTGACTCCGCTGAATTTGAGGTCCTTCTTCCTTCTTCGTCGTTCATGTCCCCAATGGAAGCCAAGAAAGCCGTCTCTCTTAACCGCGTTCGTATTTTTTCTGGAAATGAACTTACCCCCTCCGTTGCGAGCCAAAAATGGGATATTGTGAGGGTCACGTGCACACAGCCCTTCAGCAAGGAGCTTCAATATGGACTTTCTTTTATTCGGTTCTACCGTGTCCCTGATCCGCAGGACATGCCAAAAGAGGATGAAGACAGATCTAGCCAAGATTCAGATGGAGCTCTGAAACCCGGGGATTTATTTAAGCTCGCGAAGAAGCACAATGGGGAACAGGAGGCAACCGCAACAACTAGCACCGAGACTAAGCCGGTGGAATCCAAAACTGGTAAAAGTGCATGTTGATTCCTGAACTGAGTTTGAATTTGTCTTTTCGCATATATTTTTTTCTAAACCCTGGTTACCGGACCTTCCCATTTCTCGTTTCAGGTAAATTACATACAGGAATAAATGTTGTAGCTTTGTCATATTATGCTGGGTTTATAGTTAGCAACTTTAAATAAATTGTTCGTGTCTAGACTAACCATATTGTTGCTCCATTCATAAGATCAGCTACTTTTTTCCCCGGAACGGCTTGCACTTGATGTTAAAGTTGCAATCACCTAATCGACACAATCTCCTTCTCTATCAAATCTGACGCATTAACTTTCCTTTCATTTCCCTAGTCACTCAAAAACTACGCGAAAACCAATCAGGTTAGTTGTGGATTCATCGTAAACCACGATTTATTAATTTTATTATTCGACAAGGCAAGTCTTAAATCTCTATTCCTCGCCATTGTTTAATGCACGAGTATGGTTACTTTAGTTGTTAAAATTGTTGTTTGGATTATTTCTTAGCGGTCACTTAATTGCACAACTCTTCTTGCCGTTCACAGTAATCAAGCCTAGACCCTCGACCCTATCTTTCACTTGGTAATTTTAATTTAACGCAGCGATTTCCTCCTCGTTAGGTGGCTGAGAAGAACGCGGATAGTATGTTTGACTTAGCCGTTGCTGTTTCGTTAAGCTCTGTTCAATCTTCGTGTTCACGGGTTCGGTATTTCGCCTTGTTGTATTCACTTTCAGCAAACTTTCAAACACGGTTTAAACCTCATTTTAAGACTAACTGGTCTTTCGACATAGCAGACTGTATCTCACTTGATACCTGACCGTTTCCGTTGTTTCTCAAGTGATCTAGACGTCAAGGCAAATAACAGTGACTACTACATTTTAACACTCCTTTTACCCACCGTCACGACACACTGATGATCTTCCACTGACCTGGATTGAAGGGGACTTTTCAACGTCGACATGAAAAGCTCCAGTAGGCGTATCGTGTTTCGCTCGAAAGCTTAAGTCCTAACTTATTTACTCCTTCATCTTTCGGAGTTTTAGAAAATGTCTAATTAACCGATAAGTGCATCTGTACTAGGCTTCGTGGAAAGAAAAGCGTTTTTTTTTTACAAAATGGAGCAGAATGTATTCCACGTCAGTACGCCTGGAACTTTATTCATTTGGCGCGTGTTGGCGGGTAGTCGTTACGCTTCTTTTCGTGTCGCCTTGGAGCAAGCAGCACATCTACGCTAGTCGTGTTCACTCCTGCACGAAAGAAGCTAGCGTTGCTTGGTTGTGAGAAGCAGCAACTTTGTTTCTCGCGTTTTATGCCTGTGCTGCAAATCACAATGTCACTGAACATCGGAATAGTATGTCGTTATTCTACGACAAGTCGTAATTACCTTTCCAAGCGATCTTTATTCGCGGGTTTGCTTGGTTGTCATTGATCTGTCACAACGGAACTCTAGAACAGGTTGCTTGAAAACACCCTTGCAATGCAGCAAAGTCTAAAGGTAAAATGACAACTCTAATGCCTCAGTAGTTTTGTAGACTCCTCGAATCATGCCTTACGTGTTAGTCAGTTCGATTGCCCGTTGCAGTTTTGAATGCCCTCGGCACCAGCACACCGCCACAGCGACCGACCGCGTCCCAACCACCCGCAAGTGCTGCCAGTCCGCGCCCAGAACCCTCGACAAGTCAGAAACGGAGGCGCATCCTCGATGGCGTTGTGGTCGCCTTCAGCGGCTACAAAAATCCCTTCAGGGCGGAACTGAGGGACTTGTGTTTGCGACTGGGGGCACAGTATCGACAGGAGTGGACCGACGACTGCACCCACCTCATGTACGACCAGCATCGCGGTTCAAGTGCCCAAGGCATTGGTCATTGGTTGCTCGTAGTTACGGCTGATATAGAAAGCTCTAGATTTTTCTTTTTAATGGCGCCTTCTTTGTGCCCACCTGGCTAGCTTTGTTGTCAATTCAGAAAAATAGTTTAGCGTTCCCATACTCGGCTTGGTACTGTTTTCCTCTCTCGTTGAGAACTTTTTTAATCGACTTAAACCACTCAAGTTTATATTCTGTTGTTTTAATGTTTCCCAGAAAGTTTGTGCGCTCAATTCGTACTTGATGTAACACTGGTCCATTGTGCGCCAGTATAAGATTCGAACCGGATTCGTATGCTTTCTGGAAACGCATGCACAAATTATTAGCAAATATATGCAGCAAGTGCTGAAGGTATAAGCAAGTTGATTTTTAAGCAAACACTGCGCATTGTTTGTTCAGCATTTTCATCATGATAACGCAATTATGTTTAGACTTTGATTGGAAATAAAGTCCACTCCTCTTCAGACCAGACTCCCATCGCCGCCATGTTCAGAGAACTAAAGAGATTTGAAAATTAGATTAATTCAGCAATGCGATTTACTAATTTCTGGTGCCCTAAAATAATAATTGTCTATGACCATGTAGAAAGGAATAACTGCTGTAGGTGTATTTTAAACGCTACTAATTTTTGTTAGTAGTTGGTGTATCACGTTTGTTCGTAGATGCGCCTTTCCAAACACTCCCAAGTGGAATGCAGTGAAAGGAAAGGGAATCATTGCCTCTCACAAGTGGATTCAGGCGTGCAACGCAACCAAACGTCGTGTTTCCTGGCGGCCCTATCGTGTCGGTCGGGCTCCCAGTCCCGTTGGTCACGTATCGGATGACAACTCTGAGCCAAACGCCGATGAAGATAGTGACTGGGAGTGAGTGCTTTTCTTTGTATTACATATGTCACTCTAACCGCTCTTTCTATTTATAAAACAACAAAAATCTTAACATCTGTATGTGGACTTTTCGAATTAACAGCTTTTGTTGAAAAACACCGTGTTGATTAGCTTATTGTCTAATTACAAGTGAACTAACCGACTTTCAATATCATTTCATGTTTCTGTGATGCGGACTTCATTATTTTTTAAATCTTTTATGGCCACCATTGGATGATCGGAATTAACCCAGACGTAAGTGTTTCGTGTTAATATTTCGACCGTTTTTTTCGTTAATTTGTTTATCATAATGGCTTAACTGTTGACACAGGATCGCTAGTTGAGGGTGCATCTAGCGATGACTGGAAGCCAAGCAATTCAGATCGAGGAAGCGACGACAGTGACGAATTTTCCGAATCCGTGGACTCAGATGCCTCTGCTGATGCTCAAGGCGATGAGGAGGAGGAAGAAGTTGATGAAAGTGGAGATGAGGAAGGACAAAATAAGGCCAATCGCTTAAGGAAACTCAAGGACAAATCGTCTGACCCATCAAAGCCTAAGAAACGACGCACAAGTAACCTCGCGTTCTGCTTATATTCATGTTAATCCACCTTTTTGCCTTTTTTCCTCTATTCGAGTCGTGTCGTTATGCGTTTTTCCTTCCAGACGTTAAAAACACGAATCACGCAGGCAGCAACAGCAGCTCTGAACAGACATCGCGTAGGCGAAGCGAAGGTAAAGCGGTTTCTTGTAACTTGACTCTGCCTCGTGAACGTCCATACCGTCATTGTAGACGATTCCACTCATATCTGCACCACAGTACTTTCCTGGCAATGTTTGTGGAAACCACGATTTGTCAATATGTGATTTCTCTCCATACCCAACGAATCAGTGTATTTATAGGACCTGGTTGGTTTTGTGGGCTTTAAGAAATGTCATCTTCGCATGGCTTCAATAAAAAAAGCAATCACTTCTTCAGAATGCTTATCTGGGCAGACTTAAAGTGCAGCCGCAAACTGAACGCATTGCATCCAACCAGTTCTCATTGGACACCTCTTATAATGCAGTCGATTGTTTTTAATCACTCAAACTTACTTGCTACAGGGCATCTGACGCCCAAGCGTGAACCCGTTTGGTCGTAGCGGGCTTCTCTGTGGCACCAATTCCTCGAGGCTGTGGTTTTTCCGGCCCTTAGCTGCCTCCAGATTTCGGTTTTATAAGTTGCGAGCCCTTTGACAGCGCATTCCTCTAGTCAGCGTTCCTTCTAGTGGCGCTTTTTATCCGCCCTTTGGACAGTTCTGTGGTCTTAGCGGAGTCCAAACTCCTATTCTGTATCACAGTTGCGTCTCTCTAAGCCACCCAACTACTACTTCTTGTTTTCTTTCTCTGTGTTCGATCCACTACTAAATAAGCCATGGTCATTCCTGTTATGTGGAACGTACGGTTTCTAAGTATGAAAACTGTTGTTAGTACTTTAAATGTCGGTCTTGCTGGGTTTTCTTAACCTCCGTTTTAGCATTTTACTCAGTCGAGTTGAGCGTAGTTGTGTATTGTTGATAATCGCAAAAATTCATTTGGTACCTCAAAACACCCTGCAAGCGCAACCAACAGCCACGCAGGCACCACCTGCCTCTCTCACGGTTTCCACCAATTCAATCTAAACTACATGGCGATCCTATATCTGCTGCTATTCTGTACCAAAGGTGGAGACAGTCCGCCTGCTACGTCTGTGCTTGCATGAATTGAGCTGGGGCGAATTGTTTCTTAGTCTTCGGGAAAACTAGCTCACCGTTTGCTCACGGCAGCAGTCCGATGGTTGATAATGCGCCGTATTCTCGAATTTTAGCTGGACCTCTGAAAAGCGCCGAGGACGAGAACACGGATGAAGAAATCCAGAGGTAAGTAGCGCGTATTCTTTGGTGCGAACATGTCATTTACTTACGACCTGTGCAGGCTGCTTTATTTGTGCCTTAATCTAGTGGTATTTTTTCAAAAATCCATGATCTAGCAATGAATTTGACTGCAAACTCACGTCTTTCCCTGTTCCCCCAGTTAAGGCAGTTTGTTGGCTAATACGACAGTTTCTGTAACCAGAGGCTGTCGACAATGTAATCTAAAATATGGCTTTATCGGTTGGAACAATAATATGGACTGTTTATCGAACAACCCTGACCTCTATGGTTCTTGCTCGTGGTTTCACATTTGCTGTTCTAAGCACAAGACCTTAGCCACGCATATTGATCAGTGTAGTTGGACTTTCATGTGACTCTTGTGCTTTTCCCTTACCCTGCCTTTCAGAAACCTCAGCAACGGTGCTTCTGCGTCGCAAGGCCAAGGCCCCCTCCCACCCCTGCCAGATGTCTTTGGGGGAAAAAAGTTTTACATTTTTTCTAAGGACTTTGACATCAAGGAAGAGGAGATTGTCTACCGACTTATCATCACCTTCGGCGGGTTGGTTTCACGTTTATATCTTTTCGTGCATTGCCTCAATTCCTTGTTCCTTTGGCGTGCGCTGGAGGATCTTCTAAGTACCCTTATCTGGGAATTAGCTCGAAATGCACCAATGTGCTCGTACTTTTTTGGCCTGAGAGTGTGTGAACGTCGCTGGTTTTTCAGGAAAGTGGAGTCCTACATGAACAGTGACGTCGAGTTCGTGGTTTCCAGGGCGGCCTGGTGTGAGGACTTCGACGATGTAAGTTTTTTTAAAATATAACCGTTTTCTCTTGTGCTCTAACGTTGCTCTGTAAAATTAGCCACGCAATTTACTATATAATGCCCTCATCGTTTTCAGCATTTTCGATTACTGCGTAGTTGCGATGTCACCATTTGTACCCCTATAGTAATTTTCAACTTATCGGATATCTCTGATGGGAGTTTTCCTGGCTAAGTCGGCTTTTGCACCATTCACCAAGGCGGTTTAGACCACGCCATTCTCAAACAATCGCTCATTTCTTTTAACCAGTAATTTGGTTTGCCTCATTTCGAATTAGCCTATCCGAACCAGCCAACGGCAAATCCCTGAACCGGGAACAACTTGATAGTTCACTGCCCTAGTAAAAGTCGTGCCTTTTATCGATCCGCAAATTTGTCATGAAACTCACCGTCCACCGCCAAAGAGGCCATTTCGTTGTCTGTATGCTCTGAAGTTTTGTAGGTCTCAAAAACAGTCACATTTGCCCATTTTGCTTCCTCCAGCCTTTCCGGTTTTCGTGACAGACCCGAAACTATGTTTGCTTTCCTCGAATTCAGGCACAAATTATTTTTTTTGCATGAAATATGCCTAAACTGTCGTATCGCTGAAACGCTATTAGGAGTGCTGTAACCAGACGATAAAGTGCAGCAGGCTTCTGTCCCATTGAGCGAATTTAACCGGCACGCGAGTCACGATTTGTCTCGTTAGCGTCCCTCAGTTCTGGGGGTAATTTGGACATGCGCCTCAACTGTCGCCATTCGCCTACGTAGTACCAAAAATTGCTTTGGGCGGGGCTGGGCTGTTTGACAAGTCCGATTCGGACAGACGTACGTTATCAAGACTGGACAGATTGTGGCTATGAAAGCTCTATTAAATAGTCGACGTTTGCAACGCCACTTGTTACCACGGCGCGACAGTCGTCGGCGTTAGAACGCTCGTTGGCGGAGCTCTTTGTAAACGAATTTGCTGAGTCACCACCTAGTTTTGACAACTCCGTCGTGTGCGACCGTCTGCCTTTATGCCACCGCCACCACTTAGATATGGCTTTAGAATGGAACGTGAGCATTCTGCGCCACAACCTATGGCTTTCAACTTATTGCTAGTTTTTAGTTTAGTAAATTTGACTACACCCCTCCGACTCGTCCTGTGACCTCATACGTTCCTCTGTGTCCGACTTTGTATGTGCACCTCTCAAAGATCCAACTCAGACCCTTCGTTGGCAAAAAAATGTCTGCGAGTCTTATGACTTGTTTTATTCTAAGTTTTGACAGATGTTCCAGACTAGATTTTGCAGGGAAATGACTTGTGAGAGCTTTTTCTACGTTCGGGTTCTGATCAACTGCCGCATCGGTTTCACACGGCGAGGAAGTAATGCACAATTTCAGCAAATTCTTTTCTGACCTTCGTCCGTTTTCCCTGCCTGAGGGCAGTGTTAATTTGTAAGCTGCCACCGATGCCACTCTTACTCAGCACTGAGTCAACCCACAGGATGCTTTGTCTGCCACTGCTATTTACGCGCATGTGGATGCTGAGCGCAGGGGGTGTTTCTAACACAAAATTAAGGCAGCCTAGTCGCGGGCACATGTAAAAAATGATAATTTTTGCCCACCTTTCTGAGTCACACCGCGGTCGTGACTCATGCGCCTTCACCGCTGTCGCCCCGGCCACGCCAATTGGCCGCGTGCGTGCGTGCGTGTAGGCTTGATTGTGGGGCGCCCTCGTGTTGATGGCGGGTGGATAAATTATCCCAACGCGGCTAGGCAGACCCCGAGTTTGGGGAATTCGTTTTGGCAAGGCTGAATCCCGACCAGTATGTATGCAGCCACGTGCCATCGCTGATGGTCTACTAATACGTGGTTGCGCCATGCGCGTACTGGTACCAAACTCGGTCCATTGGCAAATGCGTTTTCGGTGCGCAGACACTACTGAAGTGCTTTTCAGTTTACTTCTTCGCTTAGTTAAAAGTGATGAAAAATCAGCTGAGAAGAGGGGATTCGACTCGGAGTAGCCCTTGCCTCGTATCCTGGCCAAAGTTATGTTGGCTTGACAAATAACCTCTTTATTAGACTACTTTGTAGCCATCTAGTAGTGCGCCTCTTAGCCTCATTTTCAGCCAACATTTGGTGATTCGAATCGTCCTCTTTGCTGGAAAGTAACCCTCATTAAGTTCAGCAATTTGGACACTGGGGTGTGGCAGTGGTGTGCTTCGGCCACCTTGCCTTCCAACTCCTCTTAAACGCTCTCAGGGCCTGTGTGTTAGTGGGTTTGCGACAGACCTCCTCGCTTCCATTGGCGTGGTGTGAAGGAGGCCACCGCATCGTATGACCTCCTCGAGTCGTTCCATGCTACTTCCCATTGATTCCCGTTGTTTGTTAAGTGCTACGCAGATTTTGTTCCATCTAATCACAGTGTTCGGTTAATTAATTTACGCAACCATCGTATCTACGGGCTCCACCTGTCGCTTTAATTCTATCTATATGGCAAATCAGTAGAAAATTTTTCAGTGGTTTGCTCTGGCATAGACCGACATTCATATCACCGCTTCAAGAAGGCTTACGTCAACATAGAATGGGAATATACAACTTGTCAATCAAAACCTAACGCGGATTAGAGTATTTTGCCGTGAATCACTCTTCAGCTTAACATTGGCATTCGCTTCCGCGTGTGCCTGATGGGTTTTTTTATTAATCCGGGTTAATTTTTTGCCTCGGTGTCGTGTTTGGTGCGCGTAATTTGTGTTTTAGGCTCTGAACGTCTCTCCATCACTCATTTTTGTCAAACCTGAATGGATCTATGCCTGCGACAAAGCTGGGAAATTGGTTCCATTTCAGCGTTATCAGGTTGTTGGGTAGATTTCATGCGTCTTTTTTTCCTTTACTAAAAACCCATTCCTTTCTCGCCCCAAGAATGTCCATATCGCTCTTTTGTGAACGTGCTTTTTAAATAACAAGTCTGCCTTTTTTTCGTCTTTTGCTCTTTTGACTTGAAATTAAGCAATAGGAGGTAATAATCGTCACGGCATTGGTGGTTTGCCTTGAAAACCAAACGACCCTAACGTCAGTTTTGATGTGCATTTCTTTTAGTGCTCCATGTTTGCAAATCCTCCGCTTTTCTTCTTAATTATGTATTATGAGGTAGTAAAACCTTGACGTACCAAAGTGCAGACGACAACGGTGGCACTAAGGTAATAGTACAATTTTGGGATAAATTATGTATCCAACGTGTGCAAATATTTGCATTTGTCCATAAATTTAAGTGCTTACACGTGACCAAGTACCCAACGATGCGCCACTGAGGATTACCACAACGACTAACAGCCACTGTCTCTCTGGTAAACTACGTCCCCTCAAGGCTGTTGTACCGCAAGTAATTTTTTCGGTGTTACCTGAATTGTATACCAAATAAAATAGGATGACTAAACCCTCGTCAACACTTAATTTAGCCTTTATTTCAAATCTAACCCTACTTACGTGTTTAGATATTAATCTAACGAGATATCTTAGTAGTGTTTTCGTGTTTGTAGCAGTCTCCTATGGGTTATCGAGTTCTAGATGTTCTGGTGTATAACTAGAAAAAAAAACTATTGTTTCTACTGTTAAACATCATGCTCGCCCTTCTTCCTAATGTCACTGAACCGCACATGGTTAAAAGGTCACGTTAAATTACCGCCACTTACGCAAACGATCAGTGGTCTCACTTTGTACGTTTTGTAAAGCTCCTAATTCTGCGAGGGTGGTAGTTTGTGTCCGCAGGAAAACTGTCCTTGTCGTCTGGATGATTGAGGTTTCGTTAGTTTATTCAATGTGCCGTTCTTGCCAATCGGACTTCCCGTTAGTAATGCTGAGTTTCTAGTCTTTTTTTTCACAATCCCATTCGCATCCTATGATGGAATCTGTAGTCTGTGCTTATTGCAGTTGAAAATTCGCTTAAATTGAAGTAAGCGGTGATTTGCGTTTCTCGGAAAGGCCCTTTACTGTTTCTAAGGCTATGAAGAAGGTGAGTGGATGAGTCGAACTGACTGACGTTAAGCTCTAAACACCCTATTTGTGTTTGTTGTTTTTCGTTTTATTGGCCCCGTAGACACCCGGATGCTTTTCCTATAATTACGTGACACAGAATTATTACATAAATGAATTTTCGCAATTTTCTGCCAAAGTGTAAGCCGATTTAGTGCTTCGTGAGCAGCACAACCCACTGTGAACTGCTCACGCACATTCAACTTTCTCATGTGTCGACCCAAATACACTAAACTAAGAAGCACGTCAGCGTGTTAAGTGCTTCTGTGACTTGCCCAAGTAGCTTTCGAGGCTCAGCTTATTAAAACTTTAAACTTACGCATCCACTCGGTTTGCCTCATTCGGAAGACCAGCTACTAGCATTATCATGTTCAGGCTTCGCTGTACAATATCTTAAACTATTGCCAACTGACTTGAATACGATTGGAGCCTTTTTTGATTGTTAATAGACCGATTTGATAGATAATCCTTAAGAACCAAATCATAAATTGAGCTTCTTTACTCGTTGGAATAAACTACAAACACGGCGCCCAAGGGACTGTCTCTTCGTTTTTTAATGTCCGGATATAATGTACTTGCGTAGACACACAATTATCACAAAGCAGCCTTACTGGAACCGTGTTGTGGTATTGTTTTACGATGTTATTTTATGAAAATGTCTACGAAACCAGTGGATTCAGTGAGTTTTTGGATCCGAAACGTAGCCGTGGCACTCTGTCACATTATAGTAACATGTTATATGGCTGTAGAGCTTTGAGTTTACAAATCAGTGCAGTGTTCGATCAATATTCTTGATTTTTTTTTAAATTGCACCTTGTATGCTACTTCTCGTAACCATAAACTAAACAGGCAACTCTGAAAATTCGTTTTCTTGATACCGAAATTCCACCAACTCATGCTTATATTCAATGGCATTAATAGTGATTCTTGGTTGATTCTTTGTCAAACAGTCGCTTAGTTTATAAAGGTTTTAATGGTCGCCTCTCTCCTGACATTCAAACCTGTGTCGGCGCATGCAAGAAGTCCTGAAAACTGAGTAGAAGAACAGTTGATGCTGAGCATTAAATATCGACCTACTTAAGACGTTGGAGCTAAGCAACTCGAACAGAACTTGTTCTTCAGGCAGTGCGAATGGGGTATTGCTGGCGTTGGCAGTTGTCCTACTGACTTGGCTCCTCTTTTTATCCATTTGTCTCCGTTAGAGTGAACAATTACTCGTGTAAGGACCTACTAATAGCAGTTGATCCCAATACTAACCTTTGCTGGTACTTAGAAAACTGAATTAGGGATAGTTCGAAGTTAATCGAAGGTTGAATCGTTGCCGCTCCCACTCAGAAAATCTAGCCAGTATTTATTTGGTTTTAGTAACAATGACTTGGACGTGTTCTTTAACGAATAAACCCACATGCAGCCACTCACGCTCACGTCTGCAGTGGGATTTATTGCCCTCAAAGTACTTTAATTACTCACACTTTCACAGTTTTTTAAGGAAACACGCAGTCCTTCAAGAACTGCGAGCCCATTGCGATTATTCGTCAAATTACATGCCCTTTCTCCCGCCGGTCATTACACGCGCAAAAGTAATTTCCTCCACGCCGGAGTTTTTTTTCGAACCTCGAAGACACATTTGTGGGAAATATTTAGCCAGAAAGGCATGGACGAAAGTCATTTAATTTACTGTCAATTGGTTATTTGAATACCCACAAAGCTTCTAAATGAGGATTTTAGGGTAATCCATTTGTCTGGGTCATAGATGAATGTGTTAGTCCAGTTTAAACATTGCTCTTTAATCAAAATCAACTGCTACCACCAATATGAAACCCATCGATGTTTGGTCATTCAAAAGTAGAACGATTTGAGTCTGTCAAAGTTGTCTCATGATATTTTTTAAGGCATAAGTCGTGCAGTGTTCAGAAAAAATTGCATCAGCCTAAGAACTACGTCAATAAATCCAGAAGCTGCAATCTACGGGCTAACTGCTTTAGGTCGTTGCGAATTCATCCGAAAACGACCGCAAATGAAAGCAGCATCACAATTAAGATTTTGTTACGACCAAAGACCGCTCAGCTTGGCTTTCAACATTTTTGCTGTCCACTTTGATCGGTTTTACTATATATCAAAATGCACCATTTTTAGTTTACATTTTGTGTTACTGGCCTGAAGTAAAGCAAGGTATGAATCACTTATGAACCACAATAACTTATTCCTCAACCCATTTTAATGCTTCCACTCACTGCATTGAAGTGAATTTCGTTGAGTTCAAGTACACTTTGTCCCTGAGAACCGACGTTTCGTGATGGGAGGTATAAATGTATAGTACGGATTCGGCTATGCAAATTGTACTACCTCTGACTTCAGTAAATCTTCTAGTTAATTCCTAGGTATGCACCGACGGGCACATGAGAGCTTTGCGGTTCTATATTTTATCACATACATGCGTACTAACGCTCATTCTCGTCCATAAATATTCGTGTATTGTTTATCCAATGAGAGTTCACCAACCTCAGTCGTAGTGGTGTTCTGGCCAATCGTTCACACAAACCGCCAAATCTGCGTTTTCGTTGCTATAAGCGTCCAATTTCAGGTGGTACAGAGCCATGTACAAGTTTACCCAGCATAATATGCTTTCGACATTTAGTTTATGGTCTATTTGATGGAAAACACCTGTTCCGAATAAATCATTCAAGTAAATCGGGGAACCTGAGGCATTCACCTCAGTAGCAAGAACTAACAGTTCTGCTAACGTTTAATCAAGTGGTTTAATCTCTCTAAAAAAACCGGATATCTTCACTGTAATTCATCTCTGGCATTAAGAGTATATTTTGTTTCATTATTTTACATTCTCGGTGCCTGGTCACATCTGACAGCAACATCTGACCTAGTTCAAGGACCACAGGTTGAAACTCACCAAACGTGAGCCAGGAAAGTAAACAGGTTTGACCATTTCCGAAACTAAGGTCAGTGCTCATTAGGCGCCATGTTCGTGAGAATTTCAAGCGTTTTGTGCGTAATAAGGCCTTTTCACCTAATCAAGTTATCAATTTATGCATGGTTCTAAACGTGGATCAACTAGGTGATAGGTTTAGCCTTGTGTTATTGCAATCTATAAGCACTTTAAACCTGGTTTGTGCCATCACAGTAAATAATAACTATGTAATCGACGCAGATAATGGAGAAGATCTGTATTACTGGCGCTTTGTGTAATCTGACTTCTCACTGTGACTTGTTGATGTATTAAAATGACAAGGGTTCAGGTTCTCCACACTGAGTTTTTCTGTAACCCCGGAACTGTCTTCAAATTCAAAATGTACTCATGTAATATGCGTATATTTTCCATTCGGATTGTCGCCTTGCCTACAGAAATGGTATCGTATGTTGCTATAATTCGAAGGAATGTAATTGGTGATAAACGATAGCATTGAATGTGTTATTATGGGGTGTAGCGATATGTATTTTAGCCCGACAATTGAAGCCCATATCTGTTGAAATTCAAAAATGATAACTTAGTGCTAACAATTAACTTCAAACAAATCCTATCATTAGCATTCCTCTAGGGGATTATTTTTAATTGAATTTTTGCGTAGTTTCGAGAGTAACAATATCGCCCAAAAATGCCAGATATTTACTCTTTTAATTTTTGAATTTTGTTTTAATTAAGTTCACTCAAGTGTCATTGAACTACTCTACTGAACTGGGCAGACATCAGGACTCAGGTCAAATCATAAGGTTTCTTTTTTAAAGAAGAATTTTTTGTGTTATGTATTGCTCCAGTTTTAGTGCCTGGTGTCCTTCACAGAATCCAGCTTATTTTGAGGATGTAATATTTTTAGTTAAAA